TCAAACATCTCATTGCAAAATCATGGGCATTAATATGGAGTTGGTCCCCCCTTTGCTGCTATAACAGCCTCCACTCTTCTGAGAAGGCTTTCCACTAGATGTTGGAACATTGCTGCGGGGACTTTTTTTATTTTATTTTTTAATTATTTATTTTTTCGGGGGGAATGGATCAGCTTAATATTGCAGATAGATTGTATCTTCTATCAATGTAATTGTCTGCATCACTTCCAATCCCCCATGTTTATTTTTTTTTTTTTATATATATACTCCCCTTTATTACTTTTCAACCCCACCATCCTTTCCCTACTTGGAGTAAATTAGTGAACAACAATGCCCAGGCCTCTACTTCCGGTCTATACTTACTATCTACACCTTATGGACAGAGTTAATTTTACAATAATTATATTATATATATATATATATATATATATTATTTATTTTTTTTTGCTCCTGAACTTCTTCTACTCTCAACCTCTCCGATCATTTTCATGGTGTCCATCCGGTTTGCTTCTATATGGCATATCTTTCTAACTGTGCTCCTTCCCAAAAGCTCCCAACATACAACCTATATACTTATTATGGACACAGTATGCTTACATTATTAGCTATCTTTGTTATTATTTGTTGTTATTTGTTATTAGTCCCATCCTTCAACTCTATTCAATACCTCCCATCTATCTCTTAACACCATCCATATAGGATTTCTATTTGCCATATATATTTCAACCGTACTGTGATGTTTTACAAAAATTCTGAACCTTTCTATTCTCATTGCTTCTACAGATTGTGAATTAAAAATAAACATTTTTGCTAAAAGTATTATTATATTATTGATTGATTGACTATGACTTTTCAGATCACCCAGTAATGCTATCTGCAAGGTTAGTTCCAGGTAAATATTGCAATCCTTTAGCCATTCCTGGACCTGTGTCCAAAAACAAGCTACAAATGGACAGAACCAAAACAAATGATCTAATGATTCTGTCTCTTCACAGCAAAACCTGCAGAGCTGGGAAGATTGTATCCCCCATATAAATAACATTCTATTGGTAGCAAGAATGTTATATAATAATTTAAATTGAAAGATTCAAATTTTTGAATCCGGTGTCGTTTTGCGTGTCAGTTCATAAACACTATGCCATGGGATCGGTACGTCAAAGATCTCTTTCCAACTATTTTGCAATCTATATGGGACGGCTGTCAATCCTTTGGTCCTTAAGTGAAACTGATATACTTTTTTATTTATCACAGTTTTCCTTAACCAATTATGTTCTTTAATGCAAGGCCGACAGACAAGTTCCTTACTTTCTCCCCTTTCCACTTTCCTCTTCCACTTTTGCGGTAAGGCTGCAATTATTTGGTTGTAATTTTGGGTAGAGCAGACCTTTCCATATGTTTTTGTTAGCTGCATGTGTGACATAACTCCACCAGTCCTACCGATGATATCATTTACGAAGATTATACCTTTTTTAAACATTCTGTCAAAAAATAAAGTTTTTTTGTCAATTAGTATATTTGAATTTAACCACAATATTTGTTGCATTATTTGTTCTGTCGTTTCTGGAGGATTAAATTGAAATTGCAACCAACTTTCTATGGCTTGTTTTAGAAATAGTGACATTTGGGAGATTATTTCCTTTTCAAATAACTGAAAGTGAGAGGTTGTAATCTGAATAAAGGGAAAAAGGCCTTTCTTGAACATTGGGTGAGACAATCTTACTAATTTGCTTGAGAACCAGTTCGGATTTAAGTATAACTTTTGTATGACTGAAGCTTTTAGTGATAGGTCTAATGCTTTAATATTTAATAATTTCTGTCCTCCGAATTCATATTCATTATATAAATATGCTCTTTTAATTTTGTCTGGCTTGCCGTTCCAAATAAAATTGAATATTTTTTTCTCATATAATTTAAAAAACTGTTCGCTAGGCGTAGGCAAGACCATAAGCAAATAGGTAAACTGGGATAATACTAAAGAGTTAATCAGGGTGATTTTTCCACAAATTGACAGGTATTTTCCTTTCCATGGTAGTAAGATCTTATCTATTTTTGCTAACTTTCGATTAAAATTTATTGAAGTGAGATCATGTATTTCCTTTGGGATATGTATTCCGAGTATATCCACATCACCATCAGACCATTTTATTGGTAAACTACATGGTAATGTAAAAATTGTATTTTTTAGTGATCCAATACGTAATATAGTACATTTGTCATAATTTGGTTGTAATCCAGAGAGGTTAGAAAATGTATCTAGATCCTCTATGAGGCTGTGGAGGGATTCTAGTTGTGGATTTAAAAGAAAACATGAATCATCAGCGTACAATGACACTTTTGTTTTTAAGCCCTGTATTTCTAATCCTCTGATATTATTATTGGATCTGATTTTAATAGCTAACATCTCGATGGCCACAATAAATAGATATGCCGATAGTGGACATCCTTGTTTCACTCCTCTTGACAGTTTAAAACTTTCTGAGAAATAGCCATTATTTAATATTTTACACCTAGGGTTACTATACATGATTTTGACCCATTTTATAAGAGATTCTCCAAAATTGAAATGCTCCAGGCATTTATATATAAACCCCAGTCGAACTTTATCAAATGCCTTTTCGAAGTCTGCTATGAATAGCAGGCCTGGTTTCCCATATTTTCCATAGTGTTCTATTGTTTCCAATACTTGCCTTATATTATCTCCAATGTATCTTCCATGTAAAAAACCTGTCTGATTAGAATGAATAATATCCGACAATACCTTTTTAATTCTATGCGCTATACATTTTGCTGCGGGACTTGCTTCCATTCAGCCACAAGAGCATTAGTGTGGTCGGGCACTGATGTTGGGCTATTAGGCCTGGCTCGCAGTCAGCCTTCCAATTCATATCAAAGGTGTTCGATGGGGTTGAGGTCAGGGCTCTGTGCAGGCCAGTTCAAGTTCTTCCACACCGATCTCGACAAACCATTTCTGTATGGACCTCGCTTTGTGCATGGGGGCATTGTCATGCTGAAACAGGAAAGGGCCTTCCCCAAACTGTTGCACAGAATTGTCTAGAATATCATTGTATGCTATAGTGTTAAGATTTCCCTTCACTGGAACTAAGGGGCCTAGCCCGAACCATGAAAAACAGCCCCAGACCATTATTCCTCCTCCACCAAACTTTACAGTTGGCACTATGCATTTGGGCAGGTAGCATTCTCCTGGCATCCGCCAAAGCGTGATTCATCACTCTAGCTGAAGATTGGCATTGTGCATGGTGATCTTAGGCTTGTGTGCGGCTGCTCGGCCACAGAAACACATTTCAGGAAGCTCCCGACGAACAGTTCTTGTGCTGACGTTGCTTCCAGAGGCAGTTTGGAACTCGGTAGTGAGTGTTGCAACCGAGGACAGAAGATTCTTCAGCACTCTACGGTCCCGTTCTGTGAGCTTGTGTGGCCTACCACGTTAGGTGGCCTACCACGTCGCGCTGAGCCGATGTTGCACCTAGATGTTTCCACTCCACAATAACAGCACTTACAGTTGACCGGGGCAGCAAAATGACTTTGACGAACTGACTTGTTGGCAAGGTGGCATCCTATGATGGTGCCACGTTGAAAGTCACTGATCTCTTCAGTAAGGCCATTCTACTGCCAATGTTTGTCTATGGAGATTGCATGGCTGTGTGCTCGATTTTATACACCTTTCAGCAACATTTAGGGTAAAGTCAGCATTAGTGGGACATCAGATGTAGTAGGACATTTTGTGTTTGAGGGTAGGCTACTGTACTATGGTAATTTTGAAACCTAATCACAACACATGTTATTGGGTTGTTGCTGAATGTGTTCTTTGCATGACAAAAATTGTTTTGGTTAGTGTAACATCATTGTAGTGTGTGTGGTCAGGTTTCTTAGTTGAGGTGACCCATTGAAAATCATGATAAACTGCCATACTATGAAACCTTCCTCTAGAATGATAAGGATTATAATTCAACAATCTAGCTTTTGGTGTTAAAATGAATATTTATTATTATTGCTTTGAAATATAATAACCATTCATGTAAACAGCTGTAGCTCAATTGGTAGAGCATGGCGCTTGTAACGCCAGGGTAGTGGGTTCGATTCCCGGGACCACACATACGTTTAAAAAAAATTATGCACACATGACTGTAAGTCGCTTTAGATAAATTTAGTCTGCTAAATGGCATATTATATGACTCCATATTTAGTGCGTGTTTCTGTCAAGGCGTCAGTGTAATGCGGTAGGACGAAGTCAGGCGCAGGGCACAGAGCTGATCGAAAAACGTACTTTACTCCTAGGTATCTCAATCAACATACCTTCACGCAGGGAGGAACAAACCCGCTCACATACGACAACCAAAACATGGACAAACACGCACAACACACAGTGTGAGCCAGAGGGTTAAATAGGGAAGACAATAATACATGATGGGAAACAGGTGAGACCAATACAGACAAAACAAGTAGAACATAGAAACATGGATCGGTAGCAGCTAGTACTCCGGTGACGACGAACGCCAAAGCCTGCCCGAGCAAGGAGGAGGGGCAGTCTCGGCTGAATTCGTGACAGTGGGACACTAATGTATTTCTAATGATAGTGTTCCACTGTGGTGAGAAGGTGCTTGCAAGAGGGAAATGTTGAAAGATGGGACTGTTATGTTGCCTACAATTATCTTAATCCAGCAAATTGTGTCAATTACACATTTAGTAATTTCAAGGAGATATTTAAGCTTTTATATGTTTATTGTCTCTACACTTTTACAGATTTATTGAGGTAGCTAGTTGGAGAGTTGGATTGTTGTCAATATGATGTAGTCTACTCTTCTTTTTCTCTGTAACTCTTCTCTCAATTTTATAGACAGTTGGACTGGTAACAACCACATCTCCACTAAGTACATTCTTGTTCCAACTTCGGTACAGATCTCTGGCCCTTCAATGAAGCTCCACTGCCCAAATCTTGTGAATAGAAGTGAATTGACCTACATGGATCCTCTGTCTGAGCTGTCATCACTCTCTCCTCCTACATCCCCCCCACCCCCATCTATGTCCCCTCCACCTTCCCCACCCATGTCTCCCCCAACACCCCCACCAGTGTCTCCTCCACCTCCCCCACCCATGTCTCCCCCAACACCCCCACCTATGTCTCCTCCACCTCCCCCACCCATGTCTCCACCAACACCCCCACCTATGTCTCCTCCACCTTCCCCACCTATGTCTCCCCCACCTCCCCCTCCCATCTCCCCACCACACCCACCTCCTCCACTGCCCTGTGGCCTTTAGACCAGTCGTGATGTCCAGCAACGGTCCAAGTTACGCAATCTGAACTGGGATCTCATTCTGAAGGAGAAGGTAGAGGGCCGTCATAGTGTCTGGACCAGTCCAGATGAGTTCCACGTAGACTTGAGCTCGTTGGATGAGCTATTTGGACAACAGAAGAGCTCTCAGCCCCCCAAGAGGGACGTCAATTTACGGCATGGTCTCAGACCCATTGGCTCCCCTCCACGCAATGTACCTGAAAAGGTCAGCAGGCTGGTTTCCATATGGACAGGTATAGGCATAATATCTATCAGTCTTAATTGTGATGAAAAGTGTATTCTAGGTGTGGTGCTATCCTTAGAGAATGATTGGGATGTGGCTGTATGTTGATTGTTGTTCTGACTGTTATTCTCTGTTTCTGTCTGAATCTGTAGGCATCACTTCTGGGCGGGAAGCACAGTATGAACGTAGGGATTTTCCTCCAGCAATTCAAGAGGTGGGAGACATATATTTTAAACCCACTTTCATCAGGTTTGCAAAATAATGTCACTATCAGAGACATTTTTTATGTAATCCCTGCCATGTAACATGTCCCTGGCCAAACAAGCATTAGAGACAGAGGAATGACCTATATTATAACTCATTATAACTCATGGCTGTTGTCTCATGTCTTCACAGTGCAGTGAGGGAGACAGTGGAGGACATCAGACAAGGGGCTGGGCAGCATTATGGGAGTGACATGCTCAGTGAACTGTGCAAATTGCTGCCTGAGACTGAGGAGGTACTGTGGAGTTCTGTCTGTCTCTCCATATCATCTGTCTGTATTTAGTGGTCTTTATGTCTACATGTTTTTTCTGTCCTACAGTGTACTGACTCATGTTTCCTGTTCTGCAGGAGAGACGTCTCAGGGCGTTCCCGGGTAAGCGTAGCCATTTTGAAGACACTGACCTCTTCATGCTCCTACTAGTGGAGGTGCCCAGGTGATTAAACATATTTTTGGTGGTTGGTCATCATCCTACTCCTACCAAAAGAAAAAGCTATTGAATCCTTTACCTAATTTATCTTCCTGTCTTTTGCATCCTGTTATTTTTCTCTTGTCAGTTATCGCTTGTGTCTGGACACCATGATCCTGCAGCAGGAGTTTGACCCAGCCTTATCTTCACTGTGTGTTTCAGCTTGCTGCATGGTGTCTGCAGCCACAGGTGAGGAGACAGCATGAGCCAGAGTGATTGAAATCGTTTGTCTTAGATCACTGAACTTTCTTGTAAGATTTATTTGACTTCCATGTTGTTTTGATCTTAGTGACATACTGTAAATGACTCTCTCTCTCTCTTTCTTAGAGCTTTTGAGCTGCCCAGAGTTGCACTCCATCCTACGGCTGATCCTGAGGGCAGGAAACTACATGAATGCCGTGAGTAGCAGTCATCTGGCACCTAGACAGCCAATGCAGCCAAACATTGACCAATGTGTTGAGTGCATGAGTATGAATGAGTGGGAGTGGGAGGGAATGATCTGATCTTGTCATACCTTCTGACCAACAGGGAGGTTACACAGGCAATGCTGCTGGGTTCCGCATCGCCTCTCTACTCAAACTCGCTGACACCAAAGCCAACAAACCAGACATGAACCTGCTGCATTATGTGGCCATGGTAAAAATCTGCTAAATACTTCACAAATAGATGTTAAAAGGATTCTCCAACACTCCTTTCAGGGATATGCGACATAAGCAGTCGGTTAGGGCCCCCAGCCGCTAGGGAGTGGATAAATAACAACAAATAGGGCACTGACAGCTGTCAGTGTAGCTAGCTAGCATGCTAACCTTATCTAAATAGCTAATGTTCTATGTTGTTGCTACACTGTATTCAAAAGATTAGCCAGCTGGCTAGTCTACTGAATGGCTGGTTCTGGAGCTGGATTTGTCATAAGTATTTAGGGAAAACTTCGCCACAGATGGATAGGGAAAACCAGTATATTTTACTTTGCCATCTATTGTTATCTCCAAAGTTTTGTCATGTTCCATAAATTGCGGCCGCGAATCCACCATAGAAATAGAAAAAATAAGATGAGGCTCCGGTAATATGGATAGCCTAACTATTGAACAGTTTGGACTAGATTCTACATTGTAATGGACACGGTGCAACCTTTGGTATGCTTCTGGTAGGCTGCGCTACAGCAATGCCACGTCAGCCAGTGCTCATGCCATGGTTCTCACAGCTAGAGGAAGTGAAATGATAGGCTACAATGACTTTTCTCATGATGCAGACCGCAAATGATACTGTATGTAACAACATCCTGAGCGCATTGGACACAAAACGAAACACCAACACACATGTAACAACAGCACAAAATAGATAAACAAGTTTGTGGAGTTTTCTTTCACGGGTGCCTTCATTATAGGATAGATACTTGTGATTTCTAGCTGCACCAATCAAAGCATGGTCAAAACCATTCATCTTGGGGAGCTGGGTTCCAAAATGCAATCCTATCACTCACAATTTTACCATTTATAAAATGGTCATATACAGTGCATTCGGAAAGTATTCAGACCCCTTCCCTTTTTCCACATTTTGTTACGTTACAGCCTTATTCTAAAATTGATTAAATAAAAAAATGTCCTCATCAATCTACACACAATATCCCATAATGACGAAGCGAAAACAGTTTCAAAAAACATTTTAGCAAATGTATAAAAAATGTTAAACAGAAAAACCTTATTTACATATGTGTTCAGACCCTTTGCTATGAGACTCGAAATTGAGCATCCTGTTTCCATTGATCATCCTTGAAATGTTTCTACCTCTTGATTGGAGTCTACATGTGGTAAATTCAATTGATTGGACATGATTTGGAAAGGCACACACCTGTCTATATAAGGTCCTACAGTCGACAGTGCATGACAGAGCAAAAACCAAGCCATTAAGGTCGAAGGAATTGTCCGTAGAGCTCCGAGACAGGATTGTGTCAAGGCACAGATCTAGGGAAGGGTACCAAACATTTCTGCAGCACTGAAGGTCCCCAAGAACACAGTGGCCTCCATCATTCTTAAATGGAAGAAGTCGGGGGAGAAGGGCCTTGGTCAGGGAAGTGACCAAGAACCCGATGGTCACTCTAACAGAGCTCCAGAGTTCCTCTTTGGAGATGGGAGAACCTTCCAGAAGGACAACCATCTCTGCAGCACTCCACCAATCAGGCCTTTATGGTAGAGTGGCCAGACGGAAGCCACTCCTCAGTAAAAGGCACATGACTGCCCGCTTGCAGTTTGCCAAAAGGCACCTAAAGGACTCTCAGACCATGAGAAACAAGATTCTCTGGTCTGATGAAACTAAGATTGAACTCTTTGACCTGAATGCTAAGCGTCACGTCTGGAGGACATCTGGCATGGTGGTGGCAGCATCATATGTGGGGATGTTTTTCAGCGGCAGGGACTGGGAGACTAGTCAGGATCAAGGAAAAGATGAACGGAGCAAAGTACCGAGAGATCCTTGATAAAAATCTGCTCCAGAGCGCTCACCTTCCAACAGGACATCGACCCTAAGCACACAGCCAAGACAACGCAGGAGTGGCTTTGGGACAAGTCTCTGAATGTCCTTGAGTGGCCCAGCCAGAGCCTGGACTTGAACCCGAACAAACATCTCTGGAGAGACCTGAAAATAGCTGTGCAATTTTCCCTAAAAATAAGTTGAAATTGACCAAAGTATTTGGTCTCCACAATTCTTTATTTCACTGTTAATATTACAGAACCTTTGTTTTTGATTCAGAACATAATATATCCATTTAAATCAGAAAATAAACAAATGACATTGACAAAATTATTGACACCCTAGACTTAATATTTGGTAGCATAGCCTTTGGTCAAAATAACTGCAATCAAGCGCTTCCTATAGCCATCGATGAGCTTCCTGCACTTCTGTACTGGCAGTTTGGCCCACTCCTCTTGTGCAAACTGCTCCAGTTCTCCCAGATTTTAAGGGTGCCTTCTCACAACTGCTGTTTTCATATCTCTCCACAAGTTTTCAATGGGATTTAGATCTGGACTCATTGTTGGCCACTTCAGAAGAGTCCAGCATTTTGTCCTGGGTGCTTTTTGAAGTGTGTTTGGGGTCATTGTCCTGCTGGAAGACCCATGACCTTTGACGGAGACCCAGCTTTCTGACACTGTGTCTGACATTGCACTCCAAAATGCCTTGGTATTCTCCTGATTTCATGATGCCATGCACACGTTCAAGGCACCTAGTGCCAGAGGCAGCAAAACAACCCTAAAAAACATAACTGAACCTCCTCCATATTTGACTGTAGGGAAGGTGTTCTTTTCTTTTGAAGGCTTAATTTAGTTTTCTGCAAACATAGAGATGGTGTGCTTTACCAAAAAGCTCTAATTTGATCTCATCTGTCCACAAGACATTCTCCCAGAAGGATTTTGGCATGTTCAGGTGTGTTTTGGCAAATTGCAGTCAGGCTTTCTTAAGTCTCTCTCTCAGCAGTGGGGTCCTCCTTACATATAACCCCCTTTCATTGAGTTGGCGACGGATGGTGCCAACTCAATGAATGTCGTACCTTGTGTCTGAAGGTCAGCTTGAATCTGTGTAGCAGTTAATCGAAGTGCTTTCTTCACCATTCAAACAATCCTTTGCTGCAATCTTCCATCAAGTTTTCTCTTGCCGCCACGTCCAGGGAGGTTGGCTACAGTGGTATGGACCTTAAACTTCTTGATTACATTACGTACGATGGGAACAGGAACATCAAGGTCTCTGGAGATGGACTTGTAGCCTTGTGATTGTCCATGCTTTGCTACAATCTGACCTCCTCAGATAATTCTCTGGTTTTCTTTCTTTTCTCAATGCTCATTGCGGTACACACAGTGACACAAAACAGAAGAATGAGTCCTTTTCTCTATTCAAACTGGTTGAATTAGTGATTTTTATATTGCAGGCACATACAACTCACCACAGATGAGTTCATTTCCAAAGTAAAGGAGAATCACTTGCTTCTAACTACTTCTAGAAGGTGCCAATAATATTGTTGGGGCCATTTTAGGATTTCCTTGTGGAATAAGCTAACATTTAGTAAATTATTCAGATTTTTTTGTTTTGTTCAACTGCAAACCAAAGACATACGTGGATACCAAAATATGTTTATATTTCAACAGTTTCTGGAAGAAATTGTGCATTATTTGAAAAAAGTGCAAGGGTGCCAATATTTCTGGCCACGACTGTAGCACTGTTTTTGCATGTTGGTTGGTTGGTTGATTGAGTCATTAATTCATCCATTAATTCACTCATTCTTTAATTCACTAATTCAGTCCATTGTTAATAACAATGTTAGGTCCCTTTACGGACTAATCTCACCTCTTGCTCTTCTCTCTCATCCATTAGACTGTTTGTGGATGTGGTGCAGGGGGATCTGTCTCAGCTGCACAGCAGACTAACTGCACTAGAGATGAGAATTCAGACTGAACTTGCTCTCCAACAGCAAATCAAATCCTTCCTCCGGGTAAGTGCTTCCTCTAAAATAATTAATAATATCTCAAAATAAGACCACAAGACTGCCACTTAAATGTTTCAGAAATGACCTTATATTGCAAGTAATTTGCGAGTAAATTGATTGGAATTTGGACTAACAATCGTAAGTTGTGAAAGGTAGTTTGCAAGACTTTTGTTGTGGCCTGTTGTTAGAGCACTGAGGGGAGGCTGGAGGAGGTGGAGGTGGAGGTGGAAGCTCTACTGCAGGCCCAACAGGACCTGGTAGACTTCTTCTGTGAGGACGATGTCACGTTCAAGCTGGAGGAGGCCTGCAGCATCTTTTACTCCTTCAACGTTCGCTTTCAGAAAGCTGTAGAAGTCAGCACCTGAGCAGCATCTGTTTGAGTTCAGCCATATTTTCACTTCTCCCATTGATATGAATGAATGTTATTTTGCTACAATAATGCATGTGTGCTGGTTGGCAAGACCTCCATCAATGTACTTTTATTTACCCTAAATGATTCAGTTAATTCTAATTTGATTACTCTTCTGATTTGTGTTTCAGGAGAATGCAAAGAGGGAGCTTCAGGAACAGAAGCGAGCAGAGAGGGAGAGGATGGAGAGGGACCGGGACAGGACGGTGAGACGTCGCTCCATAGCCACCTATTCATCACTGGAGGAAGACCTGGAGAGAACCCTGGAGAGGTGCCACTTCCATACCTGGTAGAGCCGCCTCAATGTGCGAAGCCCAGACAGCCGACTACACGCCATGAGTACAACATTACACAGCTTACTGGAGAACATCAATGATGATGATACTACAGAATCATGTGACGCACCACCACCAACCCCTGCCCATTCACCACCACCACCCCAGACAAAGCCTCAGCAGAGTGTGGCTGCTCCCCCCTCTGACCCCACCAACAGTATGCCAGCCCAGCCTGCCCAGGAGACCACCCCTCCGGTTGACAGCCCACAGTCGCCTCTGGAGCGCGCCCATCTGCAGGGCAGTCTACCAGAAGTGCCTGCCCCAGAGAAACAGCATGACACAGCCTCTGCCCAACCCACCACCATGGGACAGTCACAGAAGCCTGGGGAATGGGAGCGTCTGTATCCATTCATGGGAGACACAGTAGTGTGTCACACTCTTGTGACTGGCCTACACTCCTATAAGAACCTGACCCCAACACAGCCCCAGAAGGAGCCAACGAAAGGATCCCACTGCTGCTTACGGTTGAGGGACAAGCAGGAGCAGGACAGAGCGGCATCACCCCAGGTCCACAGAGTGGCAGCACCCCAGGTCCAGGGGGATAATGTGCAAGACAAAAAGGTGTGCACACCAGCTTCTAGGCTGCAGAGAAAAACTCTGCCCAGGAGCAGGGCTTCCAGACCCTCTGCCAGCCCCACTTACACCCTTTCCTCTACTGCCTCTGCCATCCCCACTTCCACAGCCTCTGCCATCCCAAAAATGCAGGGCAGGTCAGAAGCAGCCTCCACATGGTCCTCACTTCTCCCTCTCAGGAACTCAATGCGTTCCCCAACTCCATCCACCTTCAGAGATCATACTGAGGTCAGACAGGAAGGGATTGTTAGGGAGAAAATTATTTATCTGAATGAGCAGACAAAAAAAAGAATCTTCTTCGTCGACTACTAGAAAAAGACAAACCAAAGGAGAAGGAGAGAGAGAAGGAGAAGATAAAGGAGGAGGAAAGAGAGATGGAGATGGAGATCGAGAGAGAGAAAAGAAGAGGGAGATATCGAGGGAGAGAGAGAAGGAGTGGGAGGGAGTGAGAGGGGAGAGGGAAAGAGAGAAGGTAAAGCATAATGAAGAGAAGAAAAGAGGGAAAGAGAGGTAGAAGGTCAAGGAGAAAGAGAAGGCCACGGAGAGGGCAAATGATAATGAGAGGGAAAAGGCAGAGGAGAAGAAGCAGATAAAACTAAGCTAAAGTGGAGGGAGAAGGAAGTCAGTGGAGCCAGTGTCAGCTCTGTGTCCAAGCAGCTGCCCCTGCACCCTGACTGTCATACCTCTCTTCCCCGCTGTTCCCTTCAGAGCTCTGTGACCACTAGTGCCAAGGCCATATGCTGTGCTGTCATTGCTGCTGCGGCTGTGAATAAGGACAGGAGCAGCCAGTCCACAGTACCAAAGACCCAAGTTACAAAGCTGCCTGGCCCCAGGTCGAAGCTCCCAACTCCCCTATCCATGTGGAAGTGAGGCCACCCACACCCACTCAGTATGTGACCCAGACATACATAAAAACCCTCAGATCTAATATGAACAGATTCCAATGGGGATTCAAGAATAGTACATTTATTTGTAATATCACACTTCCTTGGCTTTAGCTGAGTAGGCTACCCTCAATTATGTTGAACTGAGGTGAGAACTGTGGTGAGAGTTTGAAAGTAGAATATTCTATCAGTATGCTGGACGTATTATTCAAGTTCATGTAAGAATTGGAAATGTTTGCTCATCAGTATCTGTATGCTGTTATTTATTCAGCTAATTTAATAGATAATCTATGATAATAAGGCATCTATTTTTATAATGATTTACTACTGAAAGTGTGATAAATATTGTAAGGTAGGTAATAAAAGAACACTCAATGCGTCCGGTTACGTAAACCTGCACCTTAGAGGCTGCTGCCCCATATACATAGACTTGAAATCACTGGCCACTTTAATAATGGAACACTAGTCACTCTAATAATGTTTACATATTTTTGCTTTACTCATCTCATATGTATATACTGTATTTTATTCTACTGTATTTTAGTCTATGCCACACTGACATTGCTCATCCTAATATTTATAATATTGATATGTTCCTTAATTCCATTATTTTACTTTAGGTTGTGTGTACTGTGTGTATTGTTGTGAATTGTTAGATATACTGCACTGTTGGAGCTAGAAACACAAGCATTTTGCTACACCCGCAACCCGCAAGATCATCAAAGACATCAACCACCCAAGCCACTGCCTGTTCGCCCCGCTATCATCCAGAAGGCGAGGTCAGTACATGTGCATCAAAGCTGGGACAGAGAGACTAAAAAACAGCTTCTATCTCAAGGCCATCAGACTGTTAAACAGCCATCACTAGCACATTAGAGGCTGCTGCCTATAGACATAGACTAGAAATCACTGGCCACTTTAAGAAATGGAACACTAGCCACTTTAATAATGTTTACACATCTTGCATTACTCATCTCATATGTATATACTGTATTCTATACTATTCTATGGTATCTTAGTCACTTAATGTTTACATATCTTGCATTACTCATCTTATATGTATATACTGTATTCTATACTATTCTACTGTATCTTAGTCAATGTCACTCTGACATCGGTCGTCCATGTCCAGTTGAAGTTGGAAGTTTACATACACCTTAGCCAAATACATTTTAACTCCGTTTTTCACAATTCCTGACATTTAATCCTAGTAAAAATTCCCTGTCTTAGGTCAGTTAGGATCACCACTTTATTTTAAGAATGTGAAATGTCAGAATAATAGTAGAGAGAATTATTTATTTCAGCTTTTATTTCTTTCAGCACATTCCCAGTGGGTCAGAAGTTTACATACACTCAATTAGTATTTGGTAGCATTGTCTTTAAATTGTTTAACTTGGGTCAAACGTTTCGGGTAGCCTTCCACAAGCTTCCCACAATAAGTTGGTGAATTATGGCCCATTCGTCCTGACAGAGCTGGTGTAACTGAGTCAGGTTTGTAGGCCTCCTTTCTTGCACACACTTTTTCAGTTCTGCCCAGAAATGTTCTATAGGATTGAGGTCAGGGCTTTGTGATGGCCACTCCAATACCTTGACTTTGTTGTCCTTAAGCCATTTTGCCACAACTTTGGAAGTATGCTTGGGGTCATTGTTCATTTGGAAGACCCATTTGCGACCAAGCTTTAACTTCCTGACTGATGTCTTGAGATGTTGCTTCAATATATTCACATCATTTTCCTTCCTCATGATGCCATCTATTTTGTGAAGTGCACCAGTCCCTCCTGCAGCAAAGCACCCCCACAGCATGATGCTGCCACCCCCGTGCTTCACGGTTGGGATGGTGTTCTTCGGCTTGCAAGCCCCCCCTTTTTCCTCCAAACATAACGATGGTCATTATGGCCAAACAGTTATATTTTTGTTTCATCAGACCAGAGGACATTTCTCCAAAAAGTACGATCTTTGTCCCCATGTGCAGTTGCAAACCGTAGTCTGGCTTTTTTATGGCGGTTTTGGAGCAGTGGCTTCTTCTTTGCTGAGCGGCCTTTCAGGTTATGTCGATATAGGACTCATTTTACTATGGATATAGATACTTTTGCACCTGTTTCCTTAACATCTTCACAAGGTCCTTTGCTGTTGTTTTGGGATTGATTTGCACTTTTCGCACCAAAGTACATTCATCTCTAGGAGACAGAATGCGTCTCCTTCCTGAGCGGTATGACGGCTGCGTGGTCCCATGGTGTTTATACCTGCGTACTATTGTTTGTACAGATGAACGTGGTACCTTCAGGTGTTTGGAAATTGCTCCCAAGGATGAACCAGACATGTGGAGGTCTACAATTTTTTTTCTGAGGTCTTGGCTGATTTATTTTGATTTTCCCATGATGTCAAGCAAAGAGGCACTGCGTTTGAAGGTAGGCCTTGAAATACATCCACAGGGACACCTCCAATTGACTAAAATGATGTCAGTTAGCCTATCAGAAGCTTCTAAAGCCATGACATCATTTTCTGGAATTTTCCAAGCTGTTTAAAGGCACAGTCAACTTAGTTTATGTAAACTTCTGACCCACTGGAATTGTGATACAGTGAATTATAAGTGAAATAATCTGTCTGTAAACAATTGTTGGAAAAATAGTAGTAAAAAAGTAGATGTCCTAACCGACTTGCCAAAACTATAGTTTGTTAACAAGAAATTTGTGGAGTGGTTGAAAAACGAGTTTTAATGACTCCAACCTAAGTGTATGTAAACTTCCGACTTCAACTGTATGTATATATTCTTAATTCATTCCTTACTTAAATTTGTGTGTATTGGGTATATGTTGTGAAATTGTTAGATATTACTTGTTATATATTACTGCACTGTTGGAGCTAGAAGCACAAGCATTTCGCTACACCCGCAATAACATCTGCTAAACATGTGTATGTGACCAATATAATTTGGTTAGATTTTGATTTGAACATCTGCTAAACATGTATATGTGACAAATAAAATGTGATTTGATTTGAATTTACCTGTAATAATGAAAGTAGGCAAAAGAAAGGAGAAATAATGTATGGATGAGGTGATGTACAGGAAGTTGTACTTGGGGATATTCAACAAGATGCTTGAATATGGAGTGAATGGGTGAGGAGGGAATAAACAGAGAAGGATCTGGTCAGGAATAAGACCCACTTTGATGAGTTTTGAAGTTATACATATTTAAAATGAGAGATGGAGTGGTGGGGTACGTGTGCTTGTAGGTGTCTTGATTAATAAAAAATGCATTAAAAGTGTATTTATATTTCGTACCTTGTGTTTATGGTTGTTCCAACTCTACACAAAACAATACAACTACGAAAATGTCATTTTGTCAGTGATCTGTGTGGCTTTTGTTAAATAACTCACTCCTCCACTGTACACAGACTGTACTGAAAAAAATATGTATGCACTCACTAAGTGTAAGCCGCTCTGGATAAGAGCGTCTGCTAAATGACTAAAATGTAAAATGTGAATGTACTGTAGCAGCTAGCTACTACAACAACCAGAATACAATACGATTTGGGCAAGAATCCCCGGATGAAATACTTCTGCTACAACAACGAAAGGAGGAGGGCGCGAGACAAGAAGCAGTGGGGCAATTTATCAAGATAACCTGACTTTCAGCTCAGTTAATGGGACATTTCAACTTCCCTACTAAATTCTTTGTGAGTTGTGTTCTTAATTTACCCTGGTTACAGAATATTTCCAACAAGTTATTCTTGTTCTCGGCCAATTTGACAACCTAGCGTTTAGCTTAGCTTGTAGCTGTGGCTATCTTGCGCTAACGCTAGCTAGAGTTCATAGCTAGCTAACGTTATCTACCTACGAAAACAAGCGCGTGCTAGGTGGCTAGTTAGATAGCTATCTAGTTGGCTCAAAGTGATCTGGTTTTCCTGGCGGATAGCTAGCTAAAACGCTTGGCTGTACACAACCGTTTTATTTTCATTCAATGATACGTTACTATTACGTTTGTCTACTTAGCTCGCCAAGTTAGCTAAGTAAATAGTGCAACTTTTTTCTAGCTAACGAGAAATAAAGTTATCTAGCTATCTTGTTTGCTAACTAAGTAGCTAGCTGAGCAAGTAACGTTAGTTAGGTCATGTTTGGCTATCATATTTGATTCATGCATTTAGCTATATTCTTACGAATGTCCTAGTTATGTGTTTTTTCTTACAGTGTTGGTAAACCCTCTCTGCCTCTTTACATTGAGGACCACATTGAAAATAAGTGTTGCAAAACACTGTTATCCTCTGAGTTCACTGATTTTACTCAATCAGACTACGTTGAACTTATGATCAGCATTTCATGGTCATATTTCTCCCCTTTCAAATCAAATGAAATTGTATTAGCCACATGCGTCGAATACAACAGGTGTAGACCTTACAGTGAAATGCATACTTACAAGCCCTAACCAACAATGCAGTTTTAAGAAAAGAAAAAAAAGTTAAGTACAAAATAAAAATAGCAAATAATTAAAGAGCAGCAGTAAAATAAAGTAACAGTAAGGAGACTATATACAGGGGGTACCGGTACAGAGTCAATGTGCAGGGCACCTGACTCACACTCTCATTGCCCCTTGTTTCAGGCACACTAGTCGCCAGTGTGGATGAGGGAAGCATGCAGACCATAAAGTGTGTGGTGGTGGGCGATGGTGCCGTGGGTAAGACTTGCCTGCTTATCTCCTACACGACCAACGCCTTCCCAGAGGAGTACATCCCCACCGTGTTTGACAACTACAGCGCCCAGATAAGTGTGGACGGCCGCGCCATCAGCCTTAACCTGTGGGACACGGCAGGCCAGGAGGAATACGACCGCCTGCGCACCCTCTCTTACCCCCAGACCAACGTCTTCATCATCTGCTTCTCCATCGGCAGCCCCTCCTCTCACGCCAACGTACGGCACAAGTGGCACCCAGAGGTATCCCACCACTGTCCCGGAGTTCCAGTGCTGCTGGTGGGCACCAAGAAGGATCTGCGTGGAGATACGGAGGCGGTGAAGAAGTTGAAGGAGCACGGCTTGACCCCCACCACCCAACAGCAGGGCAATGCCTTAGCCAAGCAGATCGGTGCTGTCAAATACCTGGAGTGCTCAGCTCTGATGCAGGAAGGTGTGAGGGAGGTGTTCGCAGAGGCTGTGCGAGCTGTGCTCTACCCCGTTACCAAGAAGAATGACAAGAAGTGTGTTCTGTTATAACTTTGTGCCTAGACTGTAGGGGGACAGGGGGAAGAGACTCACACAATTGGCTTGGCCATTTTGGCTCCCAATAGGCCTTCCACGTTCTAACCCTCACCACTGTTAGCTTTGCCTGGCTTCTATGTTAATTGATTGTTTGTCAAGAGGTCCTCTCCATTAAGATATGGTTTTAATTGATGCCATCAGCCTTCCTATGGATTTTTTGTACCTCTGAAATCAAAAACCAAAATGAAGATGCCAAGGGATTTCGATGGAGCCTTCTCAGCTGCCTTAAGTGTCCCCACCAGCTACATGTTTAAGAAGATTACATCTGCTTTTCTTTTCTCCTTCATCAGGCCAGTCTTATAACGTGTTGGACCTTTTCTGTTAACCTTGCCATCGTTTTCATCTGATGTGAATCGCAGGAATTTTGTGTCAATCAATAGCCACCGTGTTAAACATTTTGTTCATCCCTCTGTGCCATTATAGTTATAGTCTTATTACATTAGGGCTGTCAATAAGATACAGTTTGCCTCTAACGTGGCTCATAAGCCAGGGTCGCAGGACATCCGCTGAACTAGCCTCGCTGGAATTAGACAAGCAAGGGTATATGTATGACACTGTTACCCCAAACACAGGCACACTCTGATTAGATCAGTCTGTCTCCTATTGCTCTTTCACTTACTCACACTCCTTCTCTCTCTCTTACTCTGTAAAGCCATGAGCTTGCCATTGCACACAATGTTTTTTTGTTAAAACAAAGTCCTGATTGTCTCAGAGATTTGAATACAGATTTGGATGTCCATGTCTGCTAAGTAAACAGATCCCAAAGATTAATCTTCCATTTGTATTGCTGTTGTTGGAAGAAGTTGGCAAGAAATAGTTTTGAGTGATTGAGAGACTCCTCTCCCCCAAAAACTCAAACCTTCAGTCAGCTTACCTGCTTATGCGTAATAAACCATAAGTCAAACAGAAACCACAAGGCAAATACATTCCATGTTATATTGGCACTGAAATCTATGTGCTGAATAATGCTACGCATTAGGATGTCATAAAAATCCTGTACTGTTTAGCGTTACCGCCCTCATGTAGGTACGTATGTACGTGTGTTGAAGGTACCACATGTCAGCAGTGATGCTACTCATTTGTGGCTAACTGTGTTAACTTATCTAGGGGTAATGGCAAGTATGTATGACTAATACTGCAACAGGAGCTGCAACCCTAACAGTTACTAATATTGCATGGGCTGCATGAACATGCTTGTGGGATATTGGAGTGGAAAGGTATGTGCCTCTGCTGCAGGGCAGATGCCTACCTGAGAAGTGCCTACATATTTTATCCAAACCACTCTAGCAGGATTCTTTCAGTGCCTGCTGGTTATTATTGGTATGACTAGTTCTGTCGTTTGCCTCGTACCTTTGGTGATGTCATATGGGATCTGTGCAGCTTCTGTCCTTAAGGGCCACAGGGTCAGCTGGTTTTCATCAGACCGCAGCATTGAATTGAATGTAAAGTATTGCATTTGATGGACACCTGTTTATAAGTCATAGTAAATCTGCTGACTGGACAATACATGTGGTGGAAACCTGCAGAGTCTGTAGCACTTGAGAATTAAAGTTGCACTTCCTCTGTGTGGAAGTCTTTGCCTTCTCAAACAGATGGAATGCCCCCCACCACTGCCTGATAATAAATGGGTTCTGATGGAATGTCGTAGGTTTCTTAACAGGTAACCTGCTTTGACATGTATAACAGGTGATAAAGGTAAAATTAATAAGGGCAATTTTGTTTACATAAAAAAAAATAAGGCCGACATATTCCCTTATGTCTTTGGAGCTCAATGCCATTCTGTACTGCAGACTAAAGAGGCTTGATTGTGGTATTTATGATCCAAAAGAGACATTTGGCATTGGATATTTTATCATCCATTTAATTCCAGATACAAGTGCCATGGTCTTTATCTATTATGTGTAAACACTCGACTTGATTATATATTTTGATTTAATCATTTTTTACAATGGGAAGTCGATGTGTGTACTTTACAATACATCACATTTTATATCAACGATTGTTACCTTACATTATGTAACATGCATTACATTTACAAATAATGACTTTGATAACAATTTCTTACAATTAATTATATAATCAAAGGTAATGTAAAATAATGGGCAACTCATTTCTTAAATCTATTGTGTCGTCAGAGCATGCATCAAGGAAACATCACCTAAGTAAAAAAAAAATTATATATATATGAAATTTCTCTCCTATACTTACATATCACTGAAAGGGTCTTGTGTGGTACAGTGAACCCAAACCATATATTTGGTATTCCCCAGACTTGCCCTGCTGCACACAGCCTAAAATTGCTGAAAACTCATGTTTGGCCTCTTTTAATCTCCTTTAGCTGAAAGGGATGACTTGGCCTTGAAGTGCCTCAAGGATTGTATGGTGGTATGTGGTTTTTGACATAAGCGCTGTGGAATTTGATTTGTGCGTTAAAAATTAATTTTAACTGCAACAAAATCCACTTGAATAACAATTCTGTGGAAAATATCAGTCATGCCAAATAAACACAAACGTAAACTTTTGAATTTCTCAACTTTGTTCATGTCTTCTGTTGTATATTTGAAGCACTATTGAATGATGAAGACCTCAGCAGATAAACTGATTGAATATTAGACTGTATGCTTGTATAAACAGGAGGAATATTCAACAACTCCATTGACAGAGCCAGTGAGGGTAAGTCACCCCCTCAAAAAACCACTTTCAATATAGTCTGAGACAAGCACCTAGATTTGGTTTTACAGTTTGCTCACATCCCACAACAAAGGACAGAGAGCAGCTGCAGCATTCACATTGAACACTCTTACATCATACTTTGCTGTGACACCACTGTACACAAACATCTCATTGTCACTGCTTGGTGTAGCTCCCGTGTAGTTCAGTTGGTAGAGCATGGCACTCACAAAGCCTGGGTTGTGGGTTTGATTCCCATGGGGGACCAGTATGAAAATTTATGCACTCACTACTGTAAGTCGCTCTGGATAAGAGAGTCTGCTAAATTGTAAATGATTGCCTGTGCTGATGCATGGATGACTGGGCTCTTGCCCTGGTGGTTGGCACACAGATGTGTAGTGGGAACCATATAATTCATTCTACAGTGCTATGAAAAAGTATTTGCCCCCTTTCTAATTTTCTCTACTTTTGCATATTTGTGATACTGAATGTTATCAGATATTCAACCAAAACCTAATATTAGATAAAGGGAACATAAGTGAACAAATAACACAACAATTACATATTTATTTCATAAACAAAGTTATGCAACACCCAATTCCCCTGTGTGAAAAAGTAATTGCCCCCTTACACTCAATAACTGGTTGTGCCACCTTTAGTTGCAATGACTCCAACCAAATGCTTCCTGTAGTTGTTGATCAGTCTCACGTCGCTGTGGAGGAATTTTGGCCCACTCTTCCATGCAGAACTGCTTTAACTCAGTGACGTGTGGGTTTTCAAGCATGAACTGCTCGTTTCAAGTCCTGCCACAACATCTCAATTGGGATTAGGTCTGGACTTTGACTAGGCCATTCCAAAACGTCCAATTTGTTGCTTTTTAGCAATTTTCATGTAGACTTGATTGTGTGTTTTGGATCATTGTCTTGCTGCGTGACCCAGCTGCGCTTCAGCTTCATCTCACAGACGGATGGTCTGACATTCTCCTGTAGAATTCTTTGATACAGAGCAGAATTCATGGTTCCTTCTATTAAGGCAAGTTGTCCAGGTCCTGAGGCAGCAAAGCATCCCCAAACCATCACACCACCACCACCACGCATGACCTTTAGTATGATGTTCTTACTGTGGAATGCAGAGTTTGGTTTTCGCCAGGCATTACTGGAACCATGTCGTCCAATTTAAATCTGAAATGTCATAGATGACAAATTGCAAGAAAAGATAACTTTGGGGTCATATGTTAACAGAATTAGTAATTTAGCTTATTAAACACGAAAGGATGTTTCAAGTGAGAATTAGGCAGGTCTGATGCTGAAAAAGAAAGGACATTATTGCCTACTTCATATTGTTTTATTTTTCAAAAAAGAGTAGTGTGTAGTTCTAGTAGTTAGCTACACCACTACATGGCAAAAAAAAAAGTTAAACTACTGAAAACACTACCTAGATGTGAATTTAGTTAAACTATGACCAACCTACTGCAAAATGTAGTTACATTACTAGTTAAACTATGTTCATCTAGTTCACTACTCTCCAACACTGCTAATACCTAATTCTATGGATGGAACATGATAAATGTAGCAAGACACTTAACATTATGTCATAAAGGCAGAGACACCCCAAGCCAAGGGTGTTTACTGTCATTCTCAGACCAGTGAGCTTGGTTACTTAAGGCCTAAGAAGGGCTAGGAGTGAGGTCAGGTCACATCAGGTAACACCAATTTGTTACATCACGTATTAAACACCACTAGTCTTGTTGTTGAGGTAACATCACGTGTGCTACTGCACTTTCACACAGTCTGTGGCTTGCGTTGAACGGCCTTGTGCAAAAATAATGAACAATTGCACATGAAATACACTATCCTGTAGGTGGCGACAAAGTACGCGTAAACGGTAAAAAAGAAGCGGTGGGGCAATCCGTCACTGGTCCTCCTTCATGGAGCGGAAATGAACTATGCGCACGCGCATTGTACAATCTCACCAGGCTGTGTTGGTTGGTGTTGTCTGGATGGACTACATTTGAAAACAATGAAACCCATACATTTTCTTTCCAAATAACGGGTCTGTGAGTTACTTTAGACTACGTGCAAGCTTACCCACCCCTTTACCGCGTGTGGATACTGGCGCAGTGAACGGAGGTCGCATAGGGTACTAACGTTAGCTTGCCAAGATAGCTGCAATTTGGGTCCTAGGATATTATCAAGCTGGCCTTAACCCGAGGCCGACTTGTCCTTCCTAACTGAGTAAAAGTAACGCAAGGTAAGATACAACCTTCAACATACCTATTAATTTAGTTAGCATTTTTTGCTGTCTGTCATTCTATCCCGTTTGTTTTGATTATCATGCATGCATGCATGGATGCCATTGCTACCCCGTTTGCCACACAAACAGGATTGGTATTTTAACATGCCTAGTTTCACTTTTGTTCAGTTAACTGCATTCCATCTCTACTGACAAGTGAGGACTATATAAACAAGAGAGAATAGATTAATCACACATTTATATTGATGAGTCACCCCCACCCACCCCTGCTTTCTCAGGATGTCGGACTCAGACAGTGATGAAGACCAAGACCGCCCCTTCTCTCTCACTGGTTTCCTCTTCGGGAACATCAATGAAGATGGTCAGCTGGAGGGAGACAGTGTGTTGGACACTGTGAGTGACTATATTTTGTTAAAATAACAAAACACTGCATAGTGTGGAAATAAACACAACTGTTTTGAACACACACTAAAGTATGCCTAAAAACAGGACTGAGATGTACATTTGCTGAATATGGGTTTTGTGTTATTATATTGATCACTTGTCCACTATGTCTTTGGTGCAATGTTACTTATAAAGACAACAGTCATTTTCACACCTGGTATATTCCAATACACTTAGGCCTATATAAAAGGTGATGTTTGTTTGACAATGGGATTTCCTTCCACACCCCAGGAGTCCAAGAAACACCTGGCTGGCCTGGGCTCCCTGGGCCTGGGAAACCTCATCACAGAGATCACTGCCAGTGAGGAGGACGATCCTGACGAGGATGGAGACACAGGTGGCACAGACGCAGAGGGTAAGAGGAAGGGCATGAAGTAAGGCTGTGGGTGGGGTAGTACCGTGGCTGGGAACTGTTATTTAACTGTCTCAACATGAACAGTCAATATGCTTCTTAGTTGTGTTTGTAAGTTGTCTGTAAATACTGTGATAAATGAGTGACGGTTTCATGTCCTGTTTCTTATGTAGGCTGGGTGAAGAATGATGCCGATGCAGTTGATTATTCTGACATCAATGAGGTGGCTGAAGATGAGACTAAGAAGTATCGTCAGGCCATGGGCAGCTTGCAGCCTACCAGGAGAACAGGTGCAGTAATACCCATGCAACTCCACATATGTATATACTGTACACAGCCATCTAGGAGTGCATGTACCCTAGTTTACCAGAACAGATAAATTAATCGTATTTAATTTCCACCCTCTTTATCAGAGACTTTGCGAAGCCAGTAACTGGACACTTTTTCTCTCTCTCTCTCTCTGTCTCTGTCTCTGTCTCAGATGATGAGGATGAGGATGACTATGATGCGGATTGTGAGGATATTGATGCCAAGCTTATGCCCCCTCCACCTCCTCCAAGTCTCACCACGCCTGGTGGCAAGAAAGAGGATTCCTCTCCTACGGCTGCAAGTGGTAAGGATTGGATGAGGAAGGGCCAAAGGGTGCCGGTGAAAATATACTTTGTACTTACAGGACCAGTCAAAAGTTTGGACACCTACTCATTCAAGGGTTTTTCTTTATTTTGACTATTTTCTACATTGTAGAATAATAGTGAAGACATCAAAACTATGAAATAACACATATGGAATCATGTAGTAACCAAAAAAGTGTTAAACAAATCAAAATATATTTGAGATTCTTCAAAGTAGCCACCCTTTGCCTTGATGACAGCTTTGCACACGCTTGGCATTCTCTCAACCAGCTTCATGAAGGAGTCACCTGGAATGCATTTCAATTAACAGGTGTGCCTTCTTAAAAGTTCATTTTAAATTAAATTTCCTTCCAATCAGTTGTGTTTTGACAAGGAAGGGGGGGGTATACAGAAGATAGCCCTATTTGGTAAAAGACCAAGTTCATACTATGCCAAGAACAGTTCAAATAAGCAAAGAGAAACGACATCCATCATCACTTTAAGACATGAAGTGCAGTCGCAAAAACCATAGAGCGCTATGATGAAACTGCCTCTCATGAGGACCACCACAGGAATGGAAGACCCAAAGTTACCTCTGCTGTAGAGGATAAGTTCATTAGTTACCAGCCTCAGAAATTGCAGCCCAAATAAATGCTTCACTGAGTTCAAGTAACAGACACATCTCAACATCAACTGTTCAGAGGGGACTGTGTGAATCAGGCCTTCATGGTCGAATTGCTGCAAAGAAACCACTACTAAAGGACACCAATAAGAAGAAGAGACTTGCTTGGGCCAAGAAACATGAGTAATGGACATTAGACCGGTGGAAATCTGTCCTTTGGTCTGATGAGTCCAAATGTGAGATTTTTGGTTCCAACTGCCATGTCTTTGTGAGATACAGAGTAGGTGAACGGATGATCTCTGCATGTGTGGTTCCCACTGTGAAGCATGGAGGAGGAGGTGTGATGGTGTGGGGGTGCTTTGCTGATGACACTGTCAGTGATTTATTTAGAATTCGAGGCACACTTTACCAGCATGGCTACCACAGCATTCTGCAGCGATACGCCATCCCATCTGGTTTGCGCTTAGTGTCCTGTTTTTCAACAGGACAATGACCCAACACACCTCCAGACTGTGTAAGTGCTATTTGACCAAGAAGGAGAGTGATGGAGTGCTGCATCAGATGACCTGGCTTCCAATCACCCGACCTTAACCCAATTGAGATGGTTTGGGATGATTTTGACCGCAGAGTGAAAGAAAAGCAGCCAACAAGTGCTCAGCATATGTGGGAACTCCTTCAAGACTGTTGGAAAAGCATTCCAGGTGAAGCTGGTTGATAGAATGCCAAGAGTATGCAAATCTGTCATCAAGGCAAAGGGTGGCTACTTTGAAGAATCTCAAATATAAAATCTATATTTGTTTAACACTTTTTTGCTTACTACATGATTCCATATGTGTTATTTCATAGTTTTGACATCTTCACGATTATTCTACAATGTAGAAAATAATAAAAATAAAGAAAAACCCTGGAATGAGTAGGTGTGTCAACTTTTGACTGGTACTGTATATTGTACAAGCATGATTCTTCACAATCCGTAAAAAAATAAACAGGGATATTGATGTATTTAATGTCAAGAATACATGCTAGTAATTTAGCACTCATAGAGTCAGAGGGGCTCTAATCCCAGTGTCTGCTATTGTTGGTTTCTACACAGTTGGGGATGAAGGAGACGGGATCATCCTGCCCTCCATCATTGCTCCCTCCTCTCTGGTAGACAAAGTGGACTTCAGCAGCTCCTCAGATTCTGAGTCGGAGACAGACCGCCCCTCCACAGGCTCCGGGTCTGGGGGTCCTCCAGCCTGCCTCAGCCTGCCCCTGGCTGGCATCATGCAGAAGGATGCTGCCAAAGCCCTGCCTGGCGTCACACAGCTCTTCCCAGAGTTCAGGCCTGGAAGGGTGAGCTGTCCTCCTTGGAAACACTGTATAGTACACCAAATATCAGAGAGTTGTGATTGGATCATTAATGCCTTTTAAAAAGGGGAAGATCGAGCATAAATTAACGTATATCCATCCACTCCTCTGAACCCATCCAGGTGCTGCGGTTCCTTAGACTGTTTGGCCCTGGGAAGAACATGCCGTCGGTGTGGCGGAGTGCACGAAGAAAGAGGAAGAGGAAGCACCGCGACCCCCAGCCAGAGACACCCCCATCAGAGGGCGCTGAGCCCATGGAGCAGCAGGGACCAGAGAAGATATCTGGCTGGGACTATGAGTACGCCCCACCTCCACCCCCAGAGCAGTGCCTGTCTGATGACGAGGTCAGTGTGCAACAATCTCTTATTCCGAGATGTGAAAACCTGTTTGAAATCCGTGTGAAACTGTGTGGTTATTTACCTGTATAGTTTTTCACAGCTAGTTTATGAGAGCTTACTAGGTTTAGTAATATGATTCAGTCGCAGTATAATTCTGTATGGGTTCTCTCTCCTTAGAAAGTGAAATGGACAAAAGAGATTACTCAAAAAGATCATCTTCAATAATTCATTCCCTGTCCCTCTCGCCTTCCCCAGATCACCATGATGGCCCCAGTAGAGTCCAAGTTCTCCCAGACCTCTGGAGACGGGGACAAGGTGGCAGAGTCCAGGCCCAAGGTGGCAGAGTGGCGCTACGGTCCGGCCCAGCTCTGGTACGACATGATGGGGGTCCCTGAGGATGGCAGTGGCTTCCACTACGGCTTCAAACTGAAGGAGGAGGAGGAAGATGAGCAGGAGAAGCAGGAGAGGCCAGAACCACCACCACCACCAGTTCCACAACCTCCCAAAGAGGTTAGCAACCCATACACTTCACTGATGCTTTAGGATTAGGGCTGAACTCACTCATTTTACCTCGCTTTTCCACATCATCATTAAGAAATGCTAGAAGCAATGAGTTTTAAGTGGGTGTGTTCGCTACCGTTGTGTGTTCCTCTTTACTTGAAATATCCCAAACAGCCACCGTACGTGTGATGAATGGCACAGTAACGGCACGGCGCAGCATGACAACGTGAACATGATTGGTCAAGAATCCCAAGCTCAGAGCATTTCCTGCTTTCTAGAGTATCAGTATCTTTGATGAACGTTTTGATGCTAAAGTTAGCACATGAATGTGAGGATGTTTGAATTGGAAAGAAACCAAGACGTTTATAACAAACAAGTCTCGTTCTTTCAAAATAACAATGCCGACGATATTCGTCTCATTTGTTGTCTCATGTTATGTCGCAGCTGTGCTCTGAATCAATGAGTATTTGGGTGCTGCCAGACGTGGGCATGTGGGCAGGATTGAAATCTAAACCCAACCCAAGGAAAACTGTGACGTATCCTAGATTCCTTAAATCTTGCAAATTATGACCAAAGTTCTACCATTTACACTTTTTAGTAAATGTTGCAACTATTACAATTGTTTAAGACCAATATCAATGCCACATAGGCCGTTTTCAACCAGAGAAGTTGGTTTTTGAGTTCAGCTCCTCTTTGAGAATCAATCTTCCATTTCTAGCTATACCTTCTTCCAACTCTTAGTTAGAAGAGAACAGACAACATTCAATAAAGACTTACCATGCTCTTTGTTTTTTTCTGTCTCTCTTTCTGTCTAGGAGGGCAGTGGTGACGAAAAGGACGAACAGGCCCTGGAGAACGAGCTCTTTCTGATGGTCACCCAGCTTCAGTGGGAGGACGACATCATCTGGAACGGAGAGGACGTGAAACACAAAGGCACTAAGACCCAGCGAGCCAGTCTGGCAGGGTGGCTGCCTTCCAGCATGACGCGCAATGCCAATGCCTACAACGCACAGCAGGGTGAGCGACCCACCCACTCTACTCCAGTACCAATGAACACAAACTGACCTGCATACTGGAGATTCCTACCTCATTGAAATCCCATCGCCAAAGTGTAAACCCCAACCATCCAGGGGTTTTAGGACTACAGTGGCAAATATAAACTGATATAATTGTTGTGTATTTGTCTGCTTTGGGTTATCTAGGTATTCATGATGTCTATCTACACTACAGGTCTGTGTAGGAGTAACTCTCAGCTGGTGCCCCCCACTCCTCCACCCATGCCCAAAGCCCCCTCCATCGGCTCTGGCTCCAAGAGGGACAAACACCACCATGACCATTATGGTACGATGAGGCTATTTTACCTGGTATCAGTTGTAGAGTGTAATTGACTGTTATAATGATGAACAATGTGATATTACAACATATTCCTACTTATCTTCGTTAGTTGACATGGTGAATGTACCACTAAAGAGTAAATCTATCACTACTGATTCCCTATTGGTCTCGCCACAGCCTCTCATGAAGATGACGCCCCCTGGTTCTCCATCTTCCCCATTGACAATGAGGAGCTGGTGTACGGGCGCTGGGAGGACAACATAATCTGGGACGACCAGGCCATGGACCGCATGCTCTCGCCCCCTGTCCTCACCCTGGACCCCAACGATGAGAACATCATTTTAGGTACTGCCCCTTTCTTAGTGAACTGTTTGTACAGTTTTTCATTCAGTTTCAACCAATTATCAAATATCTTGATGGTCTGTAACCTTTTGAATGCTTTGATCTATCCACTAATCTCTGAACTTGGCCTCTTGCAGAAATCCCAGATGAGAAGGAGTCTGAGCATACGTCCCACTCCCCGTCCAAGGAGAACAAGAAGGAGTCAGCACTGAAGAAGAGTCGCATCCTGCTGGGGAAGACTGGGGTCATAAAGGAGGAGCCTCAACAGGTACTACAGGACTGGACCAGAAAACATAACATACAGTTGAAGTCGGAAGTTTACGTACACCTTAGCCAAATACATTTAAACTCAGTTTTTCCACAATTCCTGACATTTAATCCTAGTAAAGATTCCCTGTCTTAGGTCAGTTAGGATCACCACTTTATTTTAAGAATGTGAAATGTCAGAATAATAGTAGAGAGAGTGATTTATTTCAGCTTTTTTTTTTTTTTTTTAACATTCCCAGTGGGTCAGAAGTTTACATACACTCAATTAGTATTTGGTAGCATTGCCTTTAAATTGTTTAACTTGGGTCAAACGTTTCGGGTATCCTTCCACAAGCTTCCCACAATAAGTTGGGTGAATTTTGGCCCATTCCTCCTTACAGAGCTGTTGTAACTGAGTCAGGTTTGTAGGCCTCCTTGCTCGCACACGCTTCTTCAGTTCTGCCCACACATTTTCTATAGGATTTAGGTCAGGGCTTTGTGATGGCCACTCCAATACCTTGACTTTGTTGTCCTTAAGCCATTTTGCCACAACTTTGGAAGTATGCTTGGTGTCATTGTCCATTTGGAAGACCCATTTGCGACCAAGCTTTAACTTCCTGACTGATGTCTTGAGATGTTGCTTCAATATATTCACATCATTTTCCTTCCTCATGATACCATCTATTTTGTGAAGTGCACCAGTCCCTCCTGCAGCAAAGCACCCCCACAGCATGATGCTGCCACCCCCGTGCTTCACGGTTGGGATGGTGTACTTCGGCTTGCAAGTTACCCCCCTTTTCCTCCAAACATAACAATGGTTATTATGGCCAAACAGTTCTATTTTTGTTTCATCAGACCAGAGGACATTTCTCCAAAAAGTACGGTCTTTGTCCTCATGTGCAGTTGCAAACCGTAGTCTGGCTTTTTTATGGCGGTTTTGGAGCAGTGGCTTCTTCCTTGCTGAGCGGCCTTTCAGGTTATGTCGATATAGGACTTGTTTTACTGTGGATATATATACTTTTGTACCTGTTTCCTCCAGCATCTTCACAAGGTCCTTTGCTGTTGTTCTGGGATTGATTTGCACTTTTCGCACCAAAGTACGTTCATCTCTAGGAGACAGAACGCGTCTCCTTCCTGAGCGGTAAGACGGCTGCGTGGTTCCATGGTGTTTATACTTGCGTACTATTGTTTGTACAGATGAACGTGGTACCTTCAGGCGTTTGGAAATTGTTCCCAAGGATGAACCAGACTTGTGGAGGTCTAAAAAATAATTTTCTGAGGTCTTGGCTGATTTATTTTGATTCAAGCAAAGAGGCAGTGAGTTTGAAGGTAGGCCTTGAAATACATCCACAGGTACACCTCCAATTGACTCAAATGATGTCAATTAGCCTATCAGAAGCTTTTAAAGCCATTACATCATTTTCTGGAATTTTCCAAGCTGTTTAAAGGCACAGTCAACTTAGTGTATGTAAACTTCTGACCCACTGGAATTGTGAGACAGTGAATTATAAGTGAAATAATCTGTCTGTAAACAATTGTTGGAAAAATTACTTGTGTCATGCACAAAGTAGATGTCCTAACCGACTTGCCAAAACTATAGTTTGTTAACAAGACTTTTGTGGAGTGGTTGAAAAACGAGATTTAATGACTCCAACCTAAGTATATGTAAACCTCAAACTTCAACTGTAGATCTGTATCTTAAATGCCATTCTGCTGTCCCTGAACTAATCTGTTAACTCCTTTTCTGTTTGGTCTGCTGCCTACAGAACATGTCCCAGCCCGAGGTGAAGGACCCATGGAACCTGTCCAATGATGAGTTCTATTACCCCAAGCAGCAGGGCCTGAGGGGCACCTTCGGTGGCAACATCATTCAGGTGGGTGCTAGATTCTCTCCTGTGAGCTCTCTTCCTATACAGATTCCTTGGGTGCATCAAAACTGGGACAAAGAGAATGAAAACAGCTTCTATCAAGGCCATCAGACTGTTAAATAGCCATCACTAGCACATTAGAGGCTGCTGCTGCCTATTGAAATCACTGGCCACTTTAAGAAATGGAACACTAGTCACTTTAATCATGTTTACATATCTTGCACTACTCATCTCATATGTATATACAGTATTCTATAATATTCTACTGTATCTTAGTCCATGCCGCTCTGTCATTGCTTGTCCATATCTGTATATATTCTTAAATTCCATTCCTTACTTAGATTTGTGTGTATTGGGTATATGTTGTGAAATTGTTAGATATTACTTGTTAGATATTACTGCACTGTCGGAACTAGAAGCACAAGCATTTCGCTACACCCGCAATAACATCTGCTAAACACGTGTATGTGACAAATAAGATTTGATTTGATCAGCAGTTAAAGAGGATAATCTTAACAATAGTGTAGGATAATCTGAATATACTGAATGTTCACAGTAGTTGTATGTAACCTTTTCTGTCTATCTTTCTCTCCAGCACTCCATCTCTGCAGTGGAGCTGAGGCAGCCGTTCTTCCCTACTCACATGGGACCCATGAAGCTGCGTGGCTTCCACCGGCCCTCTCTGAAGAAGTACTCGTTTGGGACGTTGTCCCAGCCAGGTCCCCATGCAGCACAGCCCCTTCTCAAACAGATCAAGAAGAAGGCCAAGGTGAGGCCCCAGCCCCAGAATTCACCTCATCCACCTCCATCCTTCTCTCTGTCTTAACACAGGTCATCAGGAATGCATCTGTCTATGTGTGTTGATAACCATGTCTGTGTGTGATTTGTGTTAAATGTATTTTTCTGTGCCCATAGATGAGAGAGCAGGAGCGCCAGGCTTCCGGTGGCGGTGACATGTTCTTCATGCGGACAGCTCAGGATCTGACGGGGAAAGACGGAGACCTGATTCTGGCAGAGTACAGCGAGGAATACCCTCCGCTCATCATGCAAGTCGGCATGGCAACCAAGATCAAGAACTACTACAAGAGAGTGAGTCACTGCACTAGTCTTTCAACTACCATTTCCCTTGTATCAACATTGATTAGCATTTACTAAAAGCAGAACGACCTCAGTGGTTATTTACCTTCCTCTATTGTCTATGAGTTGTGTTTTGTTAACATACATTATGTGTAAATGCACTTTAAAATCTATTTGACCTAGATAGTTTGTGTGTATGTATTGATATGTAGGCTACGTGTGCCTTTTGTAAAAAAAAAAAAACAAAAAAAAAAACATTAATGTATGTAGTTCTGTCCTTGAGCTGTTGTCTATTAATGTTCTGTATTATGTCATCTTTCATGTTTTGTGTGGACCCCAGGAAGAGTAGCTTCTGCTTTTCCAACAGCTAGGGGATCCTAATAAAATACAAAAAAATACAAAAAACATGTCTGTTTTCCCTCAGAAACCAGGGAAGGACCCTGGAGCTCCAGACTGCAAGTACGGAGAGACCGTGTACTGCCACACCTCACCCTTCCTGGGCTCCCTGCACCCTGGGCAGCTGCTGCCGGTCAGTCCCACAGTCATTACAGTCATTTACATGACCATTTATTGATGTTTGAAAAATAACTAGCTGTGAATGAGCCTGATACCCAGAAAGAGAAAATGTAGAGATCTGTCATGTCTTTTTTTATTTTAGGCTTTTGAGAACAACCTTTTCCGCGCCCCCATATACCTCCACAAGATGCCAGAGACAGATTTCCTGGTGCTGCGTACGCGGCAGGGCTACTTCATCAGAGAGCTGGTGGACATATTTGTGGTTGGACAGCAGTGTCCGCTCTATGAGGTCCCTGGACCCAACTCCAAACGAGCGAACACCCATATCAGAGACTTCCTGCAGGTATACCTTGCGATATATACACACACACACACACACACACACGCATTACGACATCTACAAATCCACACACTCTCTCTCACACACACACACACACACACACACACACACATTGTCACACACAAGAGAAACACACTTACAGAATGCATGCTTGCCTACAATCATGTCTCTGTCTCCTCTTCTGTGCAGGTGTTTATCTATCGGTTGTTCTGGAAGAGTAAAGATCGTCCTAGGAGAATCCGCATGGAGGACATAAAGAAAGCTTTCCCCTCACATTCAGAAAGCAGCATCCGCAAACGCCTAAAACTCTGTGCTGACTTCAAGCGTACAGGTAGAAACAGCTAACCCTGCTTACCCTAGCCTTGTCGAGAATCAGGCTTCCCTAAAACGGGAAGCCTGGGGAAGTTTAATTGCTAAATATGGGTGGAGACCCAGTGTAAATCAGTGATGCCTTGCAACACGTGGTCCTCTGTAGCTCAGCTGGTAGAGCACGGCGCTTGTAACGCCAAGGTAGTGGGTTCGATCCCCGGGACCACCCATATACAAAAATGTATGCACACATGACTGTAAGTCGCTTTGGATAAAAGCGTCTGCTAAATGGCATATTATTATTATTATTATTAAACAAATCAAATGCCTAGTGTTTTAGGTGCAACAGTGCATGAGGATGGCTGGGAAATCGCAGATTAAAACCCCATCAAAATATGTTGATGTATGTCAATTTTGTGTATAGAGCACACTTCTTGCAAAACAGACGAACATAACACGTAGCACCAACGGGCATGTGGGGGGAGGGTTCATGAAATGTAGCATCCAATCAAAGTCTTGCCGCTGGGAGCCCGCTTTTGCAAGAGAAAATTATCCAGACCTCCAAGGGAGGAGTGAAACGACGTGATTTTGGAGGTATGGTAACGTGAGACTATGCTTACCCCAATACTACCGTATAGCTTCATGTTTGTCAGTAGTACAGTATTGTTTGTCCTCACAAAGATGAGGAAGTAATGCAGAAATGTGAATATGCCTCGTGAACTTTGTCACTCACAGCTGTCCAACAATCCTGATTTCCTCTTAAAGGGATACTGCAAAATGTTTAGATTTAGGTCGTGTTTCTATTTGCCCAGAGTCAGACAAACTTATGGATACCATTTTTGTGTCTCTGTTAGTGCTGAGCGATTAACTGAAATGTCTTTATTTTTCTGTTTTTAAACAACTAATTGACTGACGTCGATTCAATTATTAGAATTCCATTTCGTTCGTTTTTTTTCTGTGAGCTGGATGTGCTGTTTCAGTAGAGATAAATCCGATCAAGCCCGAACTATGCGATGTAGTAAGGAGTTGTAGTTTCCAACAGGCCAATATTCTGCATAGTTTAGCGCAGGAAACTTGGTAATTAACTACAATGACCATAATCCATTGCGAGCCCGCCTGTTTGTCCCGGTCTGTGTGGAGCAGACACTGAGAGAGCGAAGAGAGAGAAAACGATCAAGAGGGATAGAAAGCAGTTGCTTCGCGATGTATCGCTACCTGAAAATACATGGTCTAAGTGATTGATAGTTGGTATTCAGCAGTCATAAAAGTATACCTTATTTACTTTGAAGAACTAGTAATTATAGTGATTTTGTCAGACAGCATAGGCAGTAGCTCTAAAGAGATGAGATGATGACTTGGAATGAAATAATAAAGTAATCAAATAAAGCAAATATTTTATTAAAGTAATGTGAATAAATTATGGTTAATAAGTGATAAGCAGTAATGGGCAGTCACTACAGCATTCAACCCACATAATGCATAGTGCATTTAATGTTTAAAAAAATTAGCGAAATTGGAAACCGTGATTATTTTTTAATAATCGAACCAAAACCGAACCGACCTAAAAAAGCACACATCTCTCAGCACTACTCTGCGTGCAGTTTGGATATTATTGAAGTTATCATAATGTTAGCTTAGCGCAATTGCTGGAAGTCTCCTGGTACACTAGCCAGCTCCTCTCAAAATACACAAAAACAACGTTGCGATCTCTACATCTCTATGCGATAACGAGACAGAGAATGAGGAAGTGGATATAATCTAGTTTCTTATGATTGTCAGTGAAATTAACACATTTATAAAATATTGATTACTATGTATAACTTTGTAAGACAATAAATGACCAACCACCCAGCTTTGGAGTAGTTAGGTCAATTTCTCTGCTTTTGAGAGGAGCTGGCTACTGTAACGGGAGACTTCCAGCAATTGCGCTAAGCTAACGATATGCTAATTTCAACTTTCTCCAAAATGCACGCAGAGACATAAAAATGGTATCCATGAGTTTGTCTGACTCTGGGTAAGTACAGAAACGACCTGAATCTCAATCTCACAGTATCCCTTTGTTTCTGCTCCTGTGTGATCTCAGGGAAGTGTTGAGGTGTAAGAGAGAGAGGTGACTCTGATGCTTAGCTGTGTGAGCTCAGAAATGGTGTGCCTTTGACAGACAGGCGTCAGGAAAGAGAGATGTCAGCATATTATGGATATTGAGTTTACTGTGGCGGTAAGGTGTGGTCTGAGGAAAGCATCAATAAGGTACCATAGGTTTGCAGGGTCCTTCGTTAATATATGCTGTTCTGCTCCTGCAACACCTCTGCTTTTGAGCTTACAAGAAGCTTCACTTGATGAAATGAAAAAATATCCAAAGGGTATAAGATCTTATACCCTTTGGAGAGGGGGAATTCTCATGCGACATGCGTCCATGAATCTTACAAAGCTGTAAGTTGGGCTGTAAGGGTGGAGTTAAGAGAACGTGGTTAATACTTGTTATATGATTTAAGCTCATTTGCCCTCCCCCTGTCTCCAGGGATGGACTCTAACTGGTGGGTGCTGAAGCCTGACTTCAGGCTGCCTACTGAGGAGGAGATCAGGGCCATGGTGTCTCCAGAGCAGTGCTGTGCCTACTACAGCATGCTGGTGGCAGAACAGAGACTGAAGGTAAGACTGACAGGCTCTTTATTTAGGTACTATCTGTGATATCGGTACTCTGTATGGCACTGTGTGAACTATAATATAACTTTTCTCTCTCTCCACCAGGATGCTGGATATGGTGAAAAGTCATTCTTTGCCCCAGAGGAAGAGAACGAGGAAGACTTCCAGATGAAGATTGATGATGAGGTTCAGCTCTACTCTGCTTCCTTTTCATAAAAAATGTTGATGTTGAAAAAAAGGATCATCCATGATCTCACCAGTATTCAATGTGGTCCACCCTAGGTCCGCACAGCCCCTTGGAACACAACGCGAGCCTTCATCGCTGCCATGAAGGGGAAGTGTCTGCTGGAGGTCATGGGGGTGGCCGACCCCACAGGTTGTGGAGAGGGATTCTCCTATGTCAAAGTGCCCAACAAGCCCACTCAACAAAAGGTACTCCCTCTTTGTCTTACCCCAGTGCTCTGAAACACTTCTGCCAGATCCGTATCCAGATCAGGGGGCCCTAATTCCAGTCATGCGTTCACAGCCTTTCTGACAAAAATATAATCTGTCACAGTCCATAAAAGCAAGACCTATGTTTCTGTTATAACCATTCAATTGTTGTTTGATGATTATTTAATAATGTATTACTGAGCTAAAGGTTATTTGTCGTGTTTAGGCCCAGGATGACCGGGAGCCACAACCCGCTAAGAAGACTGTGACAGGGACAGACGCTGATCTGAGAAGACTATCACTGAAAAACGCCAAGCAGCTGCTGCGCAAGTTTGGTGTTCCAGAGGAGGAGGTAATCACGTAGTAATAGCATATTACATAATAATGTCTTAAATTCCCTCATTTCTTCCACCAACCTAAGTATGAAGGATAGATCAATCTCTTAAATCTGTGTTTATATGTGCATTTCAGATAAAGAAGCTGTCTCGTTGGGAGGTGATTGACGTGGTGAGGACAATGTCTACAGAGCAGGCGCGCTCTGGCGAGGGGCCCATGAGCAAGTTTGCCCGTGGGTCCCGCTTTTCTGTAGCCGAACACCAGGAGCGCTACAAGGAGGAGTGCCAGAGGATCTTTGACTTGCAGAACAAGTGAGGTCATCTCATCCTCCATCCCCCCTTATCCAAATAACCATAATTCACCACCCATTTCCTATAGGGATGCTGTAGTTGTACAGTATCTGATGTTCTACCCTCTACTTTCTCCTCAGAGTATTGGAGTCCACAGAGGTCCTGTCCACAGACACAGACAGCAGCTCAGCGGAGGACAGTGACTTTGAGGAGATGGGGAAGAACATTGAGAACATGCTGCAGAACAAGAAGACCAGCTCCCAGCTGTCCAGAGAGAGGGAGGAGCAGGAGAGGAAAGAGCTGCAGAGGATGCTGATGGGAGAGGAGAGCGACCGCGACCACAAGGGACGCAAAGCACGCAAGGGCTTCTGTAAGTGGCGTGTGTATGCATGTGTGTTTCAGGCTTTTTTTCTGTGTGTTTACAGGAGTGTGTGTGTAACTCGTATCTCTCTCTGTGTGTCCCTGCAGCCAGTGCTTTGTCCACGGGCTCCCATAAAGATGACGACACGTCCTCGGTCACCAGCCTGAACTCGTCCGCTACGGGACGGCGCCTCAAAATCTACCGCACCTTCAGAGACGAGGATGGCAAGGAGTATGTCCGCTGTGAGACAGTCCGCAAACCCTCCGTCATTGACGCCTACACCAGAATCAGAACCACCAAGGATGACGAGTTCATGTAAGTTCCTCCGTCAGTGTAGTGTGTGTCTGTGTAATATGAGTGTTTGGCCTGTGTGTAGTGTACCCAACCTCACACAGTCTTTGTCTGCCTTCTGCCACTGTAGAAAGAAGTTTGCGCTGTTTGACGAGCAACATAGAGAGGAGATGAGGAAGGAGCGGAGGAGGATCCAGGAGCAGCTGAGGAGGCTGAAGAGGAATCAGGAGAAGGACAGGTTCAAGAGCCCCCCAGAGAAGAAAGCCAAGAAGATCAAGGAGAGGCCAGACCTCAAGGTAAAAGTAAGCTTGCCAGCCCATAATGATTCAACTCCAAGACTATCCCCTCCTACTTTTCCATAACCTGCTGTATGTATTCCTGCTGACCTGCTGTCTCGAAAATAGGATCATTTAGTTCAAGATAAACCTTCCTCTCTTTTTTCACACTTTTTTCTTTAATAGCAATATATTATATTGCTTATAATAAGCATGATAATGTAGCGTTTGGCTTACTACAGTGAAAGTAGCATGATGTGATTCAGTGACCTGCAATCAACATTGTTATGTACAGAGTGTTTGTCTGGTTGTTAACTACATCTCTTTTTCTTTCTTCCTCCCCCTTGCCCTAGCTGAAGTGCGGCGCTTGCGGTGCCATCGGGCACATGCGAACCAACAAGTTCTGCCCGCTGTACTACCAGACCAACGCTCCGCCCTCCAACCCGGTTGCCATGACGGAGGAGCAGGAGGAGGAGCTGGAGAAGACTGTCATCCACAATGACAACGAGGAACTCATCAAGGTGGAGGGAACCAAGATCGTCCTGGGCAAGCAGCTCATCGAGAGGTGTACACACACACACACACACACACACACACACACACACACTCTGACAGGAGAGGGGGATAGTTCTAATTTCTTTCCAAATCACAACTGAATATCAGTAGTCTTTTCCACTCTCTTTGTGGACCGAAAGTTCCTATAGATGTGTTCCTTATGCTCTCTACGTCTGTCTAAATGTTAGTGATATATTACGTTGTGCTGCTGTGTAAAGGACCATGTTGTCTCCTCTCCCAGTGCTGATGAGGTGCGCAGGAAGTCCCTGGTGCTGAAATTCCCCAAACAGCAGCTTCCCCCCAAGAAGAAGAGACGTGTTGGGAACAACGTACACTGTGACTACCTCAATGTGAGCCTGGTAGCCAGTTACCATATTTACTTTGGTTGCGTATGACTATTCAGTATGACTATTCAGTTAAAGCAAGATATAAAGCAACAATATTTAACACTGTGATAGTTATGCCTTAGCTCTCTGTGGTTTTTGTTTTGTTTCATCCTCTCACAGAGGCCCAACAAATCCATCCACCGCAGACGCACTGACCCCATGGTCACCCTGTCCTCAGTCCTGGAGAGCATCATCAATGACATGCGTGATCACCCCAATGTAAGATCAACCCACTGCTTACAGACAGACAGTGCCTACACTCCTCCAAACACTATATAGGTTTCTCTCTCACACACATACACACAAACACTTTTGTCACGCTAATTGTGTTGTCTTTACCTCTTGTCACAGACATACCCCTTCCACACACCAGTCAATGCCAAGGTGGTGAAGGACTACTATAAGATCATCCCTCGTCCCATGAATCTGCAGACACTACGGGAGAATGTGCGCAAGCGTGTGTACCCCTCCCGGGAGGAGTTTAGAGAGAATGTGGAGCTCATTGTCAAGAACAGTGCCACATACAACGGTACAAATCTAAACCACTTGAAGCCTTAGAGAATGACTCATATTTTACTCTGACCGACCATTCTGTAACTTATTGCGACTGTAATTGTTGTGGTGTATTCAGGTGCCAAGCATCCAATTACCCAGGTGGCTCAGACTATGCTGGACCTTTGTGATGAGAAACTGAAAGAGGTACGTGTGAATGTGTACGCTGATGGATTCCTGGATGGGTGCCACTATCAAAGGCCCAATTTCTGCTTCTCTGTGGCAGGAGGAGGAAAATGTTCAGCAACTCTTGGAAGACAATGGAAGTGGCCTTTAATAGTACTTGTTATTTATTAAACTGGTAAATTCCTTTGTCCTGTGCAGAAGGAAGACAGGCTGGTGAGACTGGAGAAAGCCATCAACCCCCTACTGGACGATGACGACCAGGTGGCCTTCTCCTTCATCCTGGACAACATCGTCACTCAGAAGATGATGGCCGTGCCTGACGTGAGTGGAGCTTCACCCAATAATCAGGGGTGTATGCTTTCTTTCGGGCGCTTCGGATGTCACTGAGAGAATATCTTCTATTTGTATTTTCTTTGTAACTTAAGTCGTTTCACTGAAGTTTTTTCTTTGGCCTTAACAAATGTACTAAAATATTGACAATTCTGCCAGTAGTTCAATCAAGTACACAGTGTGATAATGTTCTAACTGTCCTTACTCTGCCTCTATCCCCTCTTCAGTCTTGGCCGTTCCACCATCCAGTCAACAAAAAGTTTGTTCCAGATTACTACAAAGTGATAGTCCAACCCATGGACCTAGAGAATGTCCGCAAGGTGAGTTATGGGAAGGAGACTTCAGTGTCAGCCTTGAGGAAAACCACAACAAAGACACCTTTTGGATCCCTTGATGCCAAGATGGATCAAACCTATATGTACAGGAGTACAGAATATATTACAGAATGCGGTAGATGGTAATACAGTGGGGGGAAAAAGTATTTAGTCAGCCACCAATTGTGCAAGTTCTCCCACTTAAAAAGATGAGAGAGGCCTGTACACGTCAACTATGACAGACAAATTGAGAAAAAAAAATCCAGAAAATCACATTGTAGGATTTTTTAATGTATTTATTTGCAAATTATGGTGGAAAATAAGTATTTGGTCACCTACAAACAAGCAAGATTTCTGGCTCTCACAGACCTGTAACTTCTTCTTTAAGAGGCTCCTCTGTCCTCCACTCGTTACCTGTATGAATGGCAGCTGTTTGAACTTGTTATCAGTATAAAAGACACCTGTCCACAACCTCAAACAGTCACACTCCAAACTCCACTATGGCCAAGACCAAAGAGCTGTCAAAGGACACCAGAAACAAAATTGTAGACCTGCACCAGGCTGGGAAGACTGAATCTGCAATAGGTAAGCAGCTTGGTTTGAAGAAATCAACTGTGGGAGCAATTATTAGGAAATGGAAGACATACAAGACCACTGATAATCTCCCTCGATCTGGGGCTCCACGCAAGATCTCACCCCGTGGGGTCAAAATGATCACAAGAACGGTGAGCAAAAATTCCAGAACCACACGGGGGGACCTAGTGAATGACCTGCAGAGAGCTGGGACCAAAGTAACAAAGCCTACCATCAGTAACACACTACGCCGCCAGGGACTCAAATCCTGCAGTGCGAGACGTGTCCCCCTGCTTAAGCCAGTACATGTCCAGGCCCGTCTGAAGTTTGCTAGAGTGCATTTGGATGATCCAGAAGAGGATTGGGAGAATGTCATATGGTCAGGTGAAACCAAAATAGAACTTTTTGGTAAAAATTCAACTCGTCGTGTTTGGAGGACAAAGAATGCTGAGTTGCATCCAAAGAACACCATACCTACTGTGAAGCATGGGGGTGGAAACATCATGCTTTGGGGCTGTTTTTCTGCAAAGGGACCAGGACGACTGATCCGTGTAAAGGAAAGAATGAATGGGGCCATGTATCGTGAGATTTTGAGTGAAAACCTCCTTCCATCAGCAAGGGCATTGAAGATGAAACGTGGCTGGGTCTTTCAGCATGACAATGATCCCAAACACACCGCCCGGGCAACGAAGGAGTGGCCTGGCCAGTCTCCAGATCTCAACCCCATAGAAAATCTTTGGAGGTAGTTGAAAGTCTGTGTTGGCCAGCGACAGCCCCAAAACATCACTGCTCTAGAGGAGATCTGCATGGAGGAATGGGCCAAAATACCAGCAACAGTGTGTGAAAACCTTGTGAAGACTTACAGAAAACGTTTGACCTGTGTCATTGCCAACAAAGGGTATATAACAAAGTATTGAGAAACTTTTGTTATTGACCAAATACTTATTTTCCACCATAATTTGCAAATAAATTCATTAAAATTCCTACAATGTGATTTTCTGGAGAAAAAAATTCTCATTTTGTCTGTCATAGTTGACGTGTACCTATGATGAAAATTACAGGCCTCTCTCATCTTTTTAAGTGGGAGAACTTGCACAATTGGTGGCTGACTAAATACTTTTTGTCCCCACTGTATGTATAATATAACCATTAGTGTTATTTAAAAGTCCCTCTGTGTGCTGTGGTCCAACAGAACATATCCAAACACAAGTACCAGAACCGGGATGTGTTCCTATTTGACGTCAGCCTGGTCCACACCAACAGTGTCAAGTACAACGGTCCAGACAGCCCTTACACCAATACGGCCCTGGAGATAGTCAACGTGTGCAAGCAGACCCTGGCAGAGGTGTGTGTATGAAAGAGAAACTGCGAGAGAAAGTCATAATGAAACTACACTGAACAAAAAATATAAATGCAACATGTAAAGTGTTGGTCCCGTGTTTCATGAGCTGAAATACAATATCCCAGAAATGTTCCATACGCACAAAAAGCTTATTTCTCTCAGATTTTGTGCACATATTTGTTTACATTCCTGTTAGTGAGCATTTCTTAGGTGTGGTATATCAAGAAGCTGATTAAACAGCATGATCATTGCACAGGTGCACCTTGTGCTGGGGACAATAAAAGGCCACTCTAAAATGTGCAGTTTTGTCACATAACAGAATGCCACAGGTGTCTCAAGTTTTGAGGGAGCGTGCAATTGGCATGCTGACTGCAGGAATGTCCACCAGAGCTGTTGCCAGATAATTGTTCATTTCTCTACCATAAGCTGCCTCCAACATCGTTTTAGAGAATTTGGCAGTACTTCCAACCGGCCTCAACCGCAGACCATGTGTATGGCGTCGCGTGGGCGAGGGGTTTGCTGTTGTCATTGTTGTGAACAGAGTGCCCCATGGTGGCAGTGGGGTTATGGTATTGGCAGGCATAAGATACGGACAACGAACACAATTGCTTTTTATCGATGGCAATTTGAATACACAGAGATACCATGACGAGATCCTGAGGCCCATTGCCGTGCCATTCATCCGCCGCCATCACCTCATGTTTCAGCATGATAATGCACGGCCCCATGCTGCAAGGATCTGTACACAATTCCTGGAAGCTGAAAATGTCCCAGTTCCGTGGCCTGCATACTCACCAGACATGTCACTCATTAAGCATGTTTGAGATGCTCTGGATCGACGTGTACGACAGTGTGTTCCAGTTCCCGCCAATATCCAGTAACATCGCACAGCCATTGAAGAGGAGTGGGACAACATTCCACAGGCCACAATCAACAGCCTGATCAACTCTATGTGAAGGAGATGTCGCGCTGCATGAGATACTGACTGTTTTTTTTTTTATCCACGTCTCTACTTTAAAAGAAAAATGTTATATGTGACCGACAGATGCATATCTGTATTCCCAGTTATGTGAAATCCATAGATTAGGGCCAAATTCATTTATTTCAATTGACTATTTCCTTATATGAACTGTAACTCAGTCAAATCTTTAAAATTGTTGCATGTTCTGTTAATATTTTTGTTCAGTATAATTAATTGACATCTTTATGGCTTGTCAGATGACTAATCATATTTATGACTTCATTATGTTGCCTCCGCCAAGGATAATTAGTTCATTTGACTGTTGCTTGATATATCCCCAGTATGATGAGCACCTGACCCAGCTGGAGAAGGACATCTCCACAGCTAAAGAGGCTGCTCTGGATGCAGCAGACCTGGATAGCCTGGACCCCATGACTCCTGGAACCTACACACCACAGGTAGCAATGTTCCTGTCCCATGTATGGCCCAGAAACAAGCCAGATACTACCAATAGGGCCTTAGAGTCACCAAATAAAGTACCTCACCTCGCCCCTCACATGCTCCAGAGTTGGGGAATGCCACTCCAAATACCTACTTTTTAACCTCAGTCTGCTGTAGTCTCTCCCTCCATATTACATATACCTCTTCACATTCTAGTCTTTTTCTGCCTCGTAGTTCCTCTTTAGCACTCTTATATGTGTCACAATTTAGTAGCTGTTTCTATAGTTTATCTATGCGTTAGTCTCTATATTCTCCTTCCTACCATGTGTTTATCTCTTCTCCTCCCTCTTTCCTTTGTGTGTGTGTGTGTGTGTGTGTGTGTGTGGTGGGGGTGGGGGGGGGGCAGCCTGCTGATGTGTTTGACAGCAGTGCCTCTGTGAGCCTGCACAGAGAGACCAGCTTTTTCTCTGAGGTTGAGGCATCTCTAATGGCTGTACCAGAGAAGAGGGGGGTAGGGCAGGTACGGAGAGAGATCACCCTGGAGTGCAACGGGCGTCTGTCTCATCCAGGGGTCACCTGTCTTTTAACCACCCTTCTCCCCTCCCATTCCCCCCGTTCCTCCTTGTACATTCACCTGGTCCTCCCTTCCAGTTCTTCCCTCTCCATTCCCACAGTGTGTATCCTGACTGGTGCATGCTCCTCCTAACTAGGAGCCATTCTAAGATCCATTTGTGCTTTTCATTCCTAAGACAAAGATGGTTCCTTCACATAACTCATTTGGTTCATTTGTCTGCCTGTTTCGCATGTATGTAACTTTTTCTCCTACTTGTGACTGCCTGTCATATTAGCGTTCTGTTTGCCTGGCCAATTATCAATTTTCAGCCATCTCCATTGCTTCTCAAGTCATCACTCTATCTTTCCCCAGAATAATCTTCTCCTGTCTCAGTGTCGCTTAACTTCTCTGTGTGTCTCCAGGGTCGTCATAGAAGGCTAGGAGAGGAGGAGTCGGACGTGGACATCGAGGGCTTCGAGGAGGAGGATGACGGCAAGCCCAAGACACCAGCTCCTGTAAGACTCAGATCATGGAGAAACAGTATGAGTTTTAGAGATGGATTTTGAAAGAGAGAAATGGCAGATTTGGAAACAGTTTATAGTTCAGGCAAATTAGTCCTTTTGATGATTATGATGATGATGACCTGTTCCCCAGGCAGAGGATGGTGAGGGAGACCTGGAGGATGAAGAGGATGAAGAGGATATGCTGCTACCGCCCCACAGAAGGCTGCGGGGCCATGAGGATGATGATTATGACGAGGATGAAGGCTCCAGTCGGCCTGCCCAGGCCAGCGTGCTGTACCAGGACCTGCTCATGTCAGATGGAGAGGATGACGCCAGCGAAGAGGAGGGAGACAACCCGTTCTCCTGTGAGTCACACTAGGGTGGAGGTTGTCATAGGATGGAGTAAGATGATGAATAGAGATGTACTGTGTGAACATGTGCATTGGGTAAAAAAAGTTCACCCAAATTACAAAATGATGACAGCAATCCATGCTTTGGTTTAGTTTCCCTGGCACTGTTTCCACATGCTAACGTTTTAGCATTTGTCATGGGACTGATATTAGCATTTTCCGCACATCATGATAAAATTATCTATGTGACTTTGTTGAGGTTCGCAATCAATTGTAGATACTTTTGGATGAATTGGACATGCTAATATCTGTCCCATGACTTGAATGAGATTTCTTCCACAAATGCTAAAACATTAGCATGTGGAAACAGTGCCAGGGAAACTAAACCAAAGCATGGATTGCTGCCTACCTTGTCCATAGTCTGCTTATAGAGTAAGGAAACCAATCTGTCATTTTGTAATTTGGGTGAACTTTCCCTTTAAAATCTACATCCTATGATTTAAGGATTTCTGAAGGACACTAGGGACTGTATTTGAGATCTGAGGTTCTAACAGTGTTTCCTGTCCCGCCCCAGCTATCCACCTGTCAGAGAGTGGCAGTGACTCAGACAGAGAGGTGGAGGTGCGTCCCCCGCCCCCTCCCAGACCCCACCATGAGACGGCCCGCATGGGCCTGGAGCAGGACGAGAGCATGATGTCATACGGGGAAGAGGTGCCGGATGAGACCCACCTGGAGGACAGTAATGTCAGGTACAACATGGAGCCAGCAATCACCATGGCCGAAACATTATATACAGTACATGGTGTATTTGCATCGTTGTTTGAATCTTGGGCCCTATTAACCCATACTTTACCCTCTTTCTCTTCCCCATAGTTATGGGAGCTATGAGGAGCCGGAGGGTCAGACCCAGACCCAGACCTCCAGCATGGGCAATGGAGAGGACTACGGCATGAGTGAGGAAGAGGAGGAAGAGGCGGCTCAGAGGAGAGGTCCCAGTGTGCTGTCCCAGGTGCAGCTGAGTGAGGATGAGGAGGACAGCGAAGAGTTTAGGTCCATCGGGGGAGAGAGTGACTTGGACTCAGACAACTAGAGAAGTGTTCCTGCATACAGACACACTCAAAGACATAAATACTCTTACAACCATAAACACAGACAGAGAGCCACACCTATACACATAAGTAGATTAACTCAGGCTCAATAAATGAATACACCCTGAACTTGCAGGCTGAATTGCACGTACTGTCATCATAACTTTATCTCATGTCAGTCAATCCCTGAGTGATAGACTATGTTTGCTGCCCAGTCATTAGCACACCTATGAAGTCTCTATGATAAACTCCTCTGTGACATCAATATTGTACAAAATGTTCAATCAATCTGAAGTGAGCTTTTCTATAATGGCAGGATTACATTGCAGTTGATGGTTTTAGTAAATGTTTTCTACTGGTTATGCTTTTTTCAATGTATCAACACGTGTGTGTGTGTGTGTGTGTGTGTATATATATAAAATGTTCGTTTTTTTTTACAATGATTTACCTTGAATAGCCATTTATTTCATGGTTGTGCAAAACGTAGATATTTGAATAATCAACTTTGAGCATTGTTTGTTTTCAGTGCCAGGTCTCATCTCAACCTTGTGTCTGTGAGACACTGGGTTGAGTGCTTGCGTGATAGAAAAAAGACTGTTATTCCCCATTAACTATTATGATTGCAGCCTGGATGTTCAGGCATTTGAGATGTTTCCAGTACTGTTATTAGGAAACTCTCAAACTATAAATGCTGTAAAACCGGATATGATGCCTTCATCTTTTCATTGTTTTTGTGGCTAAATCTTAGCAATATCTTATGTAACCAAGTTGAAGTTGTCCTTTCCTGTTATGCATGTCTTGCTTATCAAAAGTAAGAGAGGCACTCTTCAATACCAATATACAGTAGTAGCACATGAACAATATTTTATCAGCAGATCGTTTTATTACTGTAGTAGGGAGCCACCTATAATTGCTGTCTGCTCCCACAGGGAATAGTCCAAGGGACTGTTGTTAATGTGGTAATAATAATAATAATAATATGCCATTTATCAGACGCTTTTATCCAAAGCGACTTACAGTCATGCGTGCATACATTTTTGTGTATGGGTGGTCCCATGTTGATGTTGTGTTTTCTGTTACCAAAGTGTTTCATCTTTCCCTGCTTTTTCCTATCCTGCCACACCTTACAGGCTTCCCATCATTCGTATCTTATTCATGACATCATGTCATTAAACCTCAATGCCCCTATGGTGCTGGATCATGAACTCTGCTCCACAGTAAACAGATGATTATTGTAGTGAGTGACATAGATGACGTGTCAAGTATAAAGTATACCCTAACTAACCATAAACTTGACATTGTCTCATTATCTGCATGAGTATAGCTCTGACGTGGGAGAAGGCTATAAATGGTTGAGTGGTATTGCTCCTCATATACATTTGGTCACAGTACAGTAAGAAGAGTGTGAAGATGAAGGGCTATATTTTGCTGTGTTTAATATTTCTGCTCCCTGTCACAGTTATTGGACAAGGTACTACACCAGATCGTGAGTAGCATCTTTTTCTGCTATGCAATCTTTTGACGAAATCTGGAACGCAAGCCTGTTTTATATAGCATGAGTAGGCTTTCTGTAGCTCAGTTGGTAGAGCATGGTGCTTGCGACGCCAGGATAGTGGGTTTGATTCCCGGGACCACCTGTACGTAAAAATATGCATGTATGACTAAGTTGCTTTGGATAAAAGTGTCTGCTAAATGGCATATTGTAAGATTACTGTAGTTATGAACTTATACACTGATGGCATTTCTAAAATTAATGGTAAAATAGATATAAATAAATGTCCTGCTGCTTTTTGGGCTCTTTGTTGGCTAGGCTCTTTATTTGAAGGTAGTGCTCTTTATCAAATTGTGTATTTAGTTTGTCATGATGTTGTTGGGCCAAAACAATTGAAAAATGTAATGTTTCAATTACATGTTTTGTTTTTACATCCAGTGACAACATCGTGTGTAGGAGTAAAGGACTTTGAAGTGTGCAGGATACATATATCACCTAAATGCAGTGACAATAGCAAATGCTACTGTAAGGACGATAAAGCATTTTGTAGGTATGTTTCAGCATTTCCCGCACTCTTTTCCCTCAATATTTGTATATTTGTATATACACTGCATACTGTATATCAAACATTAGGAACCCCCCCCCCCCCCCAAGAACAGCCTCAGTTTGTCAGGGTATGGATTCTACAAGGTGTTGAAAGCGTTCCACAGGTATGCTGGCCCATGTTGACTCCACCGCTTCCCACGGTTGTGTCAAGTTGGCTGGATGTCCTTTGGGTGGTGGACCATTCTTGATGCACACGGGAAACTGTTGAGCGTGAAAATCCCAGCATTGTTGCAGTTCTTGACACAAAGCGGTGCGCCTGGCACCTACTACCATACCCTTTTCAAAGACACATAAATATTTTGTCTTGCTCATTCACCCTTTGAATGGCACACATACACAATCCATGTCTCAATTGTCTCAAGGCTTAAAAATCCTTCTTTAAACTGTCTCCTCCCCTTCATCTACACTGATTTGAAGTGGATTTAGGGACTGTACATTATTTATAATGAGGGATACCTGGATAAAATCGTGTCTCTGAAATTAAAATGGATGGCCCTCCCTTCAGTAAAATATATGTTTACCCTACCCTCCCTGAACGATTGAAAAAAAACAAGTGACCCTGCCCTATACCCAAAATAGTCATTCAAACATAAAGTTGATAGCAGAAAACATGGACAAGGGTAGGGGTGAAAGAATATACATTATAATAAAAGCACTGCATGAATCTATCATCTTATTTGCTGTCCGAGAAAAAAATGCTTTTATAAACGCATTTCATGCAATTCTATGTCATTTTACATGACTGGAGACAAGTAGAATATTTTTTAATACTACAACAGAGCATGACAATTAATGAGCGGATGCTGCAGCACGGGATACGTTTTGATTTCTATACAAGCTGTTGTTCAAAAATAGGATAGTCTAAGTTTGTAACAGTGCTAAAGTTGTCTATCAACTGTCAAAATTGAGCGCAACAGAACCAGTTAAAACTGAAGTATCTGACCATCAATGAATTAGAGAGAAAGCCATTCATTGTTGAACACAGCAGCCGCATATCATCAGGTAGGCCTGGTTTGTCTCTATGATATTCAGAGGCTGCCCTACAACCCTACTTCCCAAGCAAATCACAGTCAACACAAATCTAGTTTGTAACAACAATATCATGGAATAAAATAGAATAAATTAGAAAATGATAGTTTCCCAAATTATTTTTTTATGCATATTATGCACTTGTAAAAAAGTAGATATACACTACGGTCAAAAGTTTTAGAACACCTCCTCATTCAAGGGTTTTTCTTTATCTTTACTATTTTCTACATTGTAGAATAATAGTGAAGACATCAAAACTATGAAATAACACATACAGAATCATGTAGTAACCAAAAAAGTGTTAAACAAATCAAAATATATTTGAGATTCTTCAAATAGCCACCCTTTGCCTTGAAGAAGCATGACCCTCCCCCATTTTCCTCCGGGTAACTATTGTGTACATTTTGATCTCTCCCTTAACAAGTGACATCAATAAGGGATCATTGCTTTCACCTGGTTAGTCTATGTCATGGAAAGAGCAGGTGTCCTTAATGTTTTGTATACTCAGTGTATATTTGTATATATTTTAATATTTTTAGTTTTGGCATCAGACCTAATTCGAAAAGTATTCCGAATTTGCTGTTATGTTCCTTTTCAGGTGTAACAACTACATAAACATGTGGTACATAGGGGAGAACTGTGACTTTGAGTGGACAATATTGACATTCGCCCTGGTAGCAACTCTACCAGGATTGGCCTTGGCTGCTATTGTTGGTGTGATGGTCCAGTGTGTCCATTACTCAAGGAAACCAGCCGAGAAACAAAAGGATCAGACAGAGGGGTAAGAGCGGGAGAGGGTTTGGACAAGGTTCAATATGTCCATGTGTTTTGCACATTGTATGGCACCTAGTATCAGGAAGTAAGCTTGTTAAAAATATTTACATGTTGAGCAGAATTTATTTAGATTTGTCCACAGTCTTGTTTCAGGTTTGAAATGACTAGACACTTATCATATTTTTATAATGTACATTTCACTCTTTTCAGTTACACAAATAATGCAATGTCACCAACAACATATGATGAAAATAATCAAGATTACATGTTCTCCAACACTGTGAGTAGCTTGAGTCCTTTACTTAATTCTCCCAATGGTATTTGACCAACATATAACATAATGGTGTTTCCAATGGTGATGACACATCCAGAGATCTTGCTAAGTTAGGGATTCTTTATCTCCCAGCAATAATGCAGTCAATCTTTTACCTCAGATAAATTCAACTGCAGGTATTCTTCTAAGGTCATAAAACCAACCAAATCACAGGGTACTAAACTCTTGTGACCATAGGAGATGGAGAGAAACAGCCTTTGCACTGGTACAAATCACAGGAGGATTACAGCACCATGGCTATTGTACATAGCTGAATAGTCCAGCATTCCTTAAATTTTATTTGTAGTGTTTAAAAATATATATATACACTGCTCAAAAAAATAAAGGGAACACTTAAACAACACAATGTTACTCCAAGTCAATCACACTTCTGTGAAATCAAACTGTCCACTTAGGAAGCAACACTGATTGACAATACATTTCACATGCTGTTGTGCAAATGGAATAGACAACAGGTGGAAATTATAGGCAATTAGGGTTAGGGTTAGACACCCCCAATAAAGGACTGGTTTAGCAGGTGGTGACCACAGAACACTTCTCAGTTCCTATGCTTCTTGGCTGATGTTTTGGTCACTTTTGAATGCTGACGGTGCTTTCACTCTAGTGGTAGCATGAGACGGAGTCTACAACCCACACAAGTGGCTCAGGTAGTGCAGCTCATCCAGGATGGCACATCAATGCGAGCTGTGGCAAGAAGGTTTGCTGTGTCTGTCAGCGTAGTGTCCAGAGCATGGAGGCGCTACCAGGAGACAGGCCAGTACATCAGGAGTCGTGGAGGAGGCCGTAGGAGGGCAACAACCCAGCAGCAGGACTGTTACCTCTGCCTTTGTGCAAGGAGGAGCAGGAGGAGCACTGCCAGAGCCCTGCAAAATGACCTCCAGCAGGCCACAAATGTGCATGTGTCTGCTCAAACGGTCAGAAACAGACTCCATGAGGGTGGTATGAGGGCCTGACGTCCACAGGTGGTGGTTGTGCTTACAGCCCAACACCGTGCAGGAAGTTTGGCATTTGCCAGAGAACACCAAGATTGGCAAATTCGCCACTGGCTCCCTGTGCTCTTCACAGATGAAAGCAGGTTCACACTGAGCACGTGACAGACGTGACAGAGTCTGGAGACGCCGTGGAGAATGTTCTGCTGCCTGCAACATCCTCCAGCATGACCGGTTTGGCGGTTGGTCAGTCATGGTGTGGGGTGGCATTTCTTTGGGGGGCCGCACAGCCCTCCATGTGCTCGCTAGAGGTAGCCATGACTGCCATTAGGTACCGAGATGAGATCCTCAGACCCCTTGTGAGACCATATGCTGGTGCGGTTGGCCCTGGGTTCCTCCTAATGCAAGACAATGCTAGATCTCATGTGGCTGGAGTGTGTCAGCAGTTCCTGCAAGAGGAAGGCATTGATGCTATGGACTGGCCCGCCCGTTCCCCAGACCTGAATCCAATTGAGCACATCTGGGACATCATGTCTCGCTCCATCCACCAATGCCACGTTGCACCACAGACTGTCCAGGAGTTGGCGGATGCTTTAGTCCAGGTCTGGGAGGAGATCCCTCAGGAGCACCTCATCAGGAGCATGCCCAGGCGTTTTAGGGAGGTCATACAGGCACGTGGAGGCCACACACACTACTGAGCCTCATTTTGACTTGTTTTAAGGACATTACATCAAAGTTGGATCAGCCTGTAGTGTGGTTTTCCACTTTAATTTTGAGGGTGACTCCAAATCCAGACCTCCATGGGTTGATAAATTTGATTTCCATTGATAATTTTTGTGTGATTTTGTTGTCAGCACATTCAACTATGTAAAGAAAAAAGTTTTTAATAAGATTATTTCATTCATTCAGAACTAGGATGTGTTATTTTAGTGTTCCCTTAATTTTTTTGAGCAGTGTATTAACACCCTCTTTGGAGGACAAAAATAACTTTTTGTTTTTACAGCTTATTTGCTACATATACATACATTTTACATATTACATACATAGCACTTTTTTACACAGTGTTCAGGTAACATAAATATTGTTTTTTTTAATATATAGATATCTTGATGGTCCTCTGTAGCTCAATTGGTAGAGCATGGCGCTTGTAACGCCAGGGTAGTGGGTTCGATCCCTGGGACCACCCATACGTAAAAATGTATGCACACATGACTGTAAGTCGCTTTGGATAAAAGCGTCTGCTAAATGGCATATTATTATATCCATTTACATTTTAGTCATTTAGCAGACGCTCTTATCCAGAGCGACTTACAGTTAGTGAGTGCATTCATTTTCAAACTGGCCCCCCGTGGGAAACGAACACACAACCCTGGCGTTGCAAGCGCCATGCTCTACCAACTGAGCTACAGGGGACTATATACATACATATACACACACACATACATACAGTACCAGTCAAAAGTTTGGACACACCTACTCATTCAAGGGTTTTTCTTTATATTGGCTATTTTCTACATTGTAGAAACATAGTGAAGACATCAAAACTATGAAATAACACATATGGAATCATGTAGTAAGCAGAAAAGTGTTTATATTTGTGATTCTTCAAATAGCCACCCTTTGCCTTGATGACAGCTTTGCACACTCTTGGCATTCTCTCAACAAGCTTCACCTGGATTGCTTTTCCAACAGTCTTGAAGAAATTCCCACATATGCTGAGCACTTGTTGGCTGCTTTTCCTTCACTCTGCCGTCCGACTCATCCCAAACCATCTCAATTGGGTTGAGGTCGGGGGATTGTGGAGGCCAGGTCATCTGATGCAGCACCCCATCACTCTCCTTGGTAAAATAGCCCTTACACAGCCTGGAGGTGTGTTGGGTCATTGTCCTGTTGAAAAACAAATGATAGTCCCACTAAGCCCAAACCAGATGGGATGACGTATCGCTGAAGAATGCTGTGGTAGCCATGCTGGTTAAGTGTGCCTTGAATTCTAAATAAATCACAGACAGTGTCACCAGCAAAGCACCCCCACACCATAACTCCTCCTCCTCCATGCTTTACGGTGGGAACTACACATACGGAGATCATCCGTTCACCCACACCGCGTCTCACAAAGACACGGCGGTTGGAACCAAAAATCTCCAATTTGGACTCCAGACTAAAGGACAAATTTCCATCGGTCTAATGTCCATTGCTCGTGTTTCTTGGCCCAAGCAGATATCTTCTTATTATTGGTTCATGGCACACTTCACCATTATTCTACAATGTAAAAAATAGTACAAATAATGAAAAACCCTTGAATGAGTAGGTGTGCCCAAACTTTTGACTGGTAGTGTGTGTGTATATATATACAGTGCATTTGGAAAGTATTCAGACCCCTTGACTTTTTTCCACATTTTGTTACATTACAGCCTTATTCTAAAATTGATTAAATAGTGGGGGGGTTTCATGAATCTACACACAGTACCCCATAATGACAAAGCAAAGACAGGTTTTTAGAAACTTTAGCAAATGTATTTTTTTTTTTACCCCGGAAATATTACATTTACATAAGTATTCAGAGCCTTTACTCAGTACTTTGTTGAAGCACCTTTGGCAGCGATTACAGCCTTGAGTCTTCATGGGTATGACGCTACAAGCTTGGCACACCTGTATTTAGGGAGTTTCTCCCATTCTTCTCTGCAGTTCCTCTCAAGCTCTGTCAGGTTGGATGGGGAGCGTTGCAGCACAGCTATTTTCAGGTCTCTCCAGAGATGTTCGATGGGGTTCAAGTCCATTCTCTGGCTGGGCCACTCAAGGACATTCAGAGACCTGTCCCTAAGCCACTCCTGCGTTATCCTGCTGGAAGGTGAACCTTCGCCCCAGTCGGAGGTCCTGAGCGCTCTGGGGCAGGTTTTAATCAAAGATTTCTTTGTCCTTTGCTCTGTTCATATTTCCCTCCATCCTGACTAGTCTCCCAGTCCCTGCTGCTGAAAAACATCCCCACAGCATGATGCTGCCACCACCACGCTTCACCGTAGGGATGGTGCTAGGTTTCCTCCAGACGTGACGCTTGGCATTCAGGCCAAAGAGTTCAATCTTTGTTTCATCAAACCAGAGAATCTTGTTTCTCATTGTCTGAGAGTCCTTTAGGTGCCTTTTGGAAAACTCCAAGCGGGCTGTCATGTGCTTTTTACTTACAAGTGGCTTATGTCTGGCCACTCTACCATAAAGGCCTGATTGGTGGAGTGCTCCAGAGATGGTTGTCCTTCTGGAAGGTTCTCCCATCTCCACAGAGGAACTCTGGAGCTCTGTCAGCGTGACCTTCAGGTTCTTGGTCACCTCCCTGACCAAGGCTCTTCTCCCCCGATTGCTCAGTTTGGCTGGGCAGCCAGCTCTAGGAAGAGTCTTGGTGGTTCCAAACTTATTCTATTTAAGAATGATGCAGGCCACTGTGTTCTTGGGGACCTTCAATGCTGCAGAAATTTTTGGTACCCTTCCCCAGATCTGTGCCTCGACACAATCCTGTCTCGGAGCTGTACGGACAATTCCTTCGACCTCATGGCTTGGATTTTGCTCTGAAATGCACTGTCAACTGTAGGACCTTATATAGACAGGTGTGTGCCTTTCCAAATCATGTCCAATCAATTGAATTTACCACAGTTGGACAATTTAATCAATTTTAGAATAAGGCTGTAACGTAACAAAATGTGGAAAAAGTAAAGGGGTCTGAATACTTTCCGAATGCACTGTACATTAACATTTTTGTTTTTAAGCCCTGGATTTATAACCCTTTGATGTTCTTGTTGGATCTGATTTTAGTAGCTAGCATTTCAATGTCTATAACAAATAGATACGGAGACAACAGAGAGCCTTGTTTTACTCCTCATGACAGTTAAATACTTTCTGAAAAGTAATCATTTTTTACTATTTTACACCTGGGGTTGCTATACATAACTTTAACCCATTGTATAAGAGATTCACCGAAATTGAAATAGTCCAGGCATTTATATATAAATTGTAATCGTACTTTATCAAAAGCCTTTTCAAAATCTGCTATGAAAACTAGGTCTGGTTCCATTGTTTCAAGTAATTGTCGTATATTATCTCCAATGTGTATCATCCATGTAAAAAGCCAGTCTGATCAGAATGAAGAGTATCTGGTGAAACCTTTTTAATTCTATGTGCTATGCATTTCGCCAGGATTTTCGCACCACAACATTGAAGCATTCCTTTGTCTTTGTTATTGTACATTATATTGCCCCGTTAGATAAACATGTATCATGTCGCAACAATCTGTTTTAGTTTATTACACTGTCAAGCAACATGTTTACCTCCCGAGTGGCGCAGTGGTCTAAGGCACTGCATCGCAGTGCTAGCTGTGCCACTAGAGATCCTGGTTCGAATCCAGGCTCTGTCGTAGCCGGCCGCAACCGGGAGACCCATGGGGCGGCGCACAATTGGCCCAGGGTAGGGGAGGGAATGGCCGGCAGGGGATGTAGCTCAGTTGGTAGAGCATGGCGTTTGCAACGCCAGGGTTGTGGGTTCGATAAAATAATGTATGTGCTAACTGTAAGTCGCTCTGGATAAGAGCGTCTGCTAAATGACTAAAATGTAAATGTAATGTTTACATTTTGCAAAGTAAACATTGCCCTGAGCAACTATCTCTATTTGTCTTATTTCTGAAGAATCGGCTAAAGCCCCCCAGTTTCCAGCCCACCCTGGAGAGGTTTCCCATGGCCAATTTACACAACCACCCTTACAGGTTAGCTGTCTGAACAAAATTCAACTTGCCACTGGTTTTCACTTTCATTATGGGGGTCCTTATTGGGTCTGCAATGTTATGTGCTTTTATTGAAATGTTGTTCTCTCTACTCTCTTAGCCCCCAACCAAACGGCATGCGGCCCACTTTAGATAGATCGTCTTTGGCCATCCCTCCAAGCCAGCCATACAGGTAAACCCTTGTAAGACTGTCATATAGAATGTATCCAAAATGCATTCTAAGCAAAGAAAGTAGGAATTATTATTTTTGCAACGCTTGCTTTGTTAAATAAACCCCAAAAAGTAATCAGGAATTATTGTGGTCCTCTTTTCACCAGAAAATAACTTCCCGTTTACTACATTGTTCTCTTCATTCTCTTAGCTCTTCACCAAACAACATTCGTCCCTCTTTAGATAGATCGTCTTTGGCCATCCCTCCAAGCCAGCCATACAGGTAAGCTAGTTTATGTTGTGTTTTTCAGTGTAATACTTTGTTCAATGGCAGTGATGTTGTACACATTTTGTTTGTATAAACATACGATACTCTGTGATGGACAAAAAAGTTAAAATTAGAGACAACAGGACAATGCTCCCTCTACACAGTACTAGTAGTCATCCAGTGATTTGAGGAGCATGACACTGACGTTATCCATACCCATTTCCAGCATGGTATTTTGTCATTGACTAAAAAAATCTACTATTGAAATGTTGAACTCTATGCTCGCTCAGCCCTTCACCAAGCAGTATGCGACCTACTTTAAATATATATATTTTTGCCAACCCTGTGAGCCAGCCATACAAGCCCGTTTCTTTTGATTTGTGTGCTTTCAATCTGATACAGTACTTTGTTCCATGACAAGTTATATGATCATGTGCACTTAACTACATTATAATTATTGTTTTGAACTGTCTGCTCCGGGGCTGTAGCTATGCTACAGGGATGACCCAGCCCCTGGGTAACGCCTACCCCAAGTCTCCATCACCAAGGAACCCCTATGAAGACAGAGCGCCACCTCCAGACTGTTATGACGACCAGCACATGAGACCAACACAGCCCCCACCAGGACACAATGGCATGATGGTGAGTGATTGCTTCCCCCTATTGAACAGTATGATAAATTCAACTGATCAACTGGACAAGCAAACTGTAGGGCAAAACTGTGGCTGAAACGTGGCTTTAATCTTAGCCCCTAGATGACCAGGCTGCTATAGAAAGCAGTGTTTTGACATGAGATCTGTTTCTATCGTCTAGAGAGAAGGCATGTATGGGTATCCTGTGGCCAGTTCCCCTGCTCCCCTCTACTCAGCTCCGGAGTACAACCCCAGTTCCCAGTTTCCCCGAGCCCATTTGGAGAGACTCTGAGGACAAACAGTGGGACCCTGGACTGAACTAGGAAGGAAGTGGAGCTCCACCAATTTCACTATTACAATGACCAAAATTGAACTCACATCTAATTTAAAGTGAGCGGAATAGCTCAACATTCAAGGCCTTTGTAAACGTTCATTTAACATAGTAAAAAATTGAAATTTAAAGGCAATGTTCCCACATTCACAGAGAATGCATTCAAGGTAAACGCTGCATATGTCGGCTCAATCGGAAATTACAGTTAAATGTTAATCACGCATTAAGACGGATATTCTGCACTACGGATTTAATCTAGGCCTAAGTAACAGGTTTGGGGCCAATTCCAATTTAATTTGAAATTCCAATTCGATTGTTGAATTCACTCATTAATTGGAGAATTTACATTGTTTAAATTCTAATTGAATTCAATCTTCAAGTTATGGAATTGGACTGTGAATTGCAATTGTAAAAATAAAAAAATAAAAAGTTGTTTTAATGTTTCAGATCAAACGAATTTAAATATTAGTCAAAGATAACACAAGTAAACACAAAATGCAGTTTTGAAATAAAGGTTGTTATTATTAAGGGAAAACAAAATCCAAACCCACATGGCCCTGTGTGAAAAAGTGATTGCCCCCACAACCTAATAACTGGTTGGGACACCCTTAGCAGCAACAACTGCAATCAAGCTTTTGCGATAACTTGCAGTGAGTCTTTTACAGCGCTGTGGAGGAATTTTGGCCCACTCATCTTTGCAGAATTGTAATTCAGCCACATTGGAGGGTTTTCAAGCATGAACTGCCTTTTTAAGGTCATGCCACAGCATCTCAATAGGATTCAGGTCAGGACTAGGCCACTCCAAAGTCTTCATTGTGTTTTTCTTCAGCCATTCAGAGGTGGACTTGCTGGTGTGTTTTGGATCATTGTCCTGCTGCAGAACCCAAGTTCGCTTCAGCTTGAGGTCACGAACAGATGGCCGGACATTCTCCTTCAGGATTTTTTGGTAGACAGCAGAATTCATGGTTCCATTTATCACTGCAAGTCTTCCAGGTCCTGAAGCAGCAAAACAGGCCCAGACCATCACACTACCACCACCATATTTTACTGTTGGTATGATGTTACTTTTACGCCAGATGTAACGGGGGACACACCTTCCAAAAAGTTCCAACTTTTGTCTAGTCAGTCCATAGAGTATTTTCCCAAAGGTCTTGGGGATCATCAAGATGTTTTCTGGCAAAAATGAGACGAGCCTTAATGTTCTTTTTGCTCAGCAGTGGTTTTCGTCTTGGAACTCTGCCATGCAGGCCATTTTTGCCCAGTCTCTTTCTTATGGTGGAGTCATGAACACTGACCTTAACTGAGGCAAGTGAGGCCTACAGCTCTTTGGATGTTGTTGTGGGGTCTTTTGTGACCTCTTGGATGAGTCGTCGCTGCGCTCTTGGGGTAATTTTGGTCGGCCGGCCACTCCTGGGACGGTTCACCACTGTTCCATGTTTTCGCCATTTGTGGATAATGGCTCTCACTGTGGTTCACTGGAGTCCCAAAGCTTTAGAAATGGCTTTATAACCTTTTCCAGACTGATGGATCTCAATTACTTTCTTTCTCATTTGTTCCTGAATTTCTTTGGATTTCGGCATGATGTCTAGCTTTTGAGGATCTTTTGATCTACTTCACTTTGTCAGGCAGGTCCTATTTAAGTGATTCCTTGATTGAGAACAGGTGTGGCAGTAATCAGGCCTGGGTGTGGCTAGAGGAATTGAACTCAGGTGTGATAAACCACAGTTGAGTTGTGTTATAACAGGGGGGGCAAACACTTTTTCACACAGGGCCATGTAGGTTTGGATTTTGTTTTCCCTTAATAATAACAACCTTCATTTCAAAACTGCATTTTGTGTTTACTTGTGTTATCTTTGACTAATATTTAAATTTGTTTGATGATCTGAAACATTTAAGTGTGACAAACATGCAAACAAATAACAAATCAGGAAGGGGGCAAATATTCTTTCAAAAAGTACATTTCCACAAATCCGACGTTAATCATTCTAAATCAATAAACAAAATACAATCTTTATTTCACCTCTCTAGGTCAATCATGGGATGACTTGATGTCAGTAGGTGCCCATGTAAGATGCAAAGCACTGTCATCCTAACACAAATCCACCTGTTGGTACATTCTTTATTACTGAATGAATGAGGGCAAAAAGTTAATATGAAGATTGAATGAAAGTAATAAGTTGAGGTGAACAATTTATCAGGAGCTTCTAACATTTCAGTTGAGACATGAGAATAGATAACACTGATTTTATCTGATGCATGAGAGACATTCCTGATAGTGAACATGATGTGGTTGGCTCTGAGCAAGATGATTTTACCAGTGCAAACATGGGAAAAAATGAAAACCCCTGATTGTTTGACAAGCGATTATTTCAAAGCAAAATGGACACATCGACTTTCCATCCCTTTGAATACAGAGAAAATTGACACAGATGACTGTTTACATTTGTATTTATAACTGGGTCTTTAAATGCATGATTTTCACAATTTATTGCTAGCAAAAAACAGTGCAAAGGAATCATACAATGACTTGTCAGAGAACAGTTACCCCAAGGTCAAACTGAGAATACAGTCAGCAGTCAATCAAATTACAGCATTATCTTAGCACTGATACTGCATATAACAAGTGTTGTGCTATTCAAACAATCCAGGCATGCGACAAGCATACTACTGAGAAAAGATGTGCTTTCAGCAATGTTCTGATTTAGGACTTGCCTGACTTGAGGTTTGTTTGAATAGCACCCCAGGTTTGAGTACTAATGGTGATGTGAGGACAAGGTTAATAAATAACTAATAAAGTTGTAAGAAAATGTGACAATTGTCATCCTTTACCACATTGAAACCATTTTATTTCCCTGCTCTATAGTGGGTGAGAATAGGATTGTTCTGAATAGGGGAAAGGGTGTGTGAAGTAGAACTCTACATTAAAACATCCTTGTGATGCCGCGCAATGTGCTGGCTCTTTTCAGAGGGCCTACGGAAGCCTTTAGTGCAGTAGTCACAACGGTGGGGATAGTCCTTGGTGTGGATGGATATGACGTGCCGTTTGAATCCGGAAGCGTCCGAAGAGCTGTACTCACAGAACTGGCACTGGTACACTTTACGCCCACTGTGGGTCTTCATGTGCTTCTTCAGTTCCAGCTGATGCCTGAAGCCCCGTCGGCAGCGCTTGCACTTGAATGGCAAGTCTTTGGTGTGGACGGACAGGATGTGGCGGCTGAGTATGAACGGGTCCGGCGTCTTGAAGTCACAGTGGCGGCACTGGTGCAGCCTGGCACCTTTGTGAGTCTCTGCATGTTTTTTGAGCTCCGAGGGCCGGTGGAAGCCCTTCTCACACACATCACACTTGTGAGGGAAGTCCTTGGTGTGCACAGAGATAATGTGGCGCTTCAGGTCACTGGAGTTGGTGCTCTTGTGCTCGCAGTGTGGACACTGGTGCGTCTTGTGGCCCTGGAAGATCTCCATGTGCCTCTGCAGCTCCCGCTCGTCAGGGAAGGCCTGTGGGCAGTGGCCACACTTGAAGGGCAGCTCAGCGCCGTGCTTACTCTTTATGTGGGTCTTCAGGTTGGACTGGTCGGCACAGCGGAACTCACAGTGCTGGCAGTGGTAAGGCTTCTCACCTGTGTGGGTCCTCATGTGCTTCTTGAGCTCCGAGGGGTGGCGGAAACCCTTAGCACACTCCACACACACATGGGCAAAGCTCTTGCTGTGCACGGCCAGCAGGTGGCGGTTGAGCAGGCCCTGCTCGGCTGTCTCATAGTCACAGTACTTACAGTGGTGCAGCTTGGGTTCCTGGTCACGCAGGATGAGCTTGTTGGAGCTGAGGGGGCTCTCCACACAGTACCGCCGCGTGAACTCAGTGAACTCTGGCACCCTGTCACTCTTCACTATGAGCTTGTGGCCCTCCAGGTGGTTGTGGAAGTTGACCTTCTTGTTGGTGGTAAAGTCACAGTCTGTGCACTGGTACTTCTTCTTGAACATGTGGTCTGGGTGGTTCTTCATGTGGATCTTTAGGAAGCCTCGTGATCTGAACTTTTTCCCACAGATGTGACAGGGGTACACAGTCAGAGGCTGGCCATCTGGACCAATGATCACGGCTGGGGAGAAGAGTGGAAGCAAAAAGACCAGGCATTGTCAGGACTACAGCTAAAAACAAATCTTACAAAATTCTGCAAGCTTCTAGAACATGTATGGTTTTAATGAACATAGAACCCCATACCTGTCTGACACTGACGTGTCTCTCCCTTCTTCTTTTTCTTGATCTTCTGTTTGAGAGCTCTACTTGTACTCAAGCTGTCGCTGATCTTCAGGTAATGTGTCCCTGTGTTGTTCTTGTTCTCCAGCCTGGAGTCCAGACTGTTACCTAGAGAAAATTATTTTGAGCCTATGTCCATACAACATCCACCAATTCAACACACTCAAAATATGAACAAAATCAAAATGTAGAATTCTATCTTACACCATACTGAAAGTATGTCTATGGAGGAAAGGAGTCAGCTTTACCATAAGCTGCAGCCCAGGCTATGGTGCCAAAGTTCTTATTGTGGCTAGAGTCATCCAGTGAGTCCTGAATGGCAGGGGCATCCTCCTCTCCCACTATCACCTCCATGTACACCTCATTTGCCATCTCAGTACAGTCTGCTCAGAGACAAGCAAAACGTAGTCACTTCATTTAATACTACAACCACTTATTGTGACAAAAAGAATAAGGCAGACATATTGTTTGATCTGATGGGTATAAAGGATAGGAGGAAGTGCTGGTAATTCAGGGGACTCACTGATCTCTGAATCCTCCTGGGACGGGTCTTTCACTGCCATGTAGACCATCTTCTCTCGAGACAGCTTGCCAATGCCCCCAGTCTCCAGCACTGCGTGACCGTTGTGGAAGTCACTCTCAGCTACAATCTCTGTGCCACCTGCACTCACAGTAAATGTCTGACATCAGGGAAACTGAACAGAGGTGTACCGTTCAAATAAGTCGTAACTTTCAGAAAGCCAATTAATAGCAGTCCTTGCCTATGTCAACATCATCATCATCATCAGCCTCTGCCTTGAAGATGTAGACTTTGATGCACTCAGAGTCGTAGTCGCCCTCTTTGGAGCCATCCTCCTCAGGCATCACCTCAGAACCCATCTTCAGGGGCGTGTCCTCCATGTCCAACTTCTCCCCAACATCGTCCACTGCACAAACAACAGCATAATCATTGTTCACTCCCGTACGTATTTATTTGGACAGTGAAGCTAAAACTTTTCATTTGGCTCTATACTCATATGAGGCGACAGTACAGAAGGTCACCTTTATTTTAAGGTATTTTCATACATATCTGTTTTACCGTTTAGAAATTAAAGCACTTTATGTATCTCGTCACTCCATTTGAAGGTGTCATAAGTATTCCATCAAGCTTGTTGGATGCATTTGCAGTTTGTTTTGGTTGTGTTTGAAAAGAAGGTTGACGACATCCGATCCTCGTTTGTTAAGTCTAATGACACTGCTGGTCCTGCTCACACTGCCCTACCCTATGCTTTGACTTCTTTCTCCCCTCTCTCTCCAGATAAAATCCTGCGACTTGTGACTGCAGGCCGCCCAACAACCTGCCCGCTTGACCCCATCCCCTCCTCTCTTCTCCAGACCATCTCCGGTGACCTTCTCCCCTACCTCACCTCGCTGATCAACTCATCCTTGACCGCTGGCCATGTCCCTTCCGTCTTCAAGAGAGCGAGAGTTGCTCCCCTTCTCAAAAAACCAACACTCGACCCCACTGATGTCAACAACTACAGACCAGTATCCCTTCTTTCTTTTCTTTCCAAAACTATTGAGCATGCCGTCTTTAGCCAACTCTCTTGCTATCTCTCTCAGAATGACCTTCTTGATCCAAACCAATCAGGTTTCAGGACTGGTCATTCAACTGAGACTGCTCTTCTCTGTGTCACGGAGGCTCTCCGCACTGCTAAAGCTAACTCTCTCTCCTCTTCTCTTGTCCTTCTAGACCTGTCTGCTGCCTTTGATACTGTGAACCATCAGATCCTCCTCTCCACCCTCTCCGAGCTGGGCATCTCCGGCGCGGCTCACTCCTGGATTGCGTCCTACCTGACCGGTCGCTCCTACCAAGTGGCGTGGCGAGAAGCTGTCTCCGCACCACGTGCTCTCACCACTGGTGTCCCCCAGGGCTCAGTTCTAGGCCCCCTCCTTTTCTCCCTATACACCAAGTCACTTGGCTCTGTCATATCCTCACACGGCCTCTCCTATCATTGCTACGCTGACGATACACAACTAATCTTCTCCTTTCCCCCTTCTGATAACCAGGTGGCGAATCGCATCTCTGCATGTCTGGCAGACATATCAGTATGGATGACGGATCACCACCTCAAGCTGAACCCTGGCAAGACGGAGCTGCTCTTCCTCCCGGGGAAGGACTGCCCGTTCCATGATCTCGCCATCACGGTTGACAACTCCGTTGTGTCCTCCTCCCAGAGTGCGAAGAGCCTTGGCGTGACCCTGGACAACACCCTGTCGTTCTCCGCTAACATCAAGGCGGTGACCCGCTCCTGCAGGTTCATGCTCTACAACATTCGGAGAGTACGACCCTGCCTCACACAGGAAGCGGCACAGGTCCTAATCCAGGCACTTGTCATCTCCCGTCTGGATTACTGCAACTCGCTGTTGGCTGGCCTCCCTGCATGTGCCATTAAACCCCTACAACTCATCCAGAATGCCGCAGCCCGTCTGGTGTTCAACCTTCCCAAGTTCTCTCACGTCACCCCCCTCCTCCGCACACTCCACTGGCTTCCAGTTGAAGCTCGCATCCGTTACAAGACCATGGTGCTTGCCTTTGGAGCAGCGAGGGGAACGGCACCTCTGTACCTTCGGGCTCTGATCAGTCACTACACCCAAACGAGGGCATTGCGTTCATCCACCTCTGGCCTGCTGGCTCCCCTTCCTCTGCGGAAGCATAGTTCCCGCTCAGCCCAGTCAAAACTGTTCGCTGCTCTGGCACCCCAATGGTGGAACAAGCTCCCTCACGACGCCAGGACAGCGGAGTCACTCACCACCTTCCGGAGACATTTGAAACCCCACCTCTTTAAGGAATACCTGGGATAGGATAAAGCAATCCTTCTACCCCCCCCCCCACACACACAGCGGAGTCGCTCACCACCTTCCGGAGACATTTGAAACCCCACCTCTTTAAGGAATACCTGGGATAGGATAAAGTAATCCTTCTACCCCCCCCAAAATTGTAAAGTGGTTATCCCACTGGCTATAGGGTGAATGCATCAATTTGTGAGTCGCTCTGGACTAGAGCGTCTGCTAAATGACGTAAATGTGCCCTTGAGCAAGGCACTTAACCCTAATTGCTCCTGTAAGTCGCTCTGGATAAGAGCGTCTGCTAAATGACTTAAATGTAAATGTAAATGTGTTTCGGATTATGTTGTGGCCAATAGAAATGAATGGTAAATAATGCAAACAACAAGTTTGTAGAGTCACAAGCTTGATGTAGTCATTGCGTGCTAGGAATATGGGACCAAATACTTAACTTTAGACTAAATTTAATACACTATAAGTGAATTTGTCAAAATACTTAGGAAATCTTCAAATGGGGGGACTAGATACATAAAGTGCTTCCATTTCTAAACGGTAAAACAGATATGTATGAAAATACCCTCAAATAAAAGGTGACATTCTGTACTTTCGCCTCATAAAATATTTGATATCAAATCCAAAATGCTGGAGTATTGAGCTAAATTAATCGTTTTAGCATCACTGTCCAAATAAATATGTAGGGGTGTGTACATTCTCCAATTCATCCTATTAGAGGCAAAATTATTCTGTCATTCTGTGAGTGTTGGAGCAAATCAAATTTGATTTGTCACATGCGCCGAATACAACAGGTGTAGACCATACCATGAAATGCTAGTAGTTCTAAGAACAGAAAATGTATGCGACTTACAGGAGATCACCAGGTAGTCCTCAGAGACACTCCCCCCATCCTCATCATCCTGCTCCTCGATGGTGACTGCAGAGTCTTCCATCTCCTCCTGCTCCTCCACATATGTCTCTGAGTTGCAGTTGGAGACCATTACCTCCTCAGTGACCATCTCAAACACCTGGTCAGGAACGCTGTCAGATTCCTCTATGAGATCTGCTGTCAGCACATGCTGATGGTGGTCTGAGTCCAGCACCTCGTCGATGGCCACCTCGGCCCCCAGGACCGACTCAGTCATGATCATGCCGTCAGGGTCGTCACTGCAGCAGATGTCTGGCCCTTCTACAACCTCTGAGCCCAGGTCATGCTCAAATGTGATGCCCTCCTCATCAGTCACCACGTCTGACACCAGCACCGCCTCTGGCACAGACACCACAATGTGGTCACCGTCGATGTGGGCCATGCCACCCATACCTGCCACTGGGGAAGTCAGGAAGAACTGTTAGACTCATCTTATCAGTTCGAACATACACAGACACAGTCAAATAAACAAAAGACCATGGAGTATTAGTTCTCTGCATTGATGGAGATGACATACCAAAATCCTGCATTATCATTGTGTGTTGCATCTTTGAGTCCTGCATCTGAAAGTTCAAGACCCCCCCACCGTGGTCCATTCTCTTTTTATCCTGTCTGCTACAAACACAAAAGAGGAGAGGATTAAGTTGATCTAATTTTATCTGATCAATCAGGACCTCTGTCAATGTATAAATCATTACAAATGTGTTAATTGAGTCAAATGTAACACATCTGACTCAATTAAATAATCAACAGACTGACCATCAATGCTAAATAAACATTGACATAAAACAACTAAATGTTAAGACTGAAAGATTAAAAACACATTGCATTTCAGCATTCACATTTGATGCTGAGCTCTCAAACCATCAGAAGTGTTATGCTTTTTTTTTTTATCAGCAAGGGAGAAGACGCCTGAAATAGAGAAAAGGAAAGCACATAGCCAATACATCAGCTTCAATTATATTATCTGTCCTGAAAAACAATTGTTTTTGTAAAGCAGACAGCTATAATGCTTGATTACTTTTTATAAGATTGAATGTGCCTTTATAATGTCTTATAGTAGAAGGAGAGAGGGTCAACTATCGGATAAATGCAGAAGTAATGTGGTTGATGATGCATTGCTAAATCTAATGGGAAGCAAAAAGCTACAATATCATGTTTATATTCACACATTCTCACAGGTGTGATACACAACATTTGGATAGGTTGAGTAGTGTTATGACTGGCCTTCACATTTAAAAAAAAACATGCCTCCAGGACTCATTTGTTAATGTACTAGAATTTGAACTTTGTTGTGGGTGACAGTAATAAATCAATGCCACTTTGTAACCACTGTAGTTACAGTGATAGACCGGGAAAGTATCCAATTTGGATGGCTAGACATTCACACGCACTGCTTTGACACAGTCTTGCAGTAGCCCACTGACTGGGTTGTGCCTACATGGAGTCTGGCTACGACTGGAAGTTAACTTTTCGTAGCAGGTTAAGAGAGCATTTTAGCTAACCCTAACCCTTTTTCCTAAACTTAACCTAATTCTCCTAACCTGCTGCGCAAATTAATTTCGACTAGGTGTTATACAGCTACGACTGGAAGTGACTTTTTGGAGAACTTTGGCAGCAGATTAGGAGAATTAAAGTGGCAGGTTAGGAGAATTAGGAAAAGGGTTAGCTAAAATGCTCTCCTAACTTGCTACGAAAAGTCACTTCCGGTCAGTGCTGTACTCCGTCTAGTCACAACGGCGTAAATTATCCTATCCTGGGTTATGACTATGTGGAATACTGTTACGACCGGAGGTGACTTTTAAGTAGCAGATTATGATCATTAACGTAGCAGGTTAGGAGAATGAGGTTAAGGTTCGGAAAAAGGTTTGCTAAAATGCTCTCCTAACCTGCTACGAAAAGTGACTTCCGGTCGTAGCTGTACTCCATCTAGTTACAACCCACTGACAGACAGCAGAGAGAGCGCCCAGACGCAATAAATATGGCGGCTTCTGTTTACATTGTGGGCACAGAACCCCGCCAACAATGATGTATAGCTCGAGCGCGCAGGTGAATCTAGCAAAAAATATTGGAAAAGCATGAATAATATGCAGAATGATTGTTAAGCATAAATCAAATCCATGCAACACATTTAAATCCAAGCTATGCATTTTTTCAAGACTCCAACAACAAGGGTGCAATACTGACCCTCTGCGACATTCTGCAAATGTTTTCTGTTCTGTGCCATTCGGCTAAATTAGCGAGCTAACTAGTTAGCAATAGCATTCCCAACAATTGTAATCAATATTATTAGTAAAATAAACGCAGTAAACCCACAACTGTTTATATACTTTAGAAAGTGTACACTGAAAGAAAACACAAATTATACTATATGTCCGAGCTAGCTATGTCGTTAGTTAGCTTGGCTAGCTAGCTACCATTGTTGTTTTTTTCGACTGAGGTGGAGGCCCGTAGGCCTTCGTGACAAGGCCCCATCGTCATATTGCATTAAATGTAATACATACTTACCAAACAAAGTCGCTGCCGTCTTTTTTAAATTACACTTTTCGGGTTCGAGCAGTCTTCTTATTAAATTAGGTTATATTTCTCATGGTGCGAATGCGAGGCCTGTAAAACAGTCTAGATCCTGAAGGCTGTTTTTCAGGCCTGGACCAATCACGTAGCTCCCTGATAATTCCGAAGGGTGGGGCAGTAGACTGCGCTCGGTCTTCAATATTTTATTCCAAAACAGCTGGTCCCTGTCTCTAGAACAAGACATACGTCATGTAACTATTGTAAAGTTTAGAAACCTTAAACATATGTCTGTATTTACTAACTAATAGGTGGAACTGTATACCACAACTGCTCACTCTGCAACAAATTGCCAGGACTATCTGAAGTTAGAGCTCCTATAATAAAAACGTAATGGGGCCCAATACTGTAACTGCCCTCAAAGTGTTAAATTATTATACTTTTCAACTGAAACATGTTGTGGTATAACTTGTTTCAATTTTTGTCACATGCACAGGATAAAGCAGGTGTAAAACAGTACAGTGCTTAACTTGAGCTCTTTTCCAATAATGCACAATAGAGATAGTAAAATAGATAAAGAAATAAAACAAGTGAAATGTGAGAGAAGAAAAAATGAAACACGAGGATGCAGTTATATACAGGTCTTATATACAGGTCAGTGCAGTGCCAGTACCATTATTTCAATGTGCAGGGGTACTGGAGTGATTGAGGAAGAAATGTACATGTAAACCAGGGTAAAAGTAGTATGCAGAATAAAATTGTTTTACAAATGAGGCCTGTGTGATACTCTGCTGTGATATTTATGTTAATAATGAAATACTGTATCAGTCATGTGTCAAATCAAAACATTTGAATCAAATTAAGATTGTTTGTTGGAGATCGTTTGGAATTTAGCATTGAGCAGCACCTTGCATTTATAACTGAGAAAGGAGGGATGTGTCCAGTTCCAGTGGAAGGGATTGTGAAGCCACACAAAATAAATCAATCAATCAATCAATCAATTTTATTTTATATAGCCCTTCTTACATCAGCTAATATCTCAAAGTGCTGTACAGAAACCCAGCCTAAAACCCCAAACAGCTAGTAATGCAGGTGTAGAAGCACGGTGGCTAGGAAAAACTCCCTAGAAAGGCGAAAACCTAGGAAGAAACCTAGAGAGGAACCAGGCTATGAGGGGTGGCCAGTCCTCTTCTGGCTGTGCCGGGTGAAGATTATAACAGAACCATGCCAAGATGTTCAAAAATGTTCATAAGTGACAAGCATGGTCAAATAATAATCAGGAATAAATCTCAGTTGGCTTTTCATAGCCGATCATTAAGAGTTGAAAACAGCAGGTCTGGGACAGGTAGGGGTTCCATAACCGCAGGCAGAACAGTTGAAACTGGAATAGCAGCAAGGCCAGGCGGACTGGGGACAGCAAGGAGTCACCACGGCCAGTAGTCCCGACGTATGGTCCTAGGGCTCAGGTCTCTCAGTTGGCTTTTCATAGCCGATCATTAAGAGTTGAAAACAGCAGGTCTGGGACAGGTAGGGGTTTCGTAACCGCAGGCAGAACAGTTGAAACTGGAATAGCAGCAAGGCCAGGCGGACTGGGGACAGCAAGGTGTCATCATGCCCGGTAGTCCTGACGTATGGTCCTAGGGCTCAGGTTCTCAGAGAGAAAGAGAGAACGAGAGAATTAGAGAGAGCATACTTGAATTCACACAGGACACTGGATAAGACAGGAGAAGTACTCCAGGTATAACCAACTAACCCCAGCCCCCCGACACATAAACTACTGCAGCATAAATACTGGAGGCTGAGACAGGAGCGGTCCGGAGACACTGTGGCCCCATCCGAAGAAACCCCCGGACAGGGCCAAACAGGAAGGATATAACCCCACCCACTCTGCCAAAGCACAGCCCCCGCACCACTAGAGGGATATCCTCAACCACCAACTTACAATCCTGAGACAAGGCCGAGTATAGCCCACAGAGGTCTCCACCACAGCACAAACCAAGGGGGGGCGCCAACCCAGACAGGAAGATCACGTCAGTAACTCAACCCACTCAAGTGACGCACCCCTCCCAGGGACGGCATGAAAGAGCACCAGCAAGCCAGTGACTCAGCCCCTGCAACAGGGTTAGAGGCAGAGAACCCCAGTGGAGAGGGGAACCGGCCCGGCAGAGACAGCAAGGGCTGTTCGTTGCTCCAGAGCCTTTCCGTTCACCTTCACACTCCTGGGCCAGACTACACTCAATCATATGACCTACTGAAGAGATAAGTCTTCAGTAAAGACTTAAAGGTTGAGACCGAGTCTGCGTCTCTCACATGGGTAGGCAGACTGTTCCATAAAAATGGAGATCTATAGGAGAAAGCCCTGCCTCCCGCTGTTTGCTTAGAAATTCTAGGGACAATTAGGAGGCCTGCGTCTTGTGACCGTAGCGTACGTATTGGTATGTACGGCAGGACCAACTCGGAAAGATAGGTAGGAGCAAGCCCATGTAACGCTTTATAGGTTAACAGTAAAACCTTGAAATCAGCCCTTGCCTTAACAGGAAGCCAGTGTAGGGAAGCTAGCACTGGAGTAATATGATCAAATTTCTTGGTTCTAGTCAGGATTCTAGCAGCCGTATTTAGCACTAACTGAAGTTTATTTAGTGCTTTATCCGGGTAGCCGGAAAATAGAGCATTGCAGTAGTCTAACCTAGAAGTAACAAATGCATGGATTAATTTTTCTGCATCATTTTTGGACAGAAAACTTCTGATTTTTGCAATGTTACGTAGATGGAAAAAAGCTGTCCTTGAAACAGTCTTGATATGTTCGTCAAAAGAGAGATCAGGGTCAAGAGTAACGCCGAGGTCCTTCACAGTTTTATTTGAGACGACTTTACAACCATCAAGATGAATTGTCAGATTTAACAGAAGATCTCTTTGTTTCTTGGGACCTAGAACAAGCATCTCTGTTTTGTCCGAGTTTAAAAGTAAAACGTTTTCAGCCATCCACTTCCTTATGTCTGAAACACAGGCTTCTAGCGAGGGCAATTTTGGGGCTTCACCATGTTTCATTGAAATGTACAGCTGTGTGTCATCCGCATAGCAGTGAAAGTTAACATTATGTTTTCGAATAACATCCCCAAGAGGTAAAATATATAGTGAAAACAATAGTGGTCCTAAAACGGAACCTTGAGGAACACCGAAATGTACAGTTGATTTGTCGGAGGACAGACCATTCACAGAGACAAACTGATATCTTTCCGACAGGTAAGATCTAAACCAGGCCAGAACTTGTCCGTGTAGACCAATTTGGGTTTCCAGTCTCTCCAAAAGAATGTGGTGATCGATGGTGTCAAAGGCAGCACTAAGGTCTAGTAGCACGAGGACAGATGCAGAGCCTCGGTCTGACGCCATTAAAAGGTCATTTACCACCTTCACAAGTGCAGTCTCAGTGCTATGATGGGGTCTAAAACCAGACTGAAGCATTTCGTATACATTGTTTGTCTTCAGAAAGGCAGTGAGTTGCTGCGCAACAGCTTTTTCTAAAATTTTTGAGAGGAATGGAAGATTCGATATAGGCCGATAGTTTTTTATATTTTCCGGGTCAAGGTTTGGCTTTTTCAAGAGAGGCTTTATCACTGCCACTTTTAGTGAGTTTGGTACACATCCGGTGGATAGAGAGCTGTTTATTATGTTCAACATAGGAGGGCCAAGCACAGGAAGCAGCTCCTTCAGCAGTTTAGTAGGAATAGGATCCAGTATGCAGCTTGAAGGTTTAGAGGCCATGATTATTTTCATCATTGTGTCAAGAGATATAGTACTAAAACACTTAAGTGTCTCTCCCGATCCCAGGCCCTCGCAGAGCTGTGCAGATCCAGGACAGCTAAGCCCTGGAGGAATACGCAGATTCAAAGAGGAGTCCGTAATTTGCTTTCTAATGGTCATGATCTTTTCCTCAAAGAAGTTCATGAATTTATTACTGCTGAAGTGAAAGCCATCCTCTCTTGGGGAATGCTGCTTTTTAGTTAGCTTTGCAACAGTATCAAAAATAAATTTTGGATTATTCTTATTTTCCTCGATTAAGTTGGAAAAGTAGGATGATCGAGCAGCAGTGAGGGCTCTTCGGTACTGCACGGTACTGTCTTTCCAAGCTAGTCGGAAGACTTCCAGTTTGGTGTGGCGCCATTTCCGTTCCAATTTCCTGGAAGCTTGCTTCAAAGCTCGGGTATTTTCTGTATACCAGGGAGCTAGTTTCTTATGACAAATGTTTTTCGTTTTTAGGGGTGCAACTGCATCTAGGGTATTGCGCAAGGTTAAATTGAGTTCCTCAGTTAAGTGGTTAACTGATTTTTGTCCTCTGACGTCCTTGGGTAGGCAGAAGGAGTCTGGAAGGGCATCAAGGAATTTTTGTGTTGTCTGAGAATTTATAGCACGACTTTTGATGCTCCTTGGTTGGGGTCTGAGCAGATTATTTGTTGCGATTGCAAACGTAATAAAATGGTGGTCCGATAGTCCAGGATTTTGTGGAAAAACATTAAGATCTACAACATTTATTCCATGGGACAAAACTAGGTCCAGAGTATGACTGTGGCAGTGAGTAGGTCCAGAGACATGTTGGACAAAACCCACTGAGTCGATGATGGCTCCGAAAGACTTTTGGAGTGGGTCTGTGGACTTCTCCATGTGAATATTAAAATCACCAAAAATTAGAATATGATCTGCTATGACTACAAGGTCTGATAGGAATTCAGGAAACTCAGAGAGGAACGCTGTATATGGCCCAGGAGGCCTGTAAACAGTAGCTATAAAAAGTGATTGAGTAGGCTGCATAGATTTCATGACTAGAAGCTCAAAAGATGAAAACGCCATTTTTTTTTTTGTAAATTGAAATTTGCTATCGTAAATGTTAGCAACACCTCCGCCTTTGCGGGATGCACGGGGAATATGGTCACTAGTGTAACCAGGAGGTGAGGCCTCATTTAACACAGCAAATTCATCAGGCTTAAGCCATGTTTCAGTCAGGCCAATCACATCAAGATTATGATCAGTGATTAGTTCATTGACTATGACTGCCTTTGAAGTGAGGGATCTAACATTAAGTAACCCTATTTTGAGATGTGAGGTATCACGATCTCTTTCAATAATGGCAGGAATGGAGGAGGTCTTTATCCTAATAAGATTGCTAGGGTGAACACCGCCATGTTTAGTTTTGCCCAACCTAGGTCGAGGCACAGACACAGTCTCAATGGGTATGGCTGAGCTGACTACACTGACTATGCTATTGGCAGACTCCACTAAGCTGGCAGGTTGGCTAACAGCCTGCTGCCTGGCCTGCACCCTATTTCACTGTGGGGCTAGAGGAGTTAGAGCCCTATCTATGTTGGTAGATAAGAGGAGAGCACCCCTCCAGCTAGGATGGAGTCCGTCACTCCTCAGCAGGTCAGGCTTGGTCCTGTTTGTGGGTGAGTCCCAGAAAGAGGGCCAATTATCCACAAATGTTATCTTTTGGGAGGGGCAGAAAACAGTTTTCAACCAGCGATTGAGTGCTGTATGATCGGCAAAGGAAAATTACAACTCAATTCAAAAGCACAGAAATCAAACCTACTGTTTAATGTACTTTAATATTTTGAGTGAGAGTTTGTTACAGATTACTGAGGAACGTTGAGTACACCGTTTTACATACAGGAATTGGCAGGCGGCCCCATTCTGCCCCAAGCCAGGGGAGAAATAGACACGACCATGACTTAACAGGTACTCTCCAACTGAGAGGTCCTTACCGGGACAGGGGTTCCTCAAACCAGAGGGGCTGAGGGACTGGGGTCTCTGCAACCCTCTGATGGACGAGGCCTGAAATGATTATCTCAGGGACTGCCGTACTGCTCCAGTCGCAGGTTCACTTGAGCTCAATGTTTTGGCAGAGACAAATGAAGATCGGCCACCACTCCCAAGCCTGACTGAAGACGCACCTAGGAGGCAATCAGAAGTTTGGAAATGTTATGGCCTAACCATGTGTATGAAATAAAAACAAGTACAAAATTCAGTTCCTATGTGTTTCTATATGCTTGCTGAGAAGCAATCACATTTTATTGGTTGTGTACACATATTTTGCAGATGTTATCGCAGGTGTGTTATCGCAGGTGCAGTGAAATACTTCTGTTTGTAGCTCCAACAGTGCAGTAATACCTAACAATAAAAAACAATACACACAAATCCGAAAAGGAAAATAATTAAGAAATATCAGAACAAGCAATATCAGAGTCCGGAATATATATGTATATGATGGTGTGTATAGACATTATGGTTTAGTATATCGTCTCCCTATTAAAATACCAACCCACCGGGTGGAGACCTGGTTGAATCTGCGACAGGGTAGGTCAGGCGGGAGGTGGGGAGCTGGCCGTTAGCCTTCAGGTTGCGGCTGTTCCTGACTGCCTGGAGGGAGTGGAGGCTGGTGCGAGGAGGTGGTAAATCCTGGTTGGGCATGCTGCTTTTCAGCTCCTCTACAACAACAACAACATACATCTGGGTCAACTCCCATTTCACATATACAATCGGTCAAACACACATTAAACTGGTAGTGGAGAGAATATTCTCTGTCGATTTGTTTTTGTTTTCAAGTAAAAGTCAATATGTGAATTTGTGTGTCAAATGGGACTTTCCATACAGGTGCTCTTTTTACCTATGCTCTTTGTGAGTTTAAGCAGCTTAGATTGAATGGTGGCCTGACTGGGAGGCCTTTGCAGCTGGCTGCTGTGACCAGGCTGGGCTATGGATCTGGATGACTTGCCCAATGGGGAGGGCCGGTAGTAGGGCAGCTGGCTGGGAGGAGGTGTATATGTGACTGTGTCCTCCAGACTATACTTGTCGAACTCCAGATCACTGTAGCCATAATTAGAAGGTGACAGCATGGATATACCAACACTCCTGAATGGTGTGGCAGCACCAGGGATGGAGGCATAGTCCTGTCTTAAACCTGGGGAGAAGGAAAACACTGTCAAACACACTCTTCACAAGTAAAGTAATTATGCATAGTATGTATGAATCAAAACTAGAGGGTTTCCACACTCACTCTCCTCCTGCATGCAAGCCATGATCTGGATGTCAGTGAGGTCCTGCATCCTGTAGCCCATGATGATGGAGTCATCTGAGACACTCGGCTCATTCTCGTCCATGCAGGGTGGTAAACTACCATAATTGTTATCTGAAATACCAAGGTAATAGAGACACTAAGTAAATACAACCAGGACAATCAGGAATTTTAGTCGGTGGGAGTTACAGTGCATTTGGAAAGTATTCAGATTAACTTTTTCTATATGTTGTTACGTTACAGCCTTATTCTAAAATTGATTAAATTGTCCCCCCCCCCCCCATCAAATCTACACACAATACCCCATAATGACAAAGCAAAAAACGTAAAAAAAAAAGAAAATGTTACAAATGTATTTAAAGAAAAATATGGAAATATCACATATACAGTGAGGGAAAAAAGTATTTGATCCCCTGCTGATTTTGTACTTTTGCCCACTGACAAAGAAATGATCAGTCTACATTTTAATGGTAGGTTTATTTGAACAGTGAGAGACAGAATAACAACAAAACAATCCAGAAGAACACATGTCAAAAATGTTATAAATTGATTTGCATTTTAATAAGGGAAATAAGTATTTGACCCCCTCTCAATCAGAAAGATTTCTGGCTCCCAGGTGTCTTTTATACAGGTAACGAGCTGAGATTAGGAGCACACTCTTAATTGGAGTGATCCTAATCTCAGCTTGTTACCTGTATAAAAGACACCTGTCCAAAGAAGCAATCAATCAGATTCCAAACTCTCCACCATGGCCAAGACCAAAGAGCTCTCCAAGGATGTCAGGGACAAGATTGTAGACCTACACAAGGCTGGAATGGGCTACAAGACCATCGCCAAGCAGCTTGGTGAGAAGGTGACAACAGTTGGTGCGATTATTCGCAAATTGAAGAAACACAAAATAACTGTCAATCTCCCTTGGCCTGGGGCTCCAAGCAAGATCTAACCTCGTGGAGTTGCAATGATCATGAGAACGGTGAGGAATCAGCCCAGAACTACACGGGAGGATCTTGTCAATGATCTCAAGGCAGCTGGGACCATAGTCACCAAGAAAACAATTGGTAACACACTACGCCGTGAAGGACTGAAATCCTGCAGCGCCCGCAAGGTCCCCCTGCTCAAGAAAGCACATATACATGCCCGTCTGAAGTTTGCCAATGAACATCTGAATGATTCAGAGGAGAACTGGGTGAAAGTGTTGTGGTCAGATGAGACCAAAATCGAGCTCTTTGGCATCAACTCAACTCGCCGTGTTTGGAGGAGGAGGAATGCTGCCTATGACCCCAAGAACACCATCCCCACCGTCAAACATGGAGGTGGAAACATTATGCTTTGGGGGTGTTTTTCAGCTAAGGGGACAGGACAATTTCACCGCATCAAAGGGACGATGGACAGGGCCATGTACCGTCAAATCATGGGTGAGAACCTCCCTCCCTCAGCCAGGGCATTGAAAATGGGTCGTGTATGGGGATTCCATCATGACAATGACCCAAAACACATGGCCAAGGCAACAAAGGAGTGGCTCAAGAAGAAGCACATTAAGGTCCTGGAGTGGCCTAGCCAGTCTCCAGACCTTAATCCCATAGAAAATCTGTGGAGGGAGCTGAAGGTTCGAGTTGCCAAACGTCAACCTCGAAACCTTAATGACTTGGAGAAGATCTGCAAAGAGGAGTGGGACAAAATCCCTCCTGAGATGTGTGCAAACCTGGTGGCCATCTACAAGAAACGTCTGACCTCTGTGATTGCCAACAAGGGTTTTGCCACCAAGTACTAAGTCATGTTTTGCAGAGGGGTCAAATAATGATTTCCCTCATTAAAATGCAAATCAATTTATAACATTTTTGACATGCGTTTTTCTGGATCTTTTTGTTGTTATTCTGTCTCTCACTGTTCAAATAAACCTACCATTAAATTATAGACTGATCATTTCTTTGTCAGTTGGCAAACGTACAAAATCAGCAGGGGATCAAATACTTTTTTCCCTCACTGTACATAAGTATTCAGAGCCTTTACTCAGTACTTTGTTGAAGCACCTTTGGTAGCGATTACAGCCTTGAGTCTTCTTTGGTATGATGCTACAAGCTTGGCACACCTGTATTTGGGGAGTTTCTCCCATTCTTCTCTGCAGATCCTCTCAAGCTCTGTCAGGTTGGATGGGGAGCGTCGCTGCACAGCTATTTTCAGGTCTCTCCAGAGATGTTCGGTCAGGCTCAAGTCTGGGCTCTGGCTGGGCCACTCAAGGACATTCAGAGACTTGTCCCGAATCCACTCCTGCGTTGTTTTGGCTGTGTAATTAGGGTCGTTGTCCTGTTGGAAGGGGAACCTTTGCCCCAGTCTGAGGGCCTGAGCGCTCTGGAGCAGGTTTTCATCAAGGATCTCTCTGTACTTTGCTCCGTTCATCTTTCCCTCGATCCTGACTAGTCTCCCAGTCCCTGCCATTGAAAAACATCCCCACAGCATGATGCTGCCACCACCATGATTCTCCGTAGGGATGGTGCCAGGTTTCCTCCAGACGTGACGCTTGGCATTTAGGCCAAAGAGTTCAATCTTGGTTTCATCAGACCAGAGAATCTTGTTTCTCATGGTCTGAGAGTCCTTTAGGTGCCTTTTGGCAAACTCCAAGCGGGCTGGTATGGGCCTTTTACTGAGGAGTTGCTTCCGTCTGGCCACTTTACCATAAAGGCCTGATTGGTGGAGGGCTACAGAGATGGTTGTCCTTCTGGAAGGTCCTCCCATTTCCACAGAGGAACTCTGGAGCTCTGTCAGAGTGACCATCGGGTTCTTGGTCACCTCCCTGACCAAGGCCCTTCTCCCCCGATTGCTCAGTTTGGCCGGGCGGCCAGCTCTTGGAAGAGTGTTGGTGGTTCTAAACTTCTTCTATTTAAGAATGATGGAGGCCACTGTGTTCTTAGGGACCTTCAATGCTGCAGAAAATTTTTGGAACCCTTCCCCAGATCTGTGCATCGACACAATCCAGTCTCAGAGCTCTACGGACAATTCATGGCTTGATTTTTGCTCTGACATGCACTGTCAACCCTGGGACCTAATATAGACAGGTGTGTGCCTTTCCAAATCATGTCCAATCAATTGAATTTACCAGAGGTGGACTCCAATCAAGTTGTAGAAACAGCTCAAGGCCTCCCGAGTGGCGCAGTGGTCTAAGGCACTGCATCGCAGTGCTAGCTGTGCCACTAAAGATCCTGGTTCGAATCCAGGCTCTGTCGTTGCTGGCCGCGACCGGGAGACCCATGGGGCGGCGCACAATTGGCCCAGGGTAGGGGAGGGAATGGCCGGCAGGGATGTAGCTCAGTTGGTAGAGCATGGCGTTTGCAACGCTAGGGTTGTGGGTTCGATTCCCACGGGGGGCCAGTATGAAAAATAATGTATGCACTAACTGTAAGTCGCTCTGGATAAGAGCGTCTGCTAAATGACTAAAATGTAAATGATCAATGGAAACAGGATGCACCTGAGCTCAATTTTGAGTCTCAAAGCAAAGGGTCTGAATACTGATGTAAATAAGCTATTTCTGTATTTTATTTGTAATACATTTGCTAAAATTTTCACTTTGTCATTATGGGGTATTGTGTGTAAATTGATGAGGAAAATGTTTTATTTAATCAATTTTAGAATAAGGCTGTAACGTAACAAAATGTGGAAAAAGTCCAAGGGTCTGAAGACTTTCCGAATGCAGTGTACTACATGTACAGGCACCCTTCTGTTAGTTGATCGGTGGTACAAAGTGGAAGGTGAGCCCATGCAAAGATAGCCAGTGTCAGGAAAGGCTACAGGATGTCTGTGGAAGCGACTGCTAAAGATACTCCTCCATCTCGTCTCTTAGGGAAAGAAGAGGGAAATGTAATTAATAGAAGCTACCTGTTCAGGATGATAAAGCATAGACACGACCAATTGGCCAATTTTAGTCTGTGTCAATTTGAGTGAGAGAAAGACAATTTCCATTGACGGACAGATTAGAAAATTCCTTATAAGACACTTTAGTCATCACCTTTTTGCACAAAACATCCATTGAATTATTCAATTAATTGTTGCTGAGGCCGAATGTATTTATTATTACTTTTTTTATCATACAGACTAAGATGAGTGTGTGACTTGGACAGCGACGGGTGAGGTTGTGTCTCTCTCTGGCGGGAGGTAAGCTTGGCTCATATGGTGTCGAGTAAAGATTAAACCATGTGTTTAGATTGTAGGTAGGTAGGTATTGTAGTTAGGTATTGTAGGTAGTTTATCTATGTAGTTATTGTAGGTTATTGTAGGTAATTATTGTAGGTAAGTATTGTATTCGGCTGAGCCCGGTGAAGCACGAGGCTAACTAACTCACTACCTGGACCAATAATGTTAGCTAGCTAGCGGGTAGCTACTGGTAACTATTAGCAACTGTGGATAGTTGTTTCCAATGTTATTCCACGCTTAAGAGTACCTGTAATTATGCCAGCTAGCTACCTACCATTCAGCTGTTTTTCTAACCTCATTATCTGAAGCGTTAACGTTAGGTAATTAGTAGCTACTGTACTCGAAATGTAGCTACCTGGATAGCTAACTAAACAATAGATGGAACGACCTAGCGTTAATATTTGGAGACGCTTTCTCTCCGTTGGGACAGACGCGAACTGGCTGAATCGATTCAGTGGCTAGCTTTGCACTTAACTGGCTAACAGTAGCTACTAAGGGTAAGCTATAACCTACATTTATTTTTGTTTTGTTTTTTACATACTGGTAACCAGAGTCATTCAAGGGAATTCGGGACATGGGTGACTAGCTAACGTTAGCTTGGCTCTCTGTGTGTTCATGCCGTGGGAGGAGGGGTTAGTTCGTTGGCAGAGAGCAATGGCTAGCTAGCATGCTAACTATTCTAGCTAACTAACTGGCTGAATAACTTGACGACGTACTCACTCAAACTGTCAAAACTACCCCAAAACCTTACACAACGTTAGACACGGACACAAATGATCTGCTTGGCGTGTTAACACACTGGTGGTTTGTTGTAACCGAGTATTGGTGCTAAACCGTGTTATTGGAGGCTGGCATGCTAGTTGGCTTTGGCGTCATATGATTCGGTGTACCAAGTTAGCTAGCTGAATAAACTAAGTTAGAGTCTATTCGTAGAAACATTGAACCGCTGTAGTTTACAACAATTATAATTTCTAAAGTGGAAGTTGGGAGAGTTATATTTGAGTGTTTCAGTGAAACGTAAGTGAGGGAGGCCCCGCTCTTTCGCTTTCCCAGATGTTTAGTTCATTTCATTCCAATCTCCTTTGCATTATTGTAGCCTTTCTCTGTAGCCTGTCAACTATGTGTCTGTCTATCCCTGTTCTCTCCTCTCTGCACAGGCCATACAAACGCTTCACACCACGTGGCCACTCTAATCTGGTGGTCCCTGCGCGCACGACCCACGTGGAGTTCCAGGTCTCTGGCAGCCTCTGGAACTGCCGTTCTGCGGCCAACAAGGCAGAGTTCATCTCAGCCTATGCTACCCTCCAGTCCCTCGACTTCTTGGCGCTGACGGAAACATGGATTACCACAGAAAACACTGCTACTCCTACTGCTCTTTCCTCGTCTAACCATGTGTTCTCGCATACCCCGAGAGCATCTGGTCAGCGCGGCGGTGGCACAGGAATCCTCATCTCTCCAAAGTGGACATTCTCTCTTTTTCCCCTGACCCATCTGTATATCTCCTCATTTGAATTCCATGCTGTCACAGTCACTAGCCCATTCAAGCTTAACATCCTTGTCATTTATCGCCCTCCAGGTTCCCTTGGAGAGTTCATCAATGAGCTTGACGCCTTGATAAATTCCTTTCCTGAGGATGGCTCACCCCTGAGGATGGTGACTTTAACCTCCCTACGTCTGCCTTTGACTCATTTCTCTCTGCCTCCTTCTTTCAACTCCTTTCCTCTTTTGACCTCACCCTCTCACCGTCCCCCCCTACTCACAAGGCAGGCAATACGCTTGACCTCATCTTTACTAGATGCTGTTCTTCTACTAATCTCACTGCAACTCCCCTCCAAGTCTCCGACCACTACTTTGTATCCTTTTCTCTCTCGCTCTCCTCCAACATTACTCACTCTGCCCCTACTCAGATGGTAATGTGCCGTCGCAACCTTCGCTCACTCTCTCCCGCTACTCTCTCCTCTTCCATCCTATCATCTCTTCCCTCTGCTAAATCCTTCTCCCTCCGATCTCCTGATTCTGCCTCCTCAACCCTCCTCTCCTCCCTTTCTGCATCTTTTGACTCTCTATGTCCCCTATCCTCCCGGCCGGCTCGGTCCTCCCCTCCTGCTCCGTGGCTTGACGACTCATTGCGAGCTCACAGAAGAGGGCTCCGGGCAGCCGAGCGGAAATGGAGGAAAACTAGACTCCCTGTGGACCTGTCATCTTTTCACTCCCTCCTCTACATTCTCTTCCTCTGTTTCCGCTGCTAAAGCCACTTTCTACCACTCTAAATTTCAAGCCTCTGCCTCTAACCCTAGGAAGCTCTTTGCCACCTTCTCCTCCCTGCTGAATCCTCCTCCTCCTCCCCCTCCCTCCTCCCTCTCTGTGGATGAGTTTGTCAACCATTTTGAAAAGAAGGTTGACGACATCCGATCCTCATTTATTAAGTCAAATGACACCGCTGGTCCTGCTCACACTGCCCTACCCTATGCTTTGACTTCTTTCTCCCCTCTCTCTCCAGATGAAATCTTGCGACTTGTGACGGCCGGCCGGCCAACAACCTGCCCGCTTGACCCTATCCCCTCCTCTCTTCTCCAGACCATTTCCGGAGACCTTCTCCCTTACCTCACCTCGCTCATCAACTCATCCTTGACCGCTGGCCATGTCCCTTCCGTCTTCAAGAGAGCGAGAGTTGCACCCCTTCTCAAAAAACCAACACTCGATCCCTCTGATGTCAACAACTACAGACCAGTATCCCTTCTTTCTTTTTCTCCAAAACTCTTGAGCGTGCCGTCTCTAGCCAACTCTCCTGCTATCTCTCTCAGAATTACCTTCTTGATCCAAACCAGCCAGGTTTCAAGAATGGTCATTCAACTGAGACTGCTCTTCTCTGTGTCACGGAGGCTCTCCGCACTGCTAAAGCTAACTCTCTCTCCTCTGCTCTTATCCTTCTAGACCTATCCGCTGCCTTTGATACTGTGAACCATCAGATCCTCCTCTCCACCCTCTCCGAATTGGGCATCTCCGGCGCTGCTCACTCTTGCATCCTACCTGACAGGTCGCTCCTACCAGGTGGCATGGCGAGAATCTGTCTCTGCACCACGTGCTCTCACCACTGGTGTCCCCCAGGGCTCAGGTCTAGGCCCTCTCCTATTCTCTCTATACACCAAATCACTTGGCTCTGTCATATCCTCACATGGTCTCTCCTATCATTGCTACGCAGACGACACACAATTAATTTTCTCCTTTCCCCCTTCTGATAACCAGTTGGCGAATCGCATCTCTGCATGTCTGGCAGACATATCAGTGTGGATGTCGGATAACCACCTCAAGCTGAACCTCGGCAAGACGGAGCTGCTCTTCCTCCCTGGGAAGGACTGCCCGCTCCATGATCTCGCCATCACGGTTGACAACTCCATTGTGTCCTCCTCCCAGAGTGCAAAGAGCCTTGGCGTGACCCTGGACAACACCCTGTCATTCTCTGCTAACATCAAAGCGGTGATCTGATCCTGCAGGTTCATGCTCTACAACATTCGCAGAGTACGATCCTACCTTACACAGAAAGCGGCACAGGTCCTAATCCAGGCACTTGTCATCTCCCATCTGGATTACTGCAACTCGCTGTTGGCTGGGCTCCCTGCCTGTGCCATTAAACCCCTACAACTTATCCAGAACGCCGCAGCCCGTCTGGTGTTCGACCTTCCCAAGTTCTCTCATGTCACCCCGCTCCTCCGCACACTCCACTGGCTTCCAGTTGAGGCTCGCATCTACTACAAGACCATGGTGCTCGCTTATGGAGCTGTGAGGGGAATGGCACCTCCTTACCTTCAGGCTCTGATCAGACCGTACACCCAAACGAGGGCACTACGTTCATCCACCCCTACCTCTACAGAAGCACAGTTCCCGCTCAGCCCAGTCAAAGCTTTTTGCTGCTCTGGCACCCCAATGGTGGAACAAGCTCCCCCACGACGCCAGGACAGCGGAGTCACTGACCACCTTCCGGAGACACTTGAAACCCTACCTCTTTAAGGAATACCTGGAATAGTATAAAGCAATGTGTCCCACTTGCTATCATAAGTTGAATGCACCAATTTGTAAGTCACTCTGGATAAGAGCGTCTGCTAAATGATGTAAATGTAAATGTAAATGTAATATACTGTGCAGTACTTACTTTGGTCCAGGATATTAATTAGTGTGTGACATGCCACCTCTGTTTCAGGGCTGGGGTTGTCCAAAACCTGTCTGCACCACTTTATAGGTGACTCATCGCTTCTCTCAACAGATGCCTGTTTATTGGGTGACTCATATAACCTAAGAACGAATGAGAGACTATGTTATTGGATTCTGATTAAAGATGCAGTCCAGGATCTTAAACACAACAAATGTGTTACATATTGTACAAATTGGATTCATAACATATCATACGAATTGGATGATGTAGTACACAATTGGATGACGTAGTACACAAAAAAACAGGGACCGTTTTGGCTCGTGAGCACCACTTTCAAAACTACTGGCTGAAATTATACAAAAGTTCTGGAGCATCACTTTAAGCACTCTGAATTATAACTAAGCGATTGAGGTATTAAAAAAGCAGGTGGTTTGAAAAGGAATACATGGACAGAAATGTTGCTGCAATGATTTAGAATAGCCTTAAATAGTGATGCTGCAAATTATTGACAGTATACACAGTTCAGAGTTTTATCAGAAAGTGCAGGTACCTACCAGCTCACTTCATTCTCCACATCACAGCCCTCCTCTAGGTCCAGGAGGTCCACCAGGTCGAGAGCAGACTGCTCTGCTCTCTTCTCTGTGTCCCTGTCCACCAGCTCCTCTGACCCCATGCATCCCTGCCAGTGTGTCTCCTCCAATATGTCACTGTGGGGCAAGTGTGTATGACAGCCATCATATATGTGTCCATCCTGCCCCACTAGTGTATCTCTTGGGCTTTCAAGAGGAGGTGGAGATATACCATCTCCTCCGTTGACCTCCGGTGGTTCAGGGTCCAGCAAATCACAGACATTTTGACTTTCCTCCAGCAAAGAGGGACAGCTGATGAGCCCACCAGAGAGAACCTGGTTGTTGGTGTTGATATTTCTTCTCCTCTCGCTTAGAGCTTCATTTAGAATTTCCAGTCTCCGCACTAATTCATGTAAATTGCGCACTTCTGCCAGCTCTAGTGCAGCAATCTCCTGCTCCATCCCTGTGTCTGGCCTCAACCTTTCTCCAATTCTGCAGCGTTCTTTTCTTTTCACTGACTGAACAACAGCACTACTTGACCAGATGACCACACTGAAAAATAAAAAGCTCCAGCTGAATTATAAACTGAATTCAGAAAATTAATCTAAAGGTGACATCAAGTAAACCCGATATTATCAACGTCCAGAGCAACTCTAAAAATGTAGAGCCACTGTATTCATCCACTACACTCTTGTGTACTGACCCAGATTTGCAGCAGGAGAGACTCAACAGCGAGCTTGGATGACTTTAAAGCACAGTGCCAGGTTCTTATGTGGATTAAAGAGTCTGACAAGCTGCCTCTGAAGCAAACCAAAGAAAATCAGAGGATCAGACTTGGTGACACCTGCAGTCATAAGTGATGAGTAATGACTTGCTAGCCATCACACAGGAGGTCAGGTCACACCCACACAGTCACTCATCATACTTGACCTCGGCCATGCACCCTTACTGTTCTGGCCTAGCAGATCAGATGGTGGTGACCTCTAATAAAACCACCACGTCTAGACATTTTGAAATAACCCAGTTAAGGATATGAAGGGGTTTTAACCATCTTCTAGATTTATTCATATAGCTTGCTTATCTACTACATTTCAACAACATACCCTAAGACTGAAATTACTAGTTAGCTAAGAAGTTAACGGTTGCTAGAGTTCTGACTTAACCGTGAATTTAACTATATATATAGAACACCTATAATAGTGAAGACATCAAAACTATGAAATAACACATATGGGATCATGTAGTAACCAAAAAAGTGTTAAACAAATCAAAATATATTTTATATTTGAGATTCTTCAAATGATGAGTTGGACGGAAGAGTGAAGGAAAAGCAGCCAACGAGTGCTCAGCACATGTGGGAACTCCTTCAAGACTGTTGGAAAAGCATTCCAGGTGAAGCTGGTTGAGCGAATGCCAAGTGTGCAAAGCTGTCATCAAGGCAAAGGGTGGCTATTTGAAGAATCTCAAATATAAAATATATTTTGATTTGTTTAACACTTTTTTGGTTACTTCATGATTCCATGTGTTATTTCATAGTTTTGATGTCTTCACTATTATTCTACAATAAAGAAAAACCCTTGAATGAGTAGGTGTGTCCAAACTTTTGACTGGTACTGTGTATATATATATATATACATATATATATATATATATATATATATATATATATATATATATATATATATACACTGCTCCAAAAAATAAAGGGAACACTTAAACAACACAATGTAACTCCAAGTCAATCACACTTCTGTGAAATCAAACTGTCCACTTAGGAAGCAACACTGATTGACAATAAATGTCACATGCTGTTGTGCAAATGGAATAGACAACAGGTGGAAATTATAGGAAATTAGCAAGACACCCCCAATAAAGGAGTGGTTCTGCAGGTGGTGACCACAGACCACTTCTCAGTTCCTATGCTTCCTGGCTGATGTTTTGGTCACTTTTGAATGCTGGCGGTGCTTTCACTCTAGTGGTAGCATGAGACGGAGTCTACAACCCACACAAGTGGCTCAGGTAGTGCAGCTCATCCAGGATGGCACATCAATGCGAGCTGTGGCAAGAAGGTTTGCTGTGTCTGTCAGCGTAGTGTCCAGAGCATGGAGGCACTACCAGGAGACAGGCCAGTACATCAGGAGTCGTGGAGGAGGCCGTAGGAGGGCAACAACCCAGCAGCAGGCAAAATGACCTCCAGCAGGCCACAAATGTGCATGTGTCTGCTCAAACGGTCAGAAACAGACTCCATGAGGGTTGTATGAGGGCCCGACGTCCACAGGTGGGGGTTGTGCTTACAGCCCAACACCGTGCAGGATGTTTGGCATTTGCCAGAGAACACCAAGATTGGCAAATTCGCCAATGGCGCACTGTGCTCTTCACAGATGAAAGGAGGTTCACACTGAGCACATGTGACAGACGTGACAGAGTCTGGAGACGCCGTGAAGAACGTTCTGCTGCCTGCAACATCCTCCAGCATGACCGGTTTGGCGGTGGGTCAGTCATGGTGTGGGGTGGCATTTCTTTGGGGGGCCGCACAGCCCTCTATGTGCTCGCCAGAGGTAGCCAATTGAGCACATCTGGGACATCATGTCTCGCTCCATCCACCAACGCCACGTTGCACCACAGACTGTCCAGGAGTTGGCGGATGCTTTAGTCCAGGTCTGGGAGGAGATCCCTCAGGAGACCATCCGCCACCTCATCAGGAGCATGCCCAGGCGTTGTAGGGAGGTCATACAGGCACGTGGAGGCCACACACACTACTGAGCCTCATTTTGACTTGTTTTAAGGACATTACATCAAAGTTGGATCAGCCTGTAGTGTGGTTTTCCACTTCAATTTTGAGTGCGACTCCAAATCCAGACCTCCATGGGTTGATACATTTGATTTCCATTGATAATTTTTGTGTGATTTTGTTGTCAGCACATTCAACTATGTAAAGAAAAAAGTATTTAATAAGATTATTTCATTCATTCAGATCTAGGATGTGTTATTTTAGTGTTCCCTTTATTTTTTTGAGCAGTGTATATAAAAACGAATTATCCTACTCTAACAAAAATAGCTAGCTACACGTTGTATATGTACAATGTGTTTTTGTTTGATTGCGATTATTTGATACTACTCACCACACAAGGCCAGTTGATAACGGTAGACAACCGGGGTTAGCCAACGGCCGAATTAGACAATCCCCCCTCCTCCTTACTGATTGTTCCAATCATTTTTTATATTTGTCAATAGCGCCAGTTAGGCTACTACCGCCCTAGTACTACGGCTGCTGTGGACACCTTACTTTACTCTCATTACTTTGTGGTTGGCATGCGCTGTTTTTGTATGATGCATCTACCCCAAAGGAAATGTTTTATTATACAAAGGAATATAATAATACATACATATGAACATAACAGGAACTTTAGACTGAGCCCTCTGCTGACTGACAAGTTCCCCAATCATAATGTTACTTTGAATTGCATATTTAAAAAAAACACACATAACAAATAAAGAAAACGATTCAAAGTTCCAGATATCATTTTATTGTTCCAAGATCATAACCCAATACATTCATTTCAAGTATCCATGTTGTGGAGGGCAGGATTTCTCATATCATGGGAGCAATATTAAATTCTGCAAATTTTACACTTAAAGCAACAAGGATCCTCAGATCAATCTACAGACGCGTCTTTCTTAAGAGTTGGCTGTTTTAAAGGGAGCTATAGTTTCAGCTCAAAATCAGACTAATTTAAACAGTAAAAACATCATACAGATTTGATTCTGGGGTATAATGGCCTTGCAGTGTATTGCTCTTACCGGTTATTGAAGCAGATACAGCAGTGTTTGAGAGTTATAGGGCTGACAATACTTTATACTCAAAAAATGAAAAAATATTGCTGAAGCAGGCCTTACACATACGCAGGCTTTTGAGCTGCGCAAGCCATCGTTTTCGAAATGGACGAGGACTGAACTGAAGTTGAAGGGGTGCATGCTACCCCACGCGGCGAGTGCACGAAGGCTTCCCGAGTTTGAGCGCTGAAGTTACTTTAATAATTTGAACTTTCCAATACATCGCAAAACCACTTGGGTTAGTAAAGCTACATTGATGTGACAGCTACATTAGAGGCTCCATGCATTAAATGCCTTATTGCTTGATGAATAAAAGAGTATTCAAGTATTTATTTAACCTTTATTTAACTAGGCAAGTCAGTTAAGAACAAATTCTTATTTACAATGACGGCCTACAGAGGCGAAACCCGGACAACCAGGTGTGGGGAGTTCCTTACCAATTAGTGACCTTATTTCATCAATCAAGTACAAGTGAGGAGCAAAAACCCGCAGACACTTGGCCCTCCATCGAATGAGTTTGACACCTGTGACATACTGACCAGGTGAAAGCTATGATCCCTTATTAATATCAGCTGTTAAATCCACCTCAAATCAGTGTAGCTGAAGGGGAGGAGACAGGTTTACGTTTTTTTAAACCTTGAGACATGGATTGTGTATGGGTGCCATTCATATAGTGACTGGGAAAGACCAACATTTTTAAAAAAGTGCCTTCGAACGGGCAACGGTGTTCCTAATGTTTTGTACACTGTGTGCGCACAGCAAGTTATGTTTTGATTTCAATTACATAAAACCATGCAACAAAATATTTAAATCATGGTATCAACACACCAAGGCATAGAATTAAGGTCACTTTTGAACGGAATTGTGAACGGCGCACGCACGCATCCTAGAATATAGCGTGAAAAACAAGCTTATTTAGCATAAAAACAACTCAAGACTAGCCTAACTAAAGCAAGGATGTAAACAGTACACAATGCTTTATTCTTGAACAACTGTGTCAAAAGCACCTTTCTCGTAAAATAAAATATACTGTCTTGGAAATGCAAGTGGGTAGCCTCACTTTTCAAGGAGGCCCAAGTCCCCCTAATACAAAAATATATCAGTAACAAAAAAAAAAACAAGCTCATAAAACAGAACCAGCCATCTTGGAGTGAAAGTTTCTCTCAAATGGGGCATCAGCAGCAATGTAAACTAGAGCTTTCAATCTGAAAATAGACAATGCTTATATGAAACAACCTGGCATATTATTACACCAAGTGAAGTCAAAAGGTTAAACCTGTTGATCACCAGTGCACTAACAGAATATTGGAAAAAGTAGGCTACCACACAGTAGGAGTATTTACTAACTACTTCCATCCCTTCTCTTGACATGGGGAATGAATGGATGGGCTGTGATGATGGTGCTCCAGACATCCCTCCTTTGGTACAGGTTCACCGGGGGGAAAGGGTGGGGTGTGGCTGCTCGTGGGATGTTACAAGGGAACATGGCTGAAGAGATACGACACAGACTCTCCGTTGTGTGTCCGGCGAATAGCCTCTGCCAGGATCATTGAGATGTCAATAACCTGAAAGGATGAGTGGGGGAGAAAACTAATTAACAAACCAAAATCTCACCCAGACTTATTGAATATTTCCCCCACAGATAACTTCAAAATGCCAAAGAAAATACAATTGGTCAACTAAACACCAGTGTGTATGTTTGTACAGTGGGGAAAAAAAGTATTTAGTCAGCCACCAATTGTGCAAGTTCTCCCACTTAAAAAGATGAGAGAGGCCTGTAATTTTCATCATAGGTACACGTCAACTATGACAGACAAAATTAGGAAAAAAAATCCAGAAAATCACATTGTAGGATTTTTAATGAATTTATTGGCATATAATGGTGGAAAATAAGTATTTGGTCAATAACAAAAGTTTCTCAATACTTTGTTATATACCCTTTGTTGGCAATGACACAGGTCAAACGTTTTCTGTAAGTCTTCACAAGGTTTTCACACACTGTTGCTGGTATTTTGGCCCATTCCTCCATGCAGATCTCCTCTAGAGCAGTGATGTTTTGGGGCTGTCGCTGGGCAACACAGACTTTCAACTCCCTCCAAAGATTTTCTATGGGGTTGAGATCTGGAGACTGGCTAGGCCACTCCAGGACCTTGAAATGCTTCTTACGAAGCCACTCCTTCGTTGCCCGGGCGGTGTGTTTGGGATCATTGTCATGCTGAAAGACCCAGCCACGTTTCATCTTCAATGCCCTTGCTGGTGGAAGGAGGGTTTCACTCAAAATCTCATGATACATGGCCCCATTCATTCTTTCCTTTACACGGATCAGTCGTCCTGGTCCCTTTGCAGAAAAACAGCCCCAAAGCATGATGTTTCCAACCCCATGCTTCACAGTAGGTATGGTGTTCTTTGGATGCAACTCAGCATTCTTTGTCCTCCAAACATGACGAGTTGAGTTTTTACCAAAAAGTTATATTTTGGTTTCATCTGACCATATGACATTCTCCCAATCCTCTTCTGGATCATCCAAATGCACTTCAGACGGGCCTGGACATGTACTGGCTTAAGCAGGGGGACACGTCTCGCACTGCAGGATTTGAGTCCCTGGCGGCGTAGTGTGTTACTAATGGTTGGCTTTGTTACTTTGGTCCCAGCTCTCTGCAGGTCATTCACTAGGTCCCCCCGTGTGGTTCTGGGATTTTTGCTCACCGTTCTTGTGATCATTTTGACCCCACGGGGTGAGATCTTGCGTGGAGCCCCAGATCGAGGGAGATTATCAGTGGTCTTGTATGTCTTCCATTTCCTAATAATTGCTCCCACAGTTGATTTCTTCAAACCAAGCTGCAGGTCTACAATTTTGTTTTTGGTGTCCTTTGACAGCTCTTTGGTCTTGGCCATTGTGAAGTTTGGAGTGTGACTGTTTGAGGTTGTGGACAGGTGTATTTTATACTGATAACAAGTTCAAACAGGTGCCATTAATACAGGTAACGAGTGGAGGACAGAGGAGCCTCTGAAAGAAGAAGTTACAGGTCCGTGAGAGCCAGAAATCTTGCTTGTTTGTAGGTGACCAAATACTTATTTTCCACCATAATTTGCAAATAAATTCATTAAAAATCCTACAATGGGATTTTCTGGATTTTTTTTTCCTCAATTTGTCTGTCATAGTTGACGTGTACCTATGATGAAAATTACAGGCCTCTCTCATCTTTTTAAGTGGGAGAACTTGCACAATTGGTGGCTGACTAAATACTTTTTTTCCCCACTGTGTGTGTATATATATATATATATATATATATATATATATATATATATATATATATACACACATACACACACACAGTGCAGTCGGAAAGTATTCAGACCCCTTGACTTTTTCCACATTTTGTTACGTTACAGCCGTATTCTAAAATTGATTACATTTCATATTTCCCTTATCTACACACAATACCCCATAATGACAAAGCAAAAACTGGTTTAGACATTTTTACAAAAATTTATGTAATATATTTACATAAGTATTCAGACCCTTTACTCAGTACATTGTTGAAGCACCGTTGGCAGCGATTACAGCCGCAAGTCTTCTTGGGTACGACGCTACAAGCTTGGCACACCTGTATTTGGGGAGTTTCTCCCATTCTTCTCTGCAGATCCTCTCAAGCTCTGTCAGGTTGGATGGGGAGCGTTGCTGCACAGCTATTTTCAGGTCTCTCCAGAGATGTTCGATCAGGTTCAAGTCCGTGCTCTGGCCGGGCCACTCAAGGACATTCAGAGACTAGTCCCGAAGCCACTCCTACGTTGTCTTGGCTGTGAGCTTTGGGTCGTTCTCCTGTTGGAAGGTGAACCTTCACCCCAGTCTGAGGTCCTGAGCGCTCTGTAGCAGGTTTTCATCAAGGATCTCTGTACTTTGCTCCGTTCATCTTTGCCTCGATCCTGACTAGTCTCCCAGTCCCTGCTGCTGAACAACATCCTCACAGCATGATGCTGCCACCACCATAGGGATGGTACCAGGTGTCCTCCAGACGTGACGCTTGGCATTCAGGCCAAAGAGTTCAATCTTGGTTTCATCAGACAAGAATCTTGTTTCTCATGGTCTGAGAGTCTTTAGGTGCCTTTTGGCAAACTCCAAGCGGGCTGTCATGTGCCTTTTACTGAGGAGTGGATTCCGTCTGGCCACTCTACCATAAAGGCCTGATTGGTGGAGTGCTGCAGAGATGGTTGTCCTTCTGGAACGTTCTCCCATCTCCACAGAGGAACTCTAGAGCTCTGTCAGAGTGACCATCAGGTTCTTGGTTACCTCCCTGACCAAGGCCCTTCTCCCCCGATTGTTCAGTTTGGCTGGGCGGCCAGCTCTAGGAAGAGTCTTGGCGGCTCCAAACTTCTTCTATTTAAGAATGATGGAGGCCACTGTGTTCTTGGGGACCTTCAATGTTGCAGAAATGTTTTTGGTACCCTTCCCCAGATCTGTGCCTCAACACAATTCTGTCTCGGAGCTCTACGGACAATTCCTTCGACCTAATAGCTTGGTTTTTGCTCTGACATGCACCGTCAACTGTGGGACCTTATATAGACAGGTGTGTGCCTTTCCAAATCATGTCCAATCAATTACATTTACCACAGGTGGAGATGTAGAAACATCAAGGATGATCAATGGATGATCAATGGAAACAGGATGCACCTGACCTCAATTTCAAGTCTTATAGCAAACTGTCTGAATAATTATGTAAATAAGGTATTTCTGGTTTTTATTTAATACATGTGCAAACATTTCTAAAAACCTGTTTTTGCTGTCATTATGGGGTATTGTGTGTAGATCTTTTCAATCCATTTTAGAATAAGGCTGTAACGTAACAAAATGTGGAATAAGTAAAGTGGTCTGAATACTTTCCGAAGGCACTGTAGCATAGTTTCAGCACAGTAAAGAGTGAGGACAATGCGATACACAGTAAGAATTAATCAAGCAGAGACTGAAGTTAAGGCAACATGCTAAGCCATGGAAATGAAGATTGTTGAGAGCCTACTGCTTAGCTATTCATTGGACATTGTTTAAAAAAGTTGCTATGGGGTGGAGGGAGGTTGGTATGTGTGCTCTGTGCTGGTGTCATGTGATCTGTTATTTGTGAAAGCAAAACATTTGTCCAAACTTCAGCAACTTTCAGTGAATTTCTCACAGTTCAGAAAATGAACTACAATTAAATTATTTTAGAAAATAATAATGGAATGTTGAAATTCCCCAAGTGACCTACAACCCTGCAACAACAAGTAAAACACTAGGGTTGGGCGATATATCAAATTAATGTTTTAGCGCGATATTCCAAATGCCTATATCACAATAATCTTTTTGGTCTCATCTCCTTCACTTCTTCTGCGACGGTGCACATTCCTATTCTTTCACACACAAACACAGCCCCTCCCCCTGCCACGCACAACAACAAAGATGAAAGATCACCTTCTCTCTGACAAGTGGTTTCAACTTGCCATTTACATTTGAGGTTTGGTCCAACATAAATATCGGTCATATGGACACCGAAACACATTGAGACATTATTTTACTGTAATAGACGAGAACTTAACCTCTTCAAATTGTGCGAAGAGCAGACACTACTAAAACAGGCGTATCAATGAACATTGATTCTGGAAAATGAATGCTCAGTTTCTGTCACGCACAGAAACCGCTAGCAGCATTTTAGCCACATACTTATATTAGCTGGTTAGTCCTTTATAAAATGTGCAATGAGCCTAAACAACAATTATATAAGGAATTGGCAACCTGTTCTCATTCTGACAAATAAGGTAGGCCACTTGATTTCAACATCTGAACAAAGTGGACAGTCTAGCATGCTGTTCAAACAGTTGGAGACTGACAGAAGGGTGTGTTAACTATTCAACTGTTCTACCTTGTTAGCAAGCAAATAGATCCAAATTGGCTAGACTTTAAATATAAAGATTAGCTGGCTACTCTCTAGCACGTGGACTTGTGCTTGAGAGATGTTTATGAGGCCTGTGATAATTTTCTATAATGCCTGCTAAGTTGGTCATTATTAGGGAATGTGCATTATGCATGGTTCTGGTTAAATTTGTAACAAAAGGGCATTTTCAGACTTGAAAGCAAGATCAGTGATTATTGCAAAAAAAAGCAAGTTAAACTATTTTGATAAATTATTAAATAATTAGTAGTGCTGAGCGATTAGTGCTTCAAGGTCAGTTCGGTTTCTGTTAGATTATTACAAAATAATCAGTTTTTCGATTGAATGCTGTAACACAGAATAAAATTTAAGTCCCACAATGGTATTAACCATCATTTATTCACATGACTTTAATAAAATATTTCAGTTGTGTATATTACATTTATTTTATTTGATGACTTTTTCATTCCGAGTCATCTCTATAGAGCTGCTGCCTATGCTGTCTAGCACTATTTTGTAGTTCTTCAAAGTAAATATGGCATACTTTTATGACTGCCAATCAATCAAATGTATTTATAAAACCTTTTTACAATCAGCAGATGTCACAAAGTGCTATACAGAAACCCAGCCTAAAACCCCAAACAGCAAGCAATGCAGATGTAGAAGCACGGTGGCTAGGAAAAACTCCCTAGAAAGGCAGAAACCTAGAGAGGAACCAGGCTCTGAGGGGTGGCCAGTCCTCTTCTGGCTGTGCCGGGTGGAGATTATAACAGTACATGGCCATTAAGGCCAGAGGTTGCAACAGGTCAGTATATCAGGAGTAAATGTCACTTGGCTTTTCATAGCCAGGCATTGATTGATTGATTGATTGATTGAATGACTGCTGAATGCCAACTATCAATCACTGATCAGGTACAGATACCTCACGCAGCTGCTCTCTATATTCCTCACGATCGCACATTCTTGTCTCTTCCGTAGCAGGCGTAAAAGAAACGCATCTGTAGCAGGCGTAAAATAAACAGACCGGACAAGTAGATGCGCAATGGATTATGGTCATTGTAGTTAATTACCACGTTTTATGCGCTAAACTGTGTAGAATATTGGCCTGTTGGAAACATCACACAGTTCAGGATGTATCTGATGTATCTGTAGAGAAACTGTGCAACGTGCGCATTGAACTCACAGGAAAAAACCTAATGAAATGGAATTAAAATAATTGATCCAACGTCTGTCAATTAGTTGTTTAAAAACAAGAAAACTACATTTCAGTTAGTCGCTCAGCACTAATTATTAGTGGTTCTTATGGTTGTGGAAGGCTTATATTTTAGCCTAGGTATAATTTCACAAGCCCTGAATTCATTAGATTATTGCTGACTGTTTGAAATGCAGTGTATTTTACCTTTAATTGTACAACAAAGCATATATAAAATATCGCCCAGCCCTATTCTGACCTGTATTTTTGTACAGTGTTTCATCTTGTCCTCCTGAGGGATGGTATTCGTGACAACCACAGCCTCAAAACAGGCGTTGTTAATGCGAGTGATGGCAGGGCCTGAAAAGATCCCATGGGTCAGGATAGCGTAGACCTTTGTCGCTCCAGCAGAGACGAGCCTGGATATCCAGAAGGAAAAAAGAAAAAGAAAACTAAAATAGGTTGAATAATCCCCCCCTTTGTTTGTAAACAACCTTGCCATCAACAAATTTTCATTTTCAGAGACTGTTCCCTAAACAGATGTAATAGCTCGTCGTATTTGTTGTACATTTAAAGATTGAATATTCAGTCTCTGCTCTGTAATGATGTATGCAGCTAAAACACAGTAGTGACTCACTTATCTGCAGCATGGCAGATGGTGCCGCAGGTGTCTGCCATGTCATCAACCAAGATGGCCACTCTGTCTTTCACGTCCCCCACCAGGACCATGCGGTCCACCTCGTTAGCCTTCTTTCTCTCTTTGTGGATGAGCGCGAAGTCCACATTCAGCCTGTCTGCTATAGAGGTGACCCTGCATGGGGAATCCACTGATTGGTGAGGTTAATAATTATTCCTCAAAGTTACATCACATTACAATTTACATCTATGGGGAGGAAGGGAATATATAATAAGAAACAGGTTTATAATTCTATGATTAATCCCAAATTACAAACACATGCACTGTAATGACAGTATCAAAAAGATGGTTGCATATACAACTAAATGGTTGTAATAATGAACAAGGTGAAAGTAATGAATTGATCCACCATCATCCTTTCAACAATGCTGATATTTCTAACAACTAAAATCTGTCCTTTTTGACCCTTTGTATTGATGAAGAATCTCCAGGCCCATTGGTCCCTGCTTTACCTTTTGGCTCCTCCGGCATCAGGAGACACAATGGTGCAATTCTTCCACTCATTGATGTTCTCTTTGATCCATTTCAGCACAGCTGGCTCAGCGTATAGATTGTCCACAGGGATATCAAAGAACCCCTACAGAGGCATAAAGCGAGCAAACCCATGATAAGATACAGGATCATTAGGTCAGTGTCCTCAAACTGCCTTACTTGCAACAGCTTTTCTGAGAAAATGTCATGTGGCTCACTATAGTATGTAACACAAGTATAGTCTAAGGAATAGTTTGTACATTTGACTTGTGAATCCTACACTAGTGACTGCAATATACTGATGGAATGAGACAAATAATGTGCCAGAATGCTCACCTGTATCTGCGAGGCGTGCAGGTCCATGGTGATTATGTGATCGGCTCCTGACACTGACAACATGTTGGCCACCAGCTTTGCAGAGATGGGTGCCCGACTCTGTGAAAAAGAACATTGTTAACCTCTATATTCATACAAAGCCTGAAGAAGGACCATTGAGCCACTGCAATTAAAAAAAAATAAACAGAGGAAGACCAATCTCCTTTCTGAATTAGCTTTGTCAGTTATATTCCAAATCAACCAAAGTGGTTCGACCAATAGGGCGTTTCTGAAAAGCAGTCAAATATTTGTTGAGATCAATCAAATACTGACTGATTGATATGGATAGTGGAGAGCAGCAGTTCCCAAACCAGGGGTCGCGACCCCATGTGAGGTCTCCTGATATTAAAATGGGGTCACGGGAGAACTTCATTCCCACGGTGAATGGCTAGGCCCGCTACGCTATGAAACCGCACACTATTGCAGAGACTTTGAAATTACCGGCCACAATTGATATGGTGAAAACAATGTGTGGGGAGGCAGAGGCGCAGAAACTCACATCAATACCTTTAACACTGTTAAACTAAAAATGTATGCTATTGCTAGCAATCAAAAGGAAACTGACTGAACGACTCAAACTACCCAGCTTATGCTCTCCAAATGGACGTTAGCTGTGAGGGCCGAGATGCCCATGCATTGACTTTTGTTCGCTACACATGTCGGGGAATGCTATTCACGAGGACATATTGCTCTGTCTCACGATTCAAGAGCATAAAACGGCACAGGGGATGTTCAGTGTGCTGCGTGGCTATATTGACAAAAAACAGATTCCATGTGCTCGAATGGTGGGCTTTTGCACATATGGGGTTCAATCTATGGCGGGGCAAGCCTCTGCACTCTAGTTATGAATGAGTCTCCCTCTGCCATATGGATACACCGAGAGCAACTGGCGGCAAAAGAGCTGAGCACAGAACTCAGAGATATACTGCAGCAGGTAACTTCGATTGTAAACTACATCCACTGCGCACACGCCTGTTCGCAAACCTATGTGGAGATATGGGATCAGAGCATGACAATGTTCTATTTCACACCGAGGCTTGGTGGTTAATCGAGAGGGAGTGTTGGAAAGATTTTTCACATTAAGAAGAACTGTTGTCATTCACAATGGATGTAAAAAAAATTAAAGGACATTCTGTGTAATGAAAAGAAACAGTCTCCTTGCCTATGTAACAGACATATTTGGGAAACTGAACAAACTGAATGCAAGCATGCAGGGGAAATACAAAAACATTCTACAGATGAGTGACCAAATCAGTGGATTCAGCTAAAATAATTCTTATTGGGAGAGTCTTTCAAAAGTGAACCATGACCCCTTCCCTCGGCTGTGCATGTTTCTAACAGAAAACAGCATCAGTAAGTGTCCCACACGAGTGATGGCTGCTCACCTCCAACGCTTGGAAGAGCACTTTCTGACCTACTTTCCAATCCGTTTGACTGATCCTGGCTCAGTTGACATGCCAGTAAGTGAAATCGAACAGCTGATCAAGTGGTCATGTGACCGAATGCTACAGACAACGTATTAATGGGTCACTACGGAGGAGTTTTGGTTCCTGACTCAAAGGGCATTGCCTGAAGTCTCCCTCTGAGCATTAAAACTCATGGTACTCTTTGCCAGCTCATATCGGTGTGAAGCTGCATTAAGTTCTCTCATCTGCATTAAAACCAAATATCGATCCAGGGTGGATGTGACAGCAGAGATGAGGCGTGTACTTTTGACCACGCCCCCTGACTTTGAGAAACTCTGACGTACCATGCATCAAGCACACCCATCTCATTAGTGGTGGAGATATAAGAGACATTATGTCAGACTAATTTGTAATTGACTGTCAAAGCCCCACATTAAAAGTATGTGATGATGAGTTGAGAAGACAATCAGAAATAGTGTTAGAATGTTTTTCAATTGACTGCCATTGCCCCAACAAACAAAAAAAAGTCAAAATTGGCTGTTAATTACAATTTTTCTTTCACATGGTTGGGGTCGTGATAATTTTTAGATATCAAAATGGGGTCGTGGGCCAAAAAAAGTTTGGGAACCCCTGGTGTAGTGTGTTGGTGCTGTGAATAGACAAACTATTTAAGTTTCCCTCACCCCCACCTTGTCCTTCTTGTCTTGTCTTGCATATGGGAAACAGGGGATGACAGCCGTGACTCGTGAGGCAGAGGCAATCTTACAGGCATTGATCATGATGAGGAGCTCCATTAAGTTATCGTTAATCTCACCACAACCACTCTGGACAATGTAGACATCCTCTCCTCTGACACTCTCCCCGATCTCCACGCTGCAGGAGTAAATCATGCGGTGTCAGCCAGTAGACTATACATGGTGACAGGACCATAACAGGTAGAGAACATTAAGATCATAGCATCATGGGCTTCCAGGTCAATGGACACAACACTCAATGAATGAATGTTCCGTATATTCACAGTCATACATTTCTGCTCTACCAACTATTCTGTGATCTAACATTATACCAACAACATAACTTGAAAAAGAAACAGATTGAAGAACCCTATGGATGTCAATGCTCAGGATGAGTGCTATTACAAACCTCCAGATAAACAGTTTCCTTTTCACATGTCAAAGGCACCTGCTACTTATACCCTGCAATAAGTAAGCAAGTCCCATAATGACTACTGTCAAACAGGATCATTTTATAACACTAATAAAAACAAAACAGCACAACTCAAAAGTAGTAATATGGTTGTATGAAAAGACAATTTAAATTGGTTTGATAAGACTGAAATAATTTGTTGCAACAGAGCACATAGCCACATAACTACACCTACTAGAGGGTCAGTTGGGGTGCTAGCATCAAAAGGAAGTAGAGTAATAAACTGAGAAACTTTTAGCCTGACAAATTGGCTAGAAGTCACTGAAGCAAAAAAGCTAACCACTACTTGGAGTATGTAAAGTAAGCTAGCCAAATGCCCTTTCAAAACAACTGGGAACTCTGAAATCTACGACTTTCGAGCGTTCAATACAACTGGAACTCGGAAAAAACTAACTCCGACTGGGGGAAAACCATTTAATGGTTATCCAACTCGGAAACTCTGGCCTCTTGCGGCGTTCAAAACTGGGAACTCGGAAATCTCCGACTTCAGTTCGTTCAAAACTGGGAACTCTGGGGAAAAAACGAGCTACGACTGGGATAAATAGATTTTAACGGTCATCCAACTCGGGAACTCGGGCCTCTTTCTAGAGCTCAGAATTTCCGACATGAAGATCACAGACGTCATGATTTGACCTCATTTTTTTTCTCGAGTTTCCAGTTGTTTTGAATGCGGCATCTTTCTAGAGCTGCTACTTTCCAGCCTGAAGATCACAGATGTCATGATTTGACAGTTTTTTTCTTCTTCCCCGGAGTTCCCAGTTGTCTTGAAAGCACCAACAGTCAACCTGAATAAAGGAGACGTCACCATGATGGCTTGTCTCATGCCGCGTTCACGTTGTAGTCGGAACGGAACTAAGAAACTCGGAAATGTCACACTTGCTTTATTATTAATTATTACTTGCTAACTGGTTGCATTTATACACGTGATGCGTTCACCCATTTAGCAAATCGGAAATGTCCGCGTTACCTAGTTCCGAATAGCACGTGAACGCGGCATCTCCCATGTATAAGGAGCGCATAGTATCCACACGTGAGGGACAATGAATGGTATGGGATTCACTGTGAAGTATGTTTGAATGAGAGAAGGTTAACGTTAACTAGCCATCTCAGCTAACTAGCTAGCTATTTATACATGTAAAGGGCCATGAAAGAGTTTCAACTAGATAGCACAGTCACAACGTCAAAATCGGCTATATCGTACAAATTCATGAAAACAAAAAAACTTGCTGTTTGGTCTTAATGTAAGGTTAGCAGTGTTTAAAATCACATTTTAAGAAGATACATTTTAGAAATAGGCGGGGTTTGACTTTGTGCTGTGGTAACTAGTGTGACGACCCCTGAAAGGTCATTGAAATGACATCCCATTCCAAACGGTTTTTGGGAGTTGAAGTTCGAGGCCTCCTGCCCTTACCCAATCTCATTTGATGGTCAACATAAAATTGCCAACACTAGTTAAACTAACTAGATACTACTGGTACATGTTTGTGGATGCCAACCACCGTTAAACTCCAATGCCAGGTTTATGGTAAACTAATCTTAGCTAACAACAACGACCACTCACTCGCACTTTCAATTGGCCATGTGGGCTAACTTTAAACTCTCAGTTATTTAACGTTAGCAAACATTCCTACAACATTCACACATTTGTAAAAATAACTAACGTTAGCTTGCTATATAACTGGTATTCGGCAAAATATACGAATTGCTTAAGCACAACCTACCATGTCTCCTGATTGCTGAATTTTTTGGTTACAACCTTCCCCAGTTCAAGTCCCAGGCGATCGACAATTTTCTGGCCAAGGTCCGGATGAGAGCTGCCGCTGAATATCTTTATGTTAGGCATTTTGGACCTACGAGGGATACAATTGAAGTAACCAAACAACTCCCGCAGCTACATAAATACAAGGCTAACAAGCAAAAAAACAACAACTGTTCGCTAGCTAGCTCCTCTTTAGCGAACCCACAACAGCCAGGGAGGAGAGCATGCGATGGTGAAATAATTTTTTTCTATAGGTCGTTGGGCAGCAGGGCTACCCTTATTATATCGTGCTGATATATGGACACGCCTGGTGCCTAAATTGATGACGGGGAAAGTTTGCGCTTTACCCTGGCGGTGTGGTGAGATAACTCGATCTGTTGAAATACGATAGGAGCGTTTACTTCAGATAGCGCTCCGTAAGCCACGCCCCAGTGGGCAGAGCTAAGCATGTTGCACTGGGACACGTTTTATGGTGAAAAGCCTGTCATTTTGCTATGGGTCTGCCATGGTTCTGTGTAGCTATGCTAGTATATTTGAGACCAATGTATTGCAGTTAATTTCGTTTTTGACTTAATAAGTAAAATATCTTTGAGTACTAGTCCTAAACAGGGAAACAACAACGAGTCCCAAACTGTTCGCAACAGAACATACCAGAGGGGGGCATCGTTTACTACCTAAATTATTGTGATCATCTGGTTACAACCTGTGTTTGCAATACATTAGAAATACAAATAAAGATATCATTAAATGGTGTTTTCTTTGAACAGATGGGCCTGGCTGAGAATAGAACATTCCGTTTTCTGCATGAGTGTGAAGCTGTTTACCGCCATTTTCTCAAAGTCCATAATTAACATATACTCTGCATCCATTGCTGCAACAACTTGTGTCAATTATTTCCCCTTTTATAGAATACCCTTTATTATTATTTTTTACTAATGACTCAAAGTTGTGTGACCATTAACATTGGCTGCATATCCATTGTCCTTCTCCCAAAGTGTGGACTTGCACATTTCTTCTCATCTCAGGGATTTAATAATGGTGTAAAGTAGCTCAAGCCAATGCTTACACCTATCCAATGATTGAATATCCATGAGGAGAGGGATGGACAATTGATATGCAGCCATTGACTTCAGGTGGCTTCATCAACAGATGGATTGAATTGTGTCCCAAATGGTACCCTATTCCCTATACATAGGGCACTAATTTTGACCAAGGCCCATAGGGCTCTGGTCAAAAGTAGTGCATTATACAGGGAGAAGTTACAGGGAATAGGGTGCCCTTTGGGTGCATGGAACCTGTTGAGCCCCACCCTGCCTATAGTAAACCATTTCTCCATCCCATTCCCCCAGTTAAGCAAATGAAGGGGAGAGGCTGCGACTACAATTTATGTAGTAAATTACTTTTCCTGTCAATTACTTTGTTTGATAAACTTCCATTATTGTGTAGGTGCGTGTCCCTTTTGAAGGTTTAATAAAACATGAATTCACCAAGAATACCATATTTTCATTGATGGAATATTCAACAGACTGAACCAATGAGAATAATTAGTTGCATTGCAGTTGTTGCCATTCAGCCCCATCTAGCCTTGATATGGAATAACTGATAACTGACAAGCTCCATCAGCCTTAGGAAATCATTGGGGAAAGAAGTCACACTTCCAGTTTGCACTAATCTTTATTTGACTTGCTGTAATACAGAGATACATACCACATAAAAGCATACATTAAATCTCTAACAATGTCTTCATTGTGTCTTAATTGAAAATTAAAGCATAGTCTTCCTTTATTCACCATTTCAATAAGGAAAGCGCTATACCAGTATTAATGGCCAGTAGGCTCAAACAATATCCATAATGACTATAGAGAAAGTACTAACACTTCAAAGCCCTATGGTCAGATGGCTTTTCATAAAGACGTTGTGTTAAGTAATGGAATTCACATTTCTGGGTGTGTGGGGAGTGAGTGACTTGAGGGGGAAAAATAACCAGTGGAGGCAGCAACAGGAATTTAGGAGGTAGCGGGGGGCCAGGTGGGATTGGGCCAGGCACATCCAGGTGTCAGGCCAGGGTGTCCACAGTCGTGGTCCTAAAGCCTCAGGCCCTCCGGAAGGGGAGACAGAGAAAGAGAAAAGATGAGGCTTAGTGAGAACATGGCTAAGACCATAGTACACACCACATGAACTGGGGGTAGAGAATAATCAATAGTGTTGCTGTGGACACTGGAAAATCTGACTAACACACACACTTGTTTGACTTCGCTGTGATACTGTAGGCCTACTTATGTACATTTTCTGAGTCAATTCAGGTAGCATTCAATGTCCTGTGTTTGTGTTTGCCCAGCCATGTGAAATCCATAGATTAGGGCCTAATGACTGATTTCCTTAAATTAACTTTAACTCAGAAAAATTATTGAAATTGTTGCATGTTGTGTTTATATTTTTGTTCAGTATATATTTCTCGCAAGACTGCAGGTAACAAATGGAGCAAAGTGCAAACTAACATGCCTTCAGTGTTTGTAATTGCATTCCTCCTTCTCCCCCCTTCAATCCTGCATTCCTCCTGCCAAAGGTCTCTCATGTAGTACAGTCGTGGTCAAAAGTTTTGAGAATGACACAAATATCAGCATGGGATCAAAAACTTTTTTCCCTCACTGTAATTTTCACAAAGTCTGCTGCCTCAGTTTTTATTATGATGGCAATTTGCATATACTCCAGAATGTTATGAAGAGTGATCAGATGAATTGCAATTAATTGCAAAATCCCTCTTTGCCATGAAAATGAACTTAATCCCCCCAAAAAAATTCCACTGCATTTCAGCCCTGCCACAAAAGGACCAGCTGACATCATGTCAGTGATTCTCTCGTTAACACAGGTGAGAGTGTTGACGAGGACAAGGCTGGAGATCACTCTGTCATGCTGATTGAGGTAGAATAACAGACTGGACACTTTAAAAGGAGGGTGGTGCTTGAAATCATTGTTCTTCCTCTGTTAACCATGGTTACATGCAAGGAAACACGTGCCGTCATCGTTGCTTTGCACAAAAAGGGCTTCACAGGCAAGGATATTGCTGCTAGTAAGATTGCACCTAAATCAACCATTTATTGGATCATCAAGAACTTCAAGGAGAGAGGTTCAATTGTTGTGAAGAAGGCTTCAGGGCGCCCAAGAAAGTCCAGCAAGCGCCAGGACCGTCTCCTAAAGTTGATTCAGCTGTGGGATCGGGGCACCACCAGTGTAGAGCTTGCTCAGGAATGGCAGCAGGCAGGTGTGAGTGCATCTGCACGCACAGTGAGGCGAAGACTTTTGGAGGATGGCCTGGTGTCAAGAACGGCAGCGAGGAAGCCACTTCTCTCCAGGAAAAACATCAGGGACACACTGATATTCTGCAAAAGGCACAGGGATTGGACTGCTGAGGACTGGGGTAAAGTCATTTTCTCTGATGAATCCCCTTTCTGATTGTTTGGAGCATCCGGAAAAAAGCTTGTCCGGAGAAGACAAGGTGAGCGCTACCATCAGTCCTGTGTCATGCCAACAGTAAAGCATCCTGAGACCATTCATATGTGGGGTTGCTTTTCAGTCACAATTTTGCCTAAGAACACAGCCATGAATAAAGAATGGTACTAACACATCCTCAGAGAGCAACTTCTCCCAACCATCCAAGAACAGTTTGGTGACGAACAATGCCTTTTCCAGCATGATGGAGCACCTTGCCATAAGGCAAAAGTGATAACTAAGTTGCTCGGGGAACAAAACATCGAAATTTTGGGTCCATGGCCAGGAAACTCCCCAGACCTTAATCCCATTGAGAACTTGTGGTCAATCCTCAAGAGGCGGGTGGACAAACAAAAACCCTCAAATTCTGACAAACTCCAAGCATTGATTATGCAAGATTGACCCCCAGAAGTTAATTGACAGCATGCCAGGGCAGATTGCAGAGGTCTTGAAAAAGAAGGGTAAACACTGCAAATATTGACTCTTTGCATAAACTTAATGTAATTGTCAATAAAAGCCTTTGACACTAATGGAATGCTTGTAATTAAACTTCAGTATACCATAGTAACATCTGACAAAAATATCTAAAAACACTGAAGCAGCAAACTTTGTGAAGACCAATACTTGTGTCATTCTCAAAACTTTTTCGTCACGGTATTTCTATGCATTCAAATTGACATCGATAAAATACAATTGTGTTTGTTGTCCGTAGCTTATGCCTGCCCATACCGTAACCCCACCACCACCATGGGTCACTCTGTTTAAAAAGTTGACATCAGCAAACCGCTCGCCCACACAATGCCATTCACTTGGTCTGCAGTTGAGAGGCAGGTTGGATGTACTGCCAAATTCTATACAATGACGTGGAAGGCGGCTTATGGTAGAGAAATTAACATTAAAGTCTCTGGCAACAGCTCTGGCGGACATTCCTGCAGTCAGCATGCCAAATGCACGCTCCCTCATAATGAGACATCTGTGGCATTGTGTTGTGGCCTTTTATTGTCCCCAGCACAAGGTGCACCTGTGTAATGATCATGCTGTTTAATCAGCTTCTTGATATGCCACACCTGTCAGGTGGATGGATTATCTTGCCAAAGGAGAAATGCTCACTAACAGGAATGTATACACATTTTAGAGACATTTTAGAGAAACATTTTAGAGAAATATGCTTTTTGTGCATATGGAACATTTCTGGGATCTTTTATTTCAGCTCATGAAACATGGGACCAACACTTTATATGTTGTGTTTATATTGTTGTTCAGTGTATGTGTAACTTGATTAAATAATAAAGTAGTGTGGAAAGACTGACACAGAATCGCACACTTGTCACGATCGTCAGGGAGAGAAGTAGACCAATGCGCAGCGTGATGAACGAACATGTTACTTTATTATATTAAAGCACAAAACAATAAACGACTCGTGAAGTCCACGGTGACAATGACCGAACACGGAACAAAAACCCACAAACACCAAGGGAAAACAGACAGTATAAATATGGCTCCCAATCAGAGACAACCAGCCAACAGCTGACACTCGTTGCCTCTGATTGGGAGTCACTCAGGCAAACATAGAATACACAACCTAGAACACCCAACATAGAAACAGAACACATAGAATGAACACACCCTGGCTCAACATATAGAGTCCCAGAGCCAGGGTGTGACAACACTCCATTGTAACTTGTCGTTATTGAAAAAATTGGGCAGTTTTGACCCATTCGCCTAAGATGTTAGGTGTGCTGTCATTATAATATAAATCATATCAGCTTAAAAAGGGTTAATTAAAAGTCTTTGGGGTGTATAATGTTGGGAAAATTGGTATTGGAGAGTCTGACATGAAATCTCAACCCTAACCTGAGTTCTGTGTAACCAGCAAT